CGAGAGAGCGCCTTTTCTAGACAGGAAAAGGATAAAATATTTCCGGAATCGGCCAAATTACCAACTTTGGCAGCCATAGCTAGCTATTTATCCTTTTCCTGTCTAGAAAAGGCGCTCTCTCGGGTGCAATAATAATCTTTCCTTTGACTTTTCTTGCGGCGAAAACTCAGTAAAGAAGGTTTTCACCCCCACGGCTTTTCTCTCCCTTTTCTCCGGTCAAAAATGGCAGTTTGCCCGTAGTGTAAGAACCGCGAGACCTTGTGGCGAGGTACATGTCTCTGGGCCTGAAAATTGAAGCTCCGCCTGCCAACGTCCACCTCCAGTTTTGAACATTAAATACGTCGCACGACGTCGTCCTGCTTGGCGCCGGTCCCTCATGTCGCCTTCGTCTTCTGATAGCCATCCTGCTCGAATGATCACGCATCTCGTTGTTCCACATGAACGCTTGACGTCTCTTAAGCAGGCTCTTTGCTCGACCTTGTCCCTGAGCTACGTTCGCTCAACTGCCACTGGTACCCATGACGTGTTCCTATTACTCTGGGAAGTGGAGACGGTCCTTGCCGCGTAGAAACGAGGGAAAATAAAAGCTGTTTGTCCGTCGTCTTTTTGGTCTTGGCTGATATGAGCGTAGCCATGTTCCTGATTACAGCACGATGCAGCCTTTTCTATCGCTATATGCGTTATCTATGCACGTCCACGCGTTCGAAGCTACATTCCGCCACAATATGGGTTCTTGTTCATCACGAAGGGCGTACCGCATGTCTTGTCACTCTGCGGCGTCGACAGTGGCAAACTTTACGTTCTGATCCATGTTCCGAGCCGAGCAAGGCGGGAGCTGCGAGAATCTAAATTAGGAGGCATAACAGACTAATCGGTACGCAATAAACATTTGGGCTATACGGTACTTTCATCCATTTTCACAGCTAACCCCAGGCCTTCCCCACAGCTGCTTAGTGTCAGCGGACGTAGCGCACATGGAGCAAGCCCTTGGGCATCAAAGGTCCCCGAGCGGCTCCAGACTGGTGCCTGACAAACGCTGGCAGCGTGCACCAATCTTGAACAATCTCGAACCTGCTTTCCTTGAATTCTTCCTCGCTTCGCGCATACACGCATGTTAACCACTACCGAATATGACCCCGAGTTAGTCGCACACGATCACGAGATGGCGCGCGTTGACCTAACTATCACAGGTATCGCCGGGCGCCCCCGTGGCGCACTGAATCTCGGTCATATCTGTCATGTCTGGATGAATCCATTGCAATGTGCTCCCGCATGTCGTGCCGCCGGGAGCGTACCTGACCACCGTTGTGACACCATAATCGCGCTGAAGCATTATGTGTCTTTCTCCTATGCCGCGTCCTGCCGTCCTCGCCGAGTGTTTGTACTGATGCGAACAGGAACACCGAGAGATAGTACCACATGCCTCGTGTTTGCTCTGATGCACGCCAAATCTGGTGAGTTTGTGATGATATCAGGCTTCGACGAGTATAAGAGAGACACTCATCTTGGCAGCTGTTTCTCTTCAGCAGCTCCCTTCTGTCCTCACTCATCTTCGCAGCCTTTTTCCCTTCGACCTCCATCATGCGCTTCACGCTCGCCACTGTCGTCGCCGCCCTCCCCTTCCTTGTCGGTGCTATGCCCACGCCCGACGCCAGTGTTCACATTCCCATCTCGAAGCGCTCGACAATCGTCGACCGGGAGGGCGTCATCGTCAAGGAAAAGCTGGTCGCTCACCTTAACCACGTCAAGGCGTACGTTTTTTTTTCCTTTATTCTTTTGGTCTGCGAGAAGTTGACTCTCGGATTTGTCTGCAGTAAATACCAACGTGGTTTTGAGGCGTACGAGCGCAACACCGGCAAGCCCCACGCTCTGGTCGCTGGTCGTAACATCAAGCGTGCTCAGGGTACGGAAAAGTTGACGGATGACGAGTCCGAGCTTTGGTACGGCTCCATCTCGGTCGGCACCCCCGCCAAGACCTACACCGGTAAGCCGCCGTCCCCCTTCTCTCATCCAAAGGCAAACACTCAGCTCGCATGCTCAATGTAGTCGACTTCGACACCGGCTCATCCGACCTCTTCCTCCCGGGTCCTAGCTGTGGCTCTACCTGCTCCGGTCACACAAAGTACGACCCGTCTTCGTCCTCGACGTCGAAGAGCACCGGAAAGTCCTTCTCTCTTGCGTACGGTGACGGCTCCACCGTCTCGGGCACGCAGTATACCGACACCGTCTCCATTGCTGGTCTCACCGCGACCGGCCAGCGTCTCGGCGCCGCTAAGACGTACTCGTCGGGCTTCGAGTCGTCCGAGTTCCCTGCCGACGGTCTCTTGGGCATGGCCTTCCAGTCGATCTCGGACTACAACGCGTCGCCTGTGTTCCAGAGCCTTGTCTCTCAGGGCGAGACCTCGTCCTCCGTCTTCGGGTTCAAGCTCACCTCGTCCGATGCTGGCCTTACGGTCGGTGGTGTCGACAGCTCGGCGTACACCGGGAGCTTCCACTACACGCCCGTGACGCAGGAGGGCTACTGGCAGGTCACCGCGGACTCGATCAACGGTGGTGGATCCGAGGTCCTCACGAACGTGGACGCGATCGTGGACAGCGGGACGACGCTTATCGTCGGGCCGCCGTCTGATGTTGAAGACTTCTACTCTCAAATTGGTGGCAAGGATGCGTCTAGCACTGTCGGAGATGGTTATTATACCTGTAAGTTTACCCTCCGTTCTTCTGACTCTTCATACTTTAGCTGACATGACGGTTGGCGCGTCACGACAGTCCCCTGCAGCAACATCCCCGACGTTTCCGTCTCCATCGGCGGCGCGACGTTCGACATCGCGTCGACGTTCAACCTCGGCAAGGTGAGCTCGGGCTCGAGCCAGTGCGTCGGCGGCATCGTCGGCCAGGACATCGGCACGGACTTCTGGATCCTCGGCGACGTGTTCATGTCGAACGTCTACACCGAGTTCGACTACGGCAACTCGCGCCTTGGTTTCGCCAAGCTTGCTTGAGCAGTACGCTCGAGCAGCAAGATTATTCACTTTGGGGCGATTTGAATGAGGGCTTTTGGGTGCTTGGTTCTTGGGTTGAGGGGTTTGGTATAGGTAAAAGGCTATTATCCATCGTATGTATTCTCTGGGCGGATTTGTATCACCATTCAATGCAAACTGATGCTTGTCATTGAACGGACCGATTGCCAACGTTCCCTGAGCTGAACGGCTTGCTTGAAAGCTTCCTTCACCTGTCTCTGCCATCCCTGGTCATGTTTGATGCGTCTTTTACCTTATCAGCTGACTCTCTTGCCGAGTTACGCCAAGGTGCCTGACACCGAAGCAGTCGCTGGCCAGCCTCGGAACAATTACCTGTTCTCGAGATCACCAGGACGTGTTACAGTAACGCTGATCATCACCAGCTCAGTAGCCGAGTTTCAAGAGGCGCGTGTTTTTGTCCATCACTTCGAGTCATGTCCAACACTGTAGCCAGTTTTGGCGGCCGACACAGGCTACTTTGGGTTGACCGAGCGCTTGTCTCGAAGTGTGTGTCGTGATTTATCAACGCAAAACTAACATATCACATTGATATGGGTGCACAGTTTGACAGTACTCGATACGCACTCATCCGGTAACTGCTTGCGCATACGCCCTACGCACGCTTCAGCTCACGGCTTGTTCCACTGGTGTTACTTGATATTTTCCCTTTTTTCACGTGCGCTGCGCCGGCGAAGAGAAGCACGAGGGAAGCGGCTAGATAAGGTGACTTCGTGGTTCAAAATGTCCGAAATGCGGGGAAACACAACTTGAAGCGCGCGGGAAATCAGGAATAGTTGTGTGCGTGCCTGACAGCTGGACGGCGCATATGGAAGTCCGACGTTACGTCGTTCTACAGCTGCATTGAGCTTGGCGTTGGAGAAGGAGGTTGAACGAGAAAATACAGTCTACTACAACCCATCTTCTACACTTTAGTCCTACGACCGAGCGTCCTCGTGGAGTAAACAAAGTTGAGTTTGCTAGAAATGGAAACATCCGGCGGAACCAATCGCGGTAAACAAAGAGTTGGTGGAGCAAACTTCCGACTCGGTCACTGATTTAGAAAGTGCAATTGATGGTCTTTCTGATCACTGTCGCTGAACGCGCTCAACCATCGGCGTCGCCAACCTTCGTCACTTTCTCCAGGTGCGTTTACTCTACAGTACCCGCTATCGCTCAGACGCGTTCTCCAGACTTTCTCCGTTTCAAGTCCGCGCTGGGCGAGCTCAGATACTTAGTAGGCTCGTCTACCGCAGTGCGCACCAGAACAAGTCTTCAACCCGCTGAAGCAACGCATGGTTGTTTCACGCTTTCAGCTAGCTTATCTCGGAAGCGGCGCTTACCTGCGGGACCGGATGCACCAGCTTCACTGGAGTGGAGCTCCACCATACGATCCGCGTTATCCTTCCCCGGACTCGTCGTCGTCGACAACCACATTGGTGATTGAATCAGCCACCTGTCTATTGGTCCACCTGTTGATCCAATCTAACAGCCATACGTTCCCGGCGATGTTTCACGCCATTGTACAATCAACAACGTCAAGACCCTTGTTGAAGGATGTAGATCACCTCGCGATGCAGTGTCATGCATTGATTGCACGCATGGCGTGCTGCGGAGCTTCAGCATGGACAACACCCTTGCTCCGGGGATTGCATCTGCCGACTCGAGCCATGTCCTCATGCACGACAACGTTCGCTTCGTGCGCGAGAGCGTATAAAAGCCAGCCTCGATTTGCCTTCATCTCCTCAGCAGCACTTCTGTCTTACGACCCAGCTCCCTCGAGTCTTTTCCGCCATGCGTTTCACTCTTGCCACCGTTGTCGCCGCCCTGCCCTTCCTGGTTGACGCCGCCCCAACCACCCGGGCCCCGGCCACCAAGATTCCCATCCAGAAGCGCGGGACGCTCAACCACGCCAGCGGCGCGGTCAACTTCTCCGCTCTGAACAGCCATGTCGCCTCTGTCAAGGCGTACGTTCTCTTTAGCTCTGTTATTTGTTGTTCCTTATTGCTTACGACATGTCCTTGTTCACAGTAAGTACGAGCGTGGCTTTGCCAACTACGAGAAGAACGTTGGAAAGGCCCACCCCCTTGCCAAGGCTAGCTCCTCCAAGCGCGCCACTGGCACCGATTCCCTCACGGACGACAGCAGCCAGCTATGGTACGGAAAGATCTCCGTCGGTACCCCTGCTGTTGACTACACTGGTTCGTGACTCTCCTCTCAATGCTGGTAATACACATCTAATTGGTAACCTCCTGCAGTTGATTTCGACACTGGCTCGTCTGACCTCTTCCTCCCCGGTCCTGACTGCGGCTCGACCTGCTCTGGCCACACCGCCTATGACCCCTCCAAGTCGTCGTCGTCCTCTGACGTTGGTCAAACCTTCTCTCTCTCGTACGGCGACGGCTCCACCGTCTCTGGCGAGCAGTACACCGACACCGTCGTCCTTGCCGGCCTGACCGCCACTCAGCAGACCCTCGGCGCTGCCAAGACGTACTCATCCGGCTTCGAGTCGTCCAACTTCCCCGCTGATGGTCTCATGGGCATGGCCTACCAGGCCATCTCCTCCTACGGTGCCTCGCCCGTCTTCAACACCCTCGTCTCCGAGGGCCAGACCGACGCTGGCGTCTTCGGCTTCAAGCTGACCTCGTCCGGCGCTGAGCTCACCGTTGGCGGCACCGACTCCTCCGCCGCCTCCGGCGACTTCACCTACGCCCCCGTCACCCAGCAGGGCTACTGGCAGTTCTCCGCCGACGGCATCTCGTCAGGCGGTAGCCAGGCCCAAGGCTCGTTCGACGCCATCGCCGACACCGGCACCACACTCATCGTCGGTATCCCCGACGACGTCTCCAGCTTCTACCAGGCCATCGGCGGCACCGCGTCGAGCCAGGGCCAGGGCTACTACACCGTCCCTTGCGACTCCATCCCCGACATCACCGTGACGATCGCCGGCACCGACTTCCCCGTCTCCGCCGACACGTTCAACCTCGGCCCCGAGTCGTCCGGCAGCTCCGACTGCATTGGCGGTATCGTCGGCCAGGACGTCGGCTCCTTCTGGATCCTCGGTGACGTCTTCCTCTCGAACACGTACACCGCGTTCGACTTTGACAACAACCAGGTCGGCTTCGCCAAGCTCGCTTAAGCGGCTGGCTCGCATTATCTACGGTTCCCCGCCGCTTTATTTTCCACTGGGTCGTATATAATCTGCTCGGATTCATGATTACGAGTATTATCACGCATCATGGCATTGGCATTCACGTTACAGGGCATGTACAAGTCGGTTTGTAATTGGTAGCCGGCTGTATAAAATATTTATGACAATTCGATGATACTTTGGCTCTTCGTGTTCTTGTTGTACTATAAGTACAATTTAGTCTTTGTTTGTTCTAAGCAAGGAGAACCTGGTCTGCCGCACTAGGCTGACGCAAAACTCTACATTGGGTGTTCCTATAGACTCCTGTTGCTCTTTGATGTTCATTCGTGTACGTCGCTAATTACGTCGCAATCGTCATTTTCTGCCGACTTGTACAAGCCTCCTACTCGCTGTCTGTCGGAGTCAAACCCACTGGGAGAAACACAGTACGAAGCCTGTTCCTCGAAACTCTGCGACACTGTCGGAAGCAACGCTCTATGTCTTTCATTCACATTTGTCCTCTGTGCGGTGCATCATATAGTGCACTATCATGATGATACGCTGGTTTAACCCGACGAGCCAAGTGCAAGACCAATATCGAGGCGGAGACTAGCCCCGACGTGATAGAAGGCCACAGGTGCTAAGGAAACCGCTAAGAAGAATGTTGCGTTGCCCTGGTCGTGCTATATATGCTTCGCAAATGTTTCGAGATGTTGTGTAAAGCTTGTAAGACTTGGATGAGTGCATCATCAATTGAGTTTCTTTACTGCGCCGGATGATCGAGGGCCTGCGTTCGCGATGGTCTTGCGCTCCAAGGACTGAGTACTGAGTCATCACCGGCATGAGGAGCCACGTTAACGGCACCGTAACGTTCCTAGGCATTGTCTTGTTCTATGAGGCTACGCCGTGCATGTGCGAGCAGCGTCATCAGCTCCTGCACTTCTGGCGGTTCAGGGTATGATGTTCAGGATGGCTGAAGAAACTCTAATTGTGATTGGGTGACGGACGACAGCGCTGGGGATTCGAGGACCGGAGCGGTACTCGACTTTCCCTTTTCGGTCTCGCGGCATTTGCCGCCCACCTCATCTCGTCAACATCTCCTCCACCTTGACTTTACTGTTCTCTTTTGACCCGAGAGTCGCGTCGACGATCCGACTGGTTATAAGGAACTATGAAACCTCATCGTATGATCCATAGTTCTCCGAGCTCTATCATATTCCTGTGTCCCTCACCCCTCTGAACTTCCTCGCTCGCCATGTACTTCGCTGGCTTCAGCATCCCTTCATTAAACCCAGAAATTCCCGTCTTTCTCGCTATAGCCTACTTCACCGCCAGCAACATTCGCTCCGTCAAGCGCACTCTCGCAGTGGCCGATGCAGACGGAGGAAAGGTCAGGCCCAGCACCGCACCCACCTCCTTTGTGGGGAAGGCTGTCACCCATGTCCACGGGCTCGCGTTCGCCGCACCGCAACTCGTGTACCTCGTCAGCGTCCCTCTCAGCGGATTTGTCCAGCCAGGTTGGATGCAACGATTCAGCCTCCCCACTTGTGGGATGAGTGGTGATAAGCTGGCGTGCGTCAGGATGCTCGCGAGCGTTGTCCTTGTAGGGATCGTGCATGTTGCGATGAAGAGGCTGTTCAAGCAACTTGGATCGCAGTTGCACCCTATTGCTGTAAGCTCTGACATCTATCGCACATTGGTGTTGAGCTCATCGGCGTTTTCACTACTACAGCGGCGCGAGAACTCCAAGATCATCAAGGACGGCTTCTACTCCATCGTTAGACACCCCATGTACACGTAAGCCTACCCGCATACTCTTTTCCTCGCATAGCCCCACTTATCTAGATAATAACGTTTACCTAACGCTCCACTAGCCAGTCGCTAGTTCAAGGACTACTGTGCACCGTCATGCTCTGGTCGTATATCCCACTCGCCGGGCTTCCTATTATGGTGCTCGCTGTTGCAGCCAAAATTCCTATTGAAGTACGTCCATGCGCGGTTTTACCTCCGATTCGGAAGTGACGATAATTCACAGGAAGGCATCATGCTACAGGACCCGTCCGTTGCGGACGAATATAAAGCCTATAAGCGAGAAGTCCCTTACAGGATCTTGCCCTATATCTGGTAGTCGGCGGTCACTGATCGTAACGTCGGTTGAGGTCAGCGACTCGCGGTTAGCCGTAGCGTTCTTCTTTACTGATATTGCCCGCCGTTGGCCTTGTTTACTTTCCATCGAAGTGTCCTTTTTCCTATATTTATCATTCATGATTACAATATACGACTTCTGTCGGCACATTGTTCATGTTCCAAAGTTATGAGGTCTACTGATACCATTTAACTCGGCCGCATTTAGTTCTATGCATCCATTGCCCCCCTTTTCCGATGAGATCTATCAGACAATCAGAGCGTCAAGAACTTCGGAGATATTGTATGGTCGGACTCGGATTTGTGACAAGCGGTACTCATAGAAACTAACAACTCCTGAACGGTAGATCACCTTCCGGAGATGAACGCGGTTCAAACAACGTCGGCTTCCAGCTGACGTGTACCACTGGCGCGCGTTGCCGCCGGCGGTCGTGAGACGACATTCGCCCCCGCACACTATTCTGCGATGAAACCGTGGATCCAGCTTCGGCCCCGGGCATTGCTACTCCAAAACATAAGACCTGATCTCCGTTTGGCTAGAGCAGAGGGTCGGGCTCGGCGAACTCAAGGGCTGGTGGCCGAGCGCTCGAAGCTACCGTGGTATGTTTGTGACATTCAAATATCGGTATAAGAAGAGGAAATTAGTCGCATCTCGATAGCAGAAGTAGTCTTCAGTTTTATTCACTCCTACCTCTCTCCGACTTCGAGCCACAATATGTCTGATGCAATCCAGAGCCTTGTCAACAACAACCAGTATGCTCTACTCCTACCTCTGGAACTTCTCTTCATTCTCTTCTCTAACCATTCGCTTGTCCCGAAAACTGTAGAGTCTACGCCTCAGAAGGATACGCAGTTCCACCTCCGTTTTCCATGGTCAAGACCTTTCCCAGAAATCAGGTTGTCGCCATCGTCTCATGCGCTGACCCCCGACTCTCGCCTGAGGAGTTTTTGAAGCTTCCCAAATACAGTACGCAAGCTCTTCCAAGCACTCATATTCTTCTGTATTTCGATTGACCACTCATGTGTTCTTGTCGGCAGTGCACCCCATCATCAACGTCGCAGGCGGACGCGCCAAAAACGCGCTTCGTTCCTTGCTCGTGTACGAGCACCACTTCGGTCTCGCAGGGATTGTCGTCGTGCACCATACAGACTGTGGCATGACGCATGTCACTGACGACGCTCTTTGCGCCACGTTCGGCGCTCGCGCCCGTGCGCTCGGCGAGGCCAATCCAGAGAAAGGGAAGAACATGCAGATGGAGATTGATTCGATGGAGTGGGATGAGATCACGGGGAGAGATGTTCATGCGAGCGTGAAGAGCGACGTGAAGTACTTGAGGGATTATCCGTTGTTTAGCGAGGGGCTGAAGGTCGTTGGACTCGTGTTCGACTTGCAGACCGGTAGGGTGGAGCAGGTTGAGTGAACGTCCTTACGAGACGTGCTACAAAACACCAAGTCGCTAGCGTCTCTGTCCTTGGCCGATAAATGGTACTCTTCTGGAGACTCATGCAAATGAATTGCGCCTACTGTAGTGGCATTTCGCGCAACCGGGATTTGAGAGTCACGCAGCTGGCACTAGGGACAGCCACATGCATCGATGCTTACTCACACCATTGCCCCCATGCACCCACCCGAGCCAGCCCCAGCCCAAACTAAATGCCGATGCTTGCGATTCGTAATATCGTAGAGAGCTGGGCGGATGAGAACAACGAAGGAGGAGAAGAGTGAAACCTTTGAACGTCGTGATTGGTCGAGAGCTTGACGTGGTGGGGGCCACGCGACTGTGTTGGTCCTCTTTCCTCTTTTGATTGGTCAGCCTGACATTTGCACCGCCACCTTCACCAGACCCCCTTGGACTCGTATATCCTCAACTGCGACCACATATAAGGCCGCTACGAAGAACAAGACATGGCCTCCATCGTACTCATTCTTCAAGTTTACTCGTCTCATCGTCTACTTATCTTAACCTCCAACGTTTGACACCATGTACATCGCCGGATTCAACGTCCCCTTCAGCCCTGCGACCGACATGGACATCCCCGTGTTCCTCTCCCTGTCCTACGTTACCTATCGCAACATCAAGGCCGCCAAGTCGTCGATGGCACGCGCTTCAACAGAGGGAGGCAAGATCAAACCCAATACCTTGCCTACTACTTTCGTTGGCAAGGCCGTCAGCCCCATCCACGCGCTCGCGTTCTTCGTGCCGCAGCTTGCGTACCTCGTCAGTGTACCCCTTAGCGGGTTCAAGCAGCCTGGATGGATGCTTCGGTGCAGCCTACCGTCGTACGACCTTACGGTCAACCAACAGGCGGGAATCAGACTTCTCGCGACCGGAATCCTGCTCGGCATCGCACGCTTCACGATGGCGCGGTTGTTCTCGCAACTTGGATCGCAATTACATGGTATATCGGTATGTTTCTCCTCCCTCTCAAACCTGGATATACCTAACCCTACCTACGCTAGCGTCGGGAGAACTCCAAAGTTGTCAAACACGGCTTCTACTCCATCGTGCGACACCCCATGTACTCGTGAGTTCTCCGCGTATCACAATCTCATAAACCTCTCTGAGCCGTTCCGCTCGCTCTAGTTGCGTATTAGTCCAGGAAGTCCTTTACGGCGCCATGTTCTGGTCCTACATTCCGCTGGCTGCACTTCCTATCACGGCTGCCGCATTTGCGATCAAGATGCCCATCGAGGTACGTATCTCATCCCCACGACGATCGTACCTTTGCTAAACTTCACTCCATAGGAGGGGTTCATCCTTAACGACGAATCCACCGCTGAGGAGTACAAGGCCTATAAGAAGGACGTTCCCTACAGGATTCTCCCGTACATCTGGTAAATCACAGCGACAATGGCCATTCCTTGCTGGCGAGCTTTGTTGCTGGTAGGACTTTGTGGCATTATATTCAATGAGCATTCGATGTTGTTCAACTGCACCATCGTATCGACTGTGGGGTTCTCCTTGTATTAAACAACTCATTCGTGAAGTCATTTAGCCTCGAATTCGTCGGTATGCTGTCGAAATCATGAAGTGTTCAGATGGTATGGGAACTTTAGTAGATTTCCAATAACGCAACCGTAGTGGTTTCAGGTTTAGCAAAACTCCTGCTACCAACTCGTTTGAGACCGTGTGTCTCCTTGCCAAGCTCCGCTCTCCTCGGGTAAGCAAAGGTTCGCTTATGGCGTACAAGAATGTTTCCGAGGTGCGGGCCGGCGGCGGGTGAGCGCGCTGGGCTTCAAAAGAGACCATAAATTTCTGCATAGTGGTCAGACAGCTATCATATGCATGAACATAATTCGTTGATCATCCCAAATTTCAGTACATATGAGCATGCCCCAATCACTGAAGCGTATCGTAGAACTTGTGTGCTCTTCAGTGTCTTCAATGACAAATCCGTCGACATCGGCAATGTAATAGCCCCTGAGTACGCCGACGCGGTACCGAACGACGCCAACCTGATTCACCGGCATCTCGTGAAAGAGACTGCATGACTTCTTCGTTTCACCGCACCGCACGGAACAGATTTTCTTATCCGTTGAAGGCCAGGACGGTTCGGTGCTAACGGAACACACTTAACATCCTGATTCACGTTGATTCTCTTGCGCACCTCTCGCTTTCTTCACTCTCAACCATAACGATGCCTCTTGCAGCCGGAGTTGATAGTGACCAACCTGGCCCTAGTTCCCGAGGGCCATGTCGAAAGCCGTTTTCTTCGTGCGACTCATGCAAACTCAGGCGCGTCAAGTGTGACTCCGTTGCTCCACCTGGATCGTGTTCGCGCTGTATCTCAAAGGGTATCAAGTACGTCGCTGGGGCTCTCCCAGTCCATGGGTAGCACGAGTGACGACGTATTTATAGATGCACGACTCAGAAGAAGGCAGCCTCCCGCGGAAAGCGAAAGGAGAGAAGTGGAAGGAGGATAGAGGAGGCAAAGTAAGCACACCTCGTATCTTCTCTCCCAGTGGACGCGTTTACGTTGTCGATAGAGCTATGTACGGCGAGTTGAATGAATTTGCAACATCCCCAGCAGCTTCTGTACGAGCGGAGGTGTCTATAGTAGAGAACGAGCTCACAGGAGAGCTGACTGCGCATCTGCTATACCGTACGTCGCAATTCCTCCGCATATACAACTCCTCAACAACCTCATGCATCACAAACCATATCTCACTCGATTGCCAGTCTACGAAACCATGCCCCGCGCAAACATGTTCCCCTGCACTTTCGTCTTTTCTGCGTTTGAAACCGCCGGACGTCGTCTCAGCAATCTCCCACCATCCACACAAACCCTCGTGCTCGCCGTTGCAGCGACAACCGCGCGCATCTCATCCCACCCAGCCCTGCTGGGGCCAGGGGGTCCTCCAGCGGAGGAGCTAACCAAGTTCTTCTTCGACCCGATGCGATTCGTAGACGCGGGCCCGAGTTCTGACGATGGCTCAGCACCGACGGACGAGTCGTCTCTGCCATATTCTGTTGGAAGTCGTCGCGAAAACGCTTGCGAGCGGCTGCGCGAGAAGGCGCTGGACCACGCGTGGGCGAGACGGATATCGACCCCAGGTGTACCATCGTTCGCTTCGCTTCACACCCAGACGTCATCATCGCCATCTGACTCGGGTGCGAGAGACGATGGCGAGGAAGCGCTGGCGACGTGCTTCTTGCTCAGGTTCCTCGAGCATCCGACGTACTGCGAGCTGCACGACGTTCAATGGAGACCCGATAGAGCCTCGGAGAGGGACGTATGGTCTTCGGCGTTCGTCTCGCATTTACGTCAGCAAAGGATGAACAACGCATCTACTTCTGGGCTATCGACGGTGAGTATTGGACAGACAGTCATTTTCCATCTTTCTCCGTGTCCCAATCCATATTGATGATTGGTTTTGGCAGGGCTCTCCTAAGGAAGGCCAGGCCTCGAGATCGTCGACGTTACGGTGGTCAGTTCACATTGTACGTATCACACTTAATATTAGGGGCTGATTGCTGAACCATTTGATTCCATCAGATGCGAGAAGCCGTCACCTGCGCTGCCTACGACAACGCGTGTCAATAGTGAGCCTCATTAATTGTTCTTTCGACAACATGATAAGATGAATAGACGCGCAGCACACTCCAAGATGAGGTCATGCTTGCTGGACCGCCGCCACCACTGCCCGAAGAGGTTCTTGCGGAGGCAAATACGCCCGATGGAGGGCAGTGGTGGGATACTCAGATGTTCTACACCCTTGTCCGACCTTGTGAGTGACTGTTTTGTTGGACCTCAGCGTGACCGACGTTGAAGTTCCTGCCAGACACATATGGTATGACCCAGGTCGCTTTCAACAGTTTTGACTGGAGTGCCCGTATGTCTGTCTATTTACTCGCCAGCACATATTTTGGATTCATCTAACAAGTCTTTTTCTCCTTGATGCCTCTTACTCGCACCGTAAACCGCACAGGCCGCCGCGCCTCCCTCCCCTTCTCCCTTCCTCGTCTGCGTGCACACATGGCCGCCCTAAAAACTTTGCACACCCTCCTCGCGCTCGCACACACCCGCTTCGCCGTCGCATTCGGTGCCGAAGCCACTTCGATCCGTCTCTCCGCGCGTGCCTCGTTTGGCGGGCTGCACACGCGACATGGCACCGCGTCTGCGAACGCAAAGGCACAACACCGTCAGGACAACGCTCGTGAGGCAGAGCAAGCGGACAGGGACGCAGCACGAGCGGTTCTCGGTGCGATGGAGAGTGCGATGGCGCATGTGAACATCCCGATATGGGTGGATGTTGAGGCGCGGTTGGCCGCTGCTACTGCGGCAGACCAAGAAGGAGACGATGTGGTCATGCTGCGAAAGGTTATGAACGGACTGCGGCGGGCGTTGCTGCCGTATGTGGTGCGCATGTTGGGCCAGGGGGCAGGCGTTGGCGATGGGGGGTTCGTCGAGAGTAACGTAAGTCTCGCGGCGCTAACACAGCTCGGTGGGTATTTTTTTTCCTTGTGTGGTGCAGTGAGATCTGACTTACATCCACTCTTTACGCTATTCGAGCAGGCGACGAGCCGGCCAAGTTCTGGACATGGGTAATCCTTTCTTCAATTCCGGTAGAGAACGGTGGAGAAGGCATCACGCGTGCCCAGAAGCTGCACACACTAGAATCGTGCGCTGGATCCCTTATCTTCCCCTTTCCATACTCATACTCTTATTCTCAGCGTCTATAAGATCTACAAAGTGATCTCGTGGGCCTGGCCGCGCGTACTCAAGACCGACACGGCAATCCGCGTCAAGACCGCATTGGAGATGCTCAGGCTCGAACACATGTTTGACGAGATCTACGGTCCGACGTCCTGTGGCGTCTCTGACCCAATGACCGGTGCTAGCACCCCAGATACCGAAAGCGATCAGGCAGGCTCCCATTCCTCTTCATCTCCGTCTGCGAGTGGATCGTCGGGATCGTCGCAATGGCATACCTCTGAATCCGCTTCCTCCATTCTCGACCTGCCAGATGTCGAAGCTGTCTTACGCTCAACGGGTATACTGGATGAGCCACTGACCCCGTCACGCCGTAGTCCTATATTCATGAACACGAGGAACAACTTGAGCTTGAGGGGAGCAGGGAGTGAGGTCGCTGGCTTCTTGACTTCAGGCTTGACATCGACGCCGATGGATCTGCCGATGACGGATCCAGGTGGCGTCTCTCTCGACTTGATGACTCCGTATCTCACAAAGAATGCGGTCCAAGTTCCTTCCATGTTGACTGTCACATTACCCGAGACATGTCAGGACCGGTCAAATTTGTCGTACGACGCGCACGGTGCGGCGTTGGAGCAGTTACGGGGGACAATGCAGGCGCTCGAGTGACCCCTTGCCCATGGTTTTTTATTTACTTGCTTTATAATTAATAATAGTTAATTATCTCGTTTTGATGATTGGTCGAGCAAAGATAAGAGAGAGAAAACTCATGTGTGGCGTTCCAGGGAGCACCGTTCAAAGGGAGCTTAGATGCCATGTTGGGAGCGGGGATCAAAGCCAGGGTTGTGGGCTAGTGTTGCACCAGCGCTACCTGTAGAGCTTCTAGGCGTTCATGTTAGGCAGCCGATGCCAGCACCGTTCTCTTCTCGTCATGCGCAGGCGTCAGAGCAAATTCTTTGCCGTGATAATAGTAGGTCCTTATGTACAGTATACTCATTTGGTCCCGTTCAGGCATATCAGCTGAGCTCGCTGCCCTCGATTTGGCCCGATGACTTCTTGATGAAATGAGACTGAGCACGTTTCTCGGGTCCCTTGTTCTCAAAAATATACACCCAACGTATTGTCAGCGTGTGAGTAGCCACCTCGACTCGGTGAGTACTAATAAGCTCTGCCAGTGCGGATATTGACTTCTGCATCTGCCCACCATCGTCCACGACACTGACCTGGAGTTCGTCCTGTATGCACATTCTCCGATATCATTACAGTGAATACTCACCAATGCCATCTTTTACAGTTATGACTACCGACCAAGCTACCGACGATCAAGTATGGGCGAAGCTCGCCAGCGTCAAGGCCGCGGGAGCGGAGTTCAACTCTGAGAACGAGAGTCGCACCTTCTCCCGGTGTCTCGAAGGGACTCGAGCTCAGCTCCTCGATACCTTGTGTACATCCATGGAGAGAGGCGATAGGAAGTTGCTCTGGCTTTTTGGAGAGGCGGGGTCAGGAAAATCCAGCGTCGCTTATACGGTGGCAGATCGTTTGCGCCGCAAGGACCATCTCGCGGCCACCTTTTTCTTTTCACTCAAACACACAGATCTCAACGACACCAGCCTCATTTACATCACACTTGCTTATCAGATTGGTAATCATCATCCTGTCGCTAAGGAAGCTATTGTCGAGGCGATCAGAAAGGATCCGGAACTCCTCTCTCATACTAAATCTCGCGAGGAGCAGCTCGAATATCTGGTCAAAGTGCCGCTCAGAGCTTACGCTTATTTGGGAAGGAAAACGAAACCTTATATTGGATGCCGCGGACGAAGGCGGGCCTCGTATTAAACCCACCGTCCTTGCCCTAGCAGAACTTCTTCGCGACCCTACCATCCCTATATCTCATATCTTGATAACCAGCCGACCTTACGCCCCACTTGTCACCATTTCACAAGGCCAAAGTTTGGTAGACCTCGTCTCGCCAATCCATATCGAGGACTATAGAGCCACTCTGGATGTACAGAAATTTCTCCAAAAGTCCTTCGACGAGATATATGACCTTCGCAACCTTCATGTTCTTCGTAATAAACCATGGCCGTCTCAGCCCGTCCTTAGCTCGTTATCGCAGCGGATTCAAGGACGATTTATCGTTGCAGCTACAGTCGCTAGGCTTGTTGGGGGAGCAGAACGGCCCGACGATCGCCTGAATCTCATCTCGAACATGTACGCAGGGGGCGTCGGCGCCATGGCCTTCAATCTCGACAGCATCGACTCCGTTTACCGCTTCATCCTTTCTGACTGCGAGCCCGCAGACCGGCGCTCCGGTGTCGAGTGCCTGTCTGACATCATAGCGTTGCGTGTGCTCTTGTCCACGTCGACTGTCTGCTCGCTTTTCGGGGTCGATATCCGGCAACACACCAATCACCTCTCTGCTATCATCCACGTCCCTCCCATGGCGCCCAACAACGAGTCCAAAGGTGAGATTAGCGTCAACATTAAAACGGAGTCTACTAAAAAAAAACCCTAACGCAGTAACTACCTATCATGCGTCTTTGAGGGACTACCTCTGGGATGACTCTCGCTCGCTCGAGCTTCATGTTACTCCGAGAAGTTCGCATTCTCGTTTGCTCGTTAAATGCTTCAGGCTTGGCTTGCAGCAAAGGCGAAATAGGGAGGTTGGCCGGGTAATCGGTGAGTATAACCAGCGCTTAGCGAACCATCCACTCTGATAAACGCTAGATGAGTATGAGCCATCTTTTGACTACGTGCTCAGGTATTGGACGTACCACCTCGCTCGAGCGGAGCCAAATGATGAAATCCGAGCGCTCCTCGTTGGATTTTTAAAATGCTGTCTTGCGGCTGTCGTAGGGCGAGATGATTCGAACCCGGTATTAAATCAGGGAAGTCTGCGCGTTGCCAGAGATATCGTACTGGTGAGCTTTCCAATATCTTCATATGAGGGAAATGTCTAAATGGAATTGCACGCAGAGCTGGGAGCCATTCAGTGGCCAAAATGAGGCGGTATGGCTGTTGAACGACGCTTACTATCTTGCTCGCTTTCTGTTTATTTGGCCAACGGTACGTGAAAACACAAACTAATACACCGTGTAGCATTTGATCGATCATATGCAGGCTTTGAGGGCCCGGTGCTTGCGCTGTAAGAGAAACCGTTTCAGGAGCGGATTAAAGGATGCGATGGAGCATTGGTGTAGGGAGCCAAGGCAAGTTCACAAGTTATTGCATCACACTATAAACGTTATACATCCCTGTCTAGTGGCTCTGAATCCCGGTTCTACTGCGAGTATCACAGGTGCCGGTCTTCCTTTTGGTACATCTATGATCTCCACAGTCATCTGAGAGAAGCGCACGCAAACACAACACCACGTAAGGGTGTACACTGGCGTGACGACGAATGTACGGATATTTCATTCGCTGACGGAGTAAGGGGATGCTGACGTGTCTTGATAAGCCATTGAAGCCAGGGAAGAAAGATATGCAAGGGTGCATGTCTCATATACAACCCAACATAATGGGGTGGTCCAGGTACTGTGTATCGACTTTGAGCTCAGCACCGGTAACAAACGCTTAGCGTAACCAGGAAGGCGGGAGTGGCAGAGTGTTCATTTCATTCTGCCAAATCCAGGCAAACATAGACAACGCTCCTTTCAGAAACGATCGACTCCAAGAATTATTTTCTCAATGGGCAGAATTAACCGTGAGTATCATTTGAATGGTGTATCCGATAACGAATCTGACTACGGTTCAACAGTACTCACCACTGGGCGGATTCCTCGTGGACCCTTCTTCTTAACAAAGGTTAGGGTCCAAGTTTTCGGCATGCGCCCCAAACCCAAGCGAACGACGATTGCGAAGTCACAGGGCGCACAGCATGCATTGGATAGCGCTACCGTACGTACGAAGTGTTCACGTTCCACATGATATCGGATTGGGGTGTAAGCGAATGGTATCCTCAAAGGAAGGTAAATACAGTCCACAGGGCTGGGTCAATAATCGAAAGCGGTACGAGTGTAAGAGGTGTGTGCCAGCCAAACGAAGGGTGAAATTGGGTGAGGAGATGATGCGTGGTGCGGATGTGGGATACCACTCGTCGCGAATGTAGGTGCTGACGCTTAGTCGAGACCGTAACCAGCGGCCTGGCAGTGCAACAAAATTCGACAAGGTCAGCGATGAAGACAAGATGAAAGAGCCGAACGCACCGGAGCAGTGCAGTTGCCCAGGCTAGTCTGGGGGCAGACCTTCTTGGGGTCCTCCAAGACGGTACCGTTGGGCTGTTGAAAGCGGGTAAGCTATCACACCAAATCATGAGAGTAGAAACATACGTAGAAAGCACAGGCAGCCGACTGGGGGTGCAGGGCCTTCTCAAGGAAGCTACAAGGGGGATCACGACGTTAGTCACCAACAAGATGAGGGATGCGATCGCTACGCACGCGCAGTAGAGGTCGTTGGTCGAGTTCTGCTTGTAAACCTCGCCGAGGTAGAGCGTGGTCTGGTTGTACGGGACGGAGTCGGGGCAGATAGCGCAGTTGGTGCCGTTGGCGGGGGCAGTGGAGTTCGAAGGGGAGGTCGAGTTCGAGGGGGAAGTCGAGTTCGACCCGGAGCCAGATCCGGGCTGGGAGGTGTACGATGCACCACGGTTCTTGGCGACGACGGCGACGAGACTAGCGATGAGAGCGGTGGCAGCACGCATTATGGCGGGGTTGATCGATGGATGATGTGGTGAGTGAGCTGGCGTTGGCGGCGGCGGCGACGGCGGCGGGGTGAAGGGAGGGATGAAAATGGGAACTATGCGAGGACGTCGGCTAAAGTATTATATACGAGGTTAGCGTGATGTCTTGGCATGCTGCCGATGAGGCGGGGATGTCTCGCTTGGCTGGCCTGATGAACGACGCGTGCCTCGTCTCCATGACCTGCTGTCATCTCCACTTCAAGCTTCAAGGTTCAACAGGGTTCAGCGTTTAAAAGTCCCTCCGACCGAGCTGTTCGAGCTTCTGCGTGAGCGACGAATGCGTTTTGGGTATCGCATCTGATAAAAAGTGCTGCGTTCCATGAAGGGGATGTCAATGCTCAAGTACATGCTCGGCGATGGAGTACGGGTAACAAGACGGATGTGAAGAATGTCTTCGACGCGGGCGACACCCTCCACGTGGGAATCGGATATCAAACGCGACTTTTCTCCGTGCCAAAACATCTGGAATCCTGCCAGGACGCGTTAACGTTGTGCGGCTTGACATGATCCAGAGGCTCGATTTTTCATCGAGATCAGATTCAAATGTAGTCGATGGTCTTCTAGTAGCGATCTCTTTGGGTGTAAGACTCTACGCAGGAGGGCTAAAGGCCCGGAGCTTGTGCTAACAATATTAATTGACTTGGCCATCGAACCTTGCAGAGGCACAGCGACGAATTCAACGGATGAACAACATGTATCAATGAATAGCATTCGTCATGTAAATCATAATGGCCAAGATAGCTTGGGTTCTGTAGATCTATGTTTGTACGTAACTTAGCCGCACCAGATGATGTTAATCTGTGAACCCATCGTCGGTCAGTCCAGCTCACCAAGAGTCATAAAACCGAGAAGAGTAGAGGTGCTTACACCGCAGTTGGGATCCGGACACGCGACGGATGGTCCCGCAGTGGTCAAGGAACCGCCCTCGGGGCAGCCAGGCTCGCCGCAGTTCAGGCCATTGCTGTCGCCGCCTATGAAGGTGCATCCGATGGGCGTCACGCTGCGCAAAGAAACACAGAAATATACATTCGTTAGCACGTACACTCCCTTACACCGGCGATCATGAAGGGAACTCACAAGCTGTGGTTGCTTGGACCGCCCGAGAGGTCGATATTGGCTGTCGAGCCGCTGAACTGGAGCGTGAAGTCGACGACACCGCAGTTGGTGCCGCCGGTTGTGCACGTCCCATCATCGAGCCAGGCGACTCCATTAGTGATCGGGCCCTGGATGGTCGCTGCGTCCTGGGGCGTGGTGGCGCCTTGGTAGAGGAACTTCGGGGTGCCGAAGGGGCACCTGTTGGTGAACTACAAAAATATATGAGAGAATGGCTGTCAGAGTTTGCCCTGACAATGAAGGAGGAAATGCCAGATAGTACGGCTACGTACGTTGACCTGGTGAGACTCGGCAGCGACGCTCGAGACAAAGGTGAGGGCGGCAAAAGCGACAACGGAGGAAGTGAACATGGCTTTGCGGTGGGTGGTAAACTGAGACAGCGAGAGACCTAAGGGTAACTGGCGACAAGGACTGGCTAACAAGTTCTTTTATACCACTTTGTCGAGCATTTCGACTTTCGGGGATCGTTCTAGCTTCGCAATGACGACCGCATCTGCCATCGATGGCCAAGCCTCGTCAAGAGAGGCCGGCAGGCGAGAAAAGCCGTCCTTCAGCGTAAGAAAGATAGCCCAGTGTGTTGTCCATCACAGTACATGTCAAACGCCTGAGGAGCAGGCCGTCGTAGCCTGTACTTCAATAAGAGCTGGTGGAGCGTTCCTGCATGGTCAGCGCATCACAGAAGATAGTCCATACCTACGAGATGAATGGAATAGCAGTAGCCTCATACGATGATCCCCATGCAGATAGAAATGTGTTTGAGTTCTGACAAGAGCGACAGAGGCAAGTCAACCTGCCAGCACAGCAGCCGGCCGGCGGAGGTTGGCGGGCCGAGCAGAAGACGGAGGCAGGAGAAGGCAAAAGTTTTCGGCGCTGGTTGGTGTCGTCATGCTTAGCGTATGAGCTTACAGTAACTCCCATTCGGTACACGCAAAGGTTTGACGGAAACCAATACTTGTTCTTGCGAGCTCGAAAGACAGAAAGTGTGAATGTCTCACCGAATGGAGAGGCACCACTGTGCTCTATCTGTTTGCATGTCACCTCCTTCGGATTGGACGCGGTGGGGTTCTTCGTACATCCAAAGTTCAGCGCTATTCTCCTTGGAGTTTTTCCTGGCCATAGAAGCATACTGTACACCCTTGTCAACACAACACGAACATGACTCAAGGTCGGGTAAAGCAACCAGATTGCACTTGAGCTTGATGCGTCGCAGCCCCCATGGATGTCATGCTGAGAAGATCCTGTGGCTTGGTGCTTGCGTGTAGATTTGGGTATCGTGCTTCAAGTTTGAGACCGTCGAGGAGCGGTCTCCCCTAGGCAGACCCTATGTCAGAAGACAGTCGTTCGTCAAGTGGTCCAAGTTGCGTATGTTCGGGAATCGGAACCGGGTTCCACGACACGCCGCTCCGCCAATCGGAAGAAGAGTGCATCGGGATTCGGAAGCGACTTGATCAAGCGGGCTGGAGTCGTGTCTGTCCTAACCTACGCTTTGTCAACATGGCCATGATCGTATCTCGCTGGGGGTCTTTCATCTTCCATCTACACTATCCGTCGCACACGCGGCTATTGCATATCTTCTCTCATTTATGCTCTGCCCAAGCTTCTTTTTGCCTCGACTTGACGCTTGTTCCTGCTACACTACTGTCTTTTTTCGACCAAAAGTTCGCGGGGTGGCGTGGGAAGATGACTACCAAATACGGCGTGTCCCGCTTTTTGGTTCGTGAGGGTAGTTGGGTGCGGGACAAGGTTCGTCGGGCTTTTCGGGCATGGGTCAAAAGTTCATCGGGGATGGGATACCAGTTTGCCGCCGGACTGGCGGTTGTCCCGCATGGTCAGGCATACCAGGTCCGTGGATCCGGTCATGCGATTGGCACGTTCCCCGTCAATTATGGCTGTACCTGCTGTACCTCTATCTACCTCGTTGCTCACGCCCTTTCGCCGGCTTTCCTTTGCTGTTCTCGCTCGTTCGACCACAACAACCCCCGCTCGCCATCCTCATTCTCGTCTCCTCGTGTTGTGTTCGCGGCCGTTTCTGCATTGCTGCGCATTGCACTCGCCTCAAGGTATGTCAATCATTCCTCTCGTGACTGCTTGCAGGTCTCACCATTCCCTTGTCTTTGCAGGCCACGCAGCTTCGTTGGGTTGAGGGTATCGCGCTCGGAGGTGTATAAAGAGGGCTTTGGATGGTCATGGGCAGGACAGGTTAATCAACTGACTCGTACGCCTATCATTTACCATCCTCTCATCTTCTTTCCTTACTTCGTCTTTCATTCTTAACATTCTCTCTCTTTTAATCCCCGTCTCTACACTGAATACTACTTCTACTGCTATGCCTCCCTTAATAACCATCGACGACTGCATCGCAGAGCTCTCCGGCTTTTTCACAGCGGCCGAAGTCCCCCCTCTGTATCAGTTTTCTCCTATCGATCCCTTACAATCTGTCCGCACCCTCCTTGCTACTCCCCTGCCGGAGGCGATCCCACCTGGAACCTTGGACCCTTCATTCTCGATCACCGACGCTTTCTCACCTGATCCACCTGCACCAGGTCCTTGGGACGTTCTTGCCATCATCATCCCCCCCTATGCCCACCTTCTTCGTCGTACAGTCCTCCAAGAGCAGTGGGACCGTGGATCGCGCAGTCTCCGCATCGACGTTGGTGGGAAGCCACGTAACGTCCCTCTGTGGTTCGCGCCACTCTGGCAGGACCTTCTTCCTGCTGCGACAGCGAAGCCACGGTGGAAAGGTGCTCTCGAATGGGCCGACACAACAATCCTCTCTCAGCCGGTCCAGGCTCCCTTCCCCCACATCCCTCCCGCCCTCACATTGCTCCCCGATGTCATCGGCTGGAATGCCCCAGTTGGGAGTGCTGGCCTCTTCACGTTGGACATCGCCGAGCTGCTCTCGGATGAGTATCTTTCCGGAAAAGTCATCGACCATGCCGTGCGTCTGATTCGTGGCTGGGCGGATGTCTACCCTGTTTGTCGCCGGCTCTACATCGATACCCTCGATTTCCAGATCCCCTTCTCCCCCGATATCCGTCGCGATGTGGACTGGGGTCTCTTCGGCACCCCCCATGCACAGAACCTTACCCATCTTAGCAAGATTTCACGCGAGATCCAGGACAGCGACTATGAGGGCATCATCTGCCCCCTTCATCATTGCCATCTCGATCATTACATCACCGCCCTCTTCGATCTCCGTACTGGTCAGCTCTCAATCGGTGACTCCCTCAGAAGGCGAGCACCCCGGGAATCCATTGCGCCCGAGGATCTTGAAGGCTTTCAACGTTTTGCTGAGAAGATCGGCCACCCCCTCCGCCCCACCATCACCCAGCTCGATCATTCGACCCAGGACGACAACTTTTCCTGCGGCATTGTTACGTTCAACACGATCGAGCGCGCCCTTTTCCCATTGGCTCGAGCCTGGAACCCTGCAACAAAGTTCTCTGAGCGGGCTGAGTGGGCCTTACTTCTGTTGACGCAGGCGGGCAGTCGTTACGGTCCGGTACGTCTTCATCCGTTTCTATTTTAGATATGTGCTAACTATAACCAGTGTGATCTAGGTTTGCCAGACACACTCATCGCTTCTCGTTATGATGGAAGCCGATCCAATCCTCCCGCTCCTTCTGCACTCCCTCAGTCCACTCCTTCCACTTTTCAAGACACCGATGAACCCATCGAGAGTGGTGATGAGGGCTCCCACTTCTCCAATTCGACCACTGACGTCACCGCCCTTGATGATTCCGATTCCGACGACTTACCACCCCGCCCATGGACTGCCCACCCAGTCAAGCCAGCTCAGATCCCCTCTTCCCGGTCTCAGCGAACACTCATCTCACGCCCTCCACCAACTCTTCCACCATGTTCCCACTCCCAGCCCACCCTCACTGCCTTCTTCTCGACAGTCTCACGCGATGACATGGAGGCCGAACGGCTCGCAACCAAACACGAGCGCGAGGTGAAGGGGTATGAGGCTTTTGAGAGGGCAGAGCGGCACGATCGGATTGGGAAGCTGAGGCGAGAGAGGATCCAGAAAGAGAAGGCACGCTTGCGCAAGCAGCGCTGGCGGAGCGAAACTCGGGTTCAGGCTCAGCAGGTGCGTATCACTAACTTTCGGTTTCATTTGCTTGTACTCACTAAAATTCTATGTAGGCAGCTAAAAAGGCCAAAGTGAGGACGGCAATTGCACTCTCGACTGCGTCCGCAAAGGCCACACCGGAAGCATCGCGCCCTCGCCGGTTCTTTTCCTCTCTAGCCTCCAAGAACCAGGATCCGCGTGGCCGAAAGCGCAAGATCACCACACCTGTGGACGCCAAAAACTTCAATTACCGCCATCCGTTAGTCTTCCAGCAGATCGACAACAGCGCACACAAAGTTGGCTGGTCGCCGAAGCGGATTGCCGATGATCTCAAGGCTACAAACCCCCAACAGTTCGCGCGGATCACACCTCAACAGATCGGACGCTGGATCGAACGTCGTCCTCGCGAGTCGCCTCGGTGGAAGGATCACATTCTCGAGCAGGTAGACATCGGCAACAGGCCTCAGGGCAATGTCACTCGGGTAGGAATCCTCGTGAGTGCTATTGACATATCATTCAAAGTCCTCGCTGATGCTCATGTCCTGCAGGATCCTTATCCTGATCTCGTTGAAGAGATCAAGGAACACCTAAAATTCATGCGCTACTCAGGCATAGCGATGGGCACAGCCTCGTGTCATGCAATCATCATGGCGCTTGTTCAGCATCGGGCCCCTGAGCTCCTCCAGTCTTCTGAACCTAACGGCGGACCCAAGTTCATGTGCAGCAACTTCTTCATTCGCAAGTTCGTCTTCCAGGAGCTTGGTTGGGTGCCCAGAGCTTCAACTCGCGCTGCGCAGAAAACCCCAGTCGATGCCGAGCAGAAGATTTTCGAGCTTTTTGTGCGCTTGTCCCTCATGGTTCGCGATTCGGGCGTGCGGCACCCCGATCTACTCGTCAATTTCGATCAAACCCAAGTCGTCATGGCCGATAACACTGCCAACACGTTTGAGGTCAGGGGTGCGAAGCAGGTGTCCGTTCTCGGGAAGGAGGAAAAGCGTGCGTTCACAGCCGTCGTCGGTGTCTCAGCGTCGGGAGATCTCCTCCCGATGCAATTCATCTTCAAGGGTGGATCTCACCGATCCCTCCCCTCCTCGCATGCTCCCTCTATGGATGAAGCCACCCGCTTGGGCTTCGTCTATTCTTGGAACTCGGCCAATTATTGGTCGAGTCTCCCTACGATGGCCGAGTACATGGAGAGGATCGTTGTCCCTCACTTCGCCCGCGCAAAGCAGCTACACGGCTATGCTGATGATCAAGATTGCGCCGTCATACTCGACTGCTGGTCGGTTCATCGCAGCGAGGCTTTTCGGCAGCTCGTTCGTGGCCGATGGCCGTGGATCCGCCTTCTCTTCATACCAGGTGGGACAACCGGTGACTGCCAGCCATGCGACGTCGCGATACAGAAACCTTACAAGCAGGCGATCAAGAGAGCTCAGGCCCAGGATTCAATTGACGAGGCGCTCACGCATCTCAATTCCGTGCCCAATCCGGATCTCCTCGATTTCTCCCTCGATACTCGGCTCGGAACGCTCCGAGACCGATCAGTTGCATGGTGCGTGAAGGCGTACCATGCGATTAATCACCCAGAGCTCATTCGGGAAGTAAGTGCCTCCTTTTTTTTTGCATTGGTCAGTTTTTAACTACGAACAGTCATTCAGTCGATGCACGGTCAAGGGAGGCTTCGACCTCTCGTTTGAGTCGCTCTCTAGCTCGGCCGCCCTCAAGGTCCTCCGTGATCTCCCCCGATCTAACCCGGATCTCTGGGATCGGATCTCCACACCTCCTGCATCCGAGAAGGAGGACGTTGAGGCTCAGGTACCTGACGCCGACGTTGATCCCTTTGAGATGGAGGACGATTCCGATGCCGACGATATGTGGATGGATCCGGCTGATGTTCTGGGTAGGATTCTGTACCCTGACGGCTCAAACGGGGCCGAGAATGGTCTTGACGTCACAGATGAGCATGAAGCGGACGTTGAGGCTGCTCACATGCCTGAACCGGACACTTTAGGCCGTGGTAAGCGCCGCAAGACGTCGAACAAGAACTTCAGCGGGTTTTTCGGGCACTAGGTAGTCTTAGAATGGTTGTAGGAGCTTATTTGATGAATACATATGCGTTTTTCTGCTATTTACGGTGTGTCCCGCTTTTTAGTTCGCGAGCGTCTACAGATGCGGGACAAACTGACCAAAAAGTTCATGTCACCGGTCCGGTGGGACACGGGACGAACTTTTGGTCGAAAAAAGACAGTACTCTTTTACCCTCGAGCGCTAATCTGCACAGCTGTGCCTTAATCTACTCACTTGTTCATGAACAGTGCCCATGCCTTCCTCACCTGCCCTTACCTATCCCCTTCTCAATAAAAACGCCACGCACTGGTCTTCAGCTTCAAGCTTGATCGTCCTCGCATGCGATTGCATTCCTTGACATCCGCGTCTGGCTAACGCCTGAGGCTATGATTTAGTGGCGCATCAGGCCAAACCTCGTTTCAGATCTCATTATCTGCGGCTGTACACGTTTTATCCCGACATTTCATTGAACTCATCCGTGCGATAAGTCACTGATGGATCAAGATATCGCCAAAAGAGGGTTAGTCAAGGTACGTACAAGCATACGAGGAACGGAGGGATTGGATCTAGAGGTGAGTTGCTCTTTGGATTGTTATAACTATGGCGACTCTCATAGCCTACTATAAATCCAGCACTGTTTTATGTATACAAGGCTGACGCTGTGGAGACCGTCTTGCCTCAGAATCCTATGGTGGAAACCTTATTCACCATCGTGTTTGATCCGTTGCATCCATGGATGTGGAGATTAACGTTCAAGCCACTAAATTGTTGATCTACTAGGTCATTCATCTCCCTTACTGGCTCAACACAGACGCTCAGCAAGACATTTGCATTGCCTTCGTGAACGAAACTCTAATCATCTTCAGGACATGCAATCAGGGAAAAGGAGACGTTCCCCTCGAGATGTGCAAGTTGGGAATCACGTTAGGCGCGCGTGGATTCTATTTGAGGCTGTCTCTGGCTGCCCTTGTCCCTGCATCTAGAGCTCTCTCCTTCCGCCCTGGCTCTCCAACATGTCTTCCGCGTCGCTCGAGCAAGAACTCATACAGGATGCGATTTACTTTCAACGGTTCGACTATATATGTGGTGCGTCTGTCAACTTTATGCGTCACTACGGCTGAAAAGAAAACCTTCCAACAGCCAGTACTCTGACTCTCGCGGTATACGATTACCGTGCGTCGCAACTATCAATCCTGCTGAACTTGAAAGATGACAGGGATTTCGACTCCCAGTAATAAACCTAGGGGGCGAGGTATGCGGCCCTGTTCGATATCCCGAGGCAGTAGGACTGATGCCGGGTATACTAGCTCGAGTTTATATGGGTATAGTCACCGTTTTCACTTCTAGTTCTGCAAAGTGCTGAGTCAAAGCGCATCTTCAGGGGAACAGATTTACGTGGACGACCTTGGTGTATGTCATGGTCAGTGCCGCGGAATGAGCCATGTACTGAGAGGTCACTCATACATTCTACAGATGCGTTATCTTGGGCTGATCTTTATCGCGTAAGTGATATATTCATAATTGGTTCTGAAGTGTCGAAGTAAGCTCTGTAGACTGCATAATAGTAAGTGTCGTTGTATTCAGTCATGATATCGTGTCTCACCCTGTCGCTAGTTCCGGACTTTGGTCTGTCACTCTCGGGAAATGTGAGTTTAGTGTGCATATCGCCTTATTTTATTACAGGGCGCTAAATTGGACAAAACGCGATTGCTAGACGTTCGTAGTGTAAAACCATCTTTGATTCTCCGTCTCAGACTGTCTAATCTAGGTGTAAGTACCAGCGCTTCAAGACTCTGATGAATCTGTCTGACGCAGTACATTTTCAGGCTTCCATATCTACGTAATCTCACAAGTATGCATCTTCGTTGTTATTTTGCTGCTCCAAGGTTCGTCCCCTCGCGTCCTCTAAAGTTATCAAACGAGGTCAACGTGTATCAACAGGAATAATGTCCTTGCGAGTGTATGTGCTCTTCGGGCGATCAAGATCTATCCTTCTGGTTCTCGGGCCATGCTTCTTTGTCACACAAGTCCTTAGCATCGTTCCCGATATGTGGTATTTGACCGCCGGGGGGAGTTACTGGAGTGAGTTGAATGAACAATCACTCATCATTTAACAGTGAGCTTACTACGATGGTTTCAGTTGACGAACATTTCCTGAATATCTACGCTTGCGCCTACAACGCCCCAACAAATCGAACTTGGATAACTCCGATCTCCAATGCTGCCGTGCTTGCATTCGAAGTCCTTCTTTGCGCATTTGCACTGCGTTATGCCATCAAGAACATCCCTGTTTCATTCTTGAGGTCCCCGGGGCGAGGAGCGACTAGTCTCGCGTGGGTCATTGTGCGCGACAATCTAACGTACTTTTTCATGTGAGTATGAGGCCCTGGACGGTCTTTGTGCCTTTTGCGTCAGGCGACTGACGATACTCTCAGCGCGCTCGTATCTATGTTCCTTGCCTCAATTGACCAGGTTCCTTCGTTCGTCAACGTGCGGAGCATACTTCATTTGTTTCTAATGAGAGCTAACACCAGCCTTGGACTTTTGTTCTCACAGTCATCTACCTTCCTGGTGGTGTACAGCGTGGCGCTAACAGTTTTAACAACAATGGCCGGACCGCGTATGGTTATAAACCTACGTAGGTGCTACTCGGTGGCATTGGGGGCGGGAACAGCTGGGTCGAACGAAATGATGACAACAGTGTCCTTTGCGAGCGCGCCGCCACAGGCGGAGTATGAGGTCGGTTATTAGTACTTAATTAATTTCGAAGCAACCTTGGGTAGTACTAACACCATCAACGGCCATGAACCTCAGATAGACTAAGTACCGTAATTCGGGAAATAAAATAAGCGAGCCTTGGATGTCCTTGCCGATACATCCGGCGTCAATCAGACCACCAATCCGAAGAAAATCCTGGTCAAAGTTCCGGACGCAACGAGTTGATTATGTTTTGACTGACCCAATGTAGCATTTCTCTCTTGTATATGTCATGATTCGTACTCAGAACTGCTGGTCATGCTACTGGCGATAGATCATAACATCGACATAGCACATCTAATTGAATATATAGATAAGAACTAGTAGAGCTATCGGATAGTCTAGCAGAAGCTGATGTTGATCTGCAAACAGTACATCAGCTTCCAGGTCTACATGAATCCACCATCGTGGGGAAAAGAGGACTTACACCGCAGTTGTTGGCTGCGCAGTTGACGAGGGGAACCTGCGGAGGGCTGAACGACGCCTGGGGACAGGTGGGCGAGTTGCACTCAAGGCCGTCTGTGCAGCCGTTGATGAAGCTTTGAAGTTGAATCCGAGTGGTGTTTGGCTAGTAGGCAAGGCAGATGCCGTCAATATTCTGCATAACTTCAAGATATCATGATAGGCACTGAAAGACTCACTAGTTGTGGTTGCCTTCGGGCTCAAGCGTGATATCGGCCTGCGAGAAGCCCGTGTTCGCGAGGGTAAACTCGACAGCGCCGCAGCCAAGACCGTTGTTCGTGCAAGATCCGCCGTTGTCGAGCCAGGCAATGCCGCCGTTAAGCGGGCCTTGGATGGTCGTGGCACCTTGTGGGGTCGAGTCACCCTGGTAAAGGAAGAGGGGAGTGCCGTTTCCACAGTTGTTCGTGAACTTGTATGCGGGGCTTTAGCATACATGGGCAGAAAGACGCATGGAAGAGCATGATGTGCTTACCGTGACCTGATGCGACTCCTGAGCAGCGGCGCCCGAGACGAAGGCAAGGGCGGCGAAGGCAAAGACAGTAGCGGAGAACATGATTGTTTACGAGAAAGCACGAAGCTGGAGACAAGGTTATTTGATACTGAGGATTATCGGGCGAAAGCTCGCTCGTTTTTATACTGTGATGTGGAGCACCTTCAGAGATTTCGAGCCTACGCGTAGTGAGTGTTTGATGGTCAATCAGGTCCCCTTTTGTCGAGAAACCGAGAAAAAGTGCCCTACGTCAGCGACATCAAACAGTATATCATGTAGTTCATCATAGACAATATCAGAGACCCTAGGAGCAGCCTCTGTTGCATCATGAGTGAGTGGAGCGTTCCTGCATGGTCAATGCTGAACATGAGCACATCCGTACGAGATGTGAATGCGACTGAGGCTTCAAGGCGTCGATCTCCATGCAGAAAGCATTGTTCATGCTTGAGCGGAGTAAGCGACCGTGAAGCCGACCGATGAACTCAACGAGCAGTGCAGGACCCACAAGAAGACTTGCAGGGCGATCGACGAAGGAGCAAGAAGCCCGTCATCTGAAACACCTCACTCGGGACTCGATATCGGGTGTGGAGACCCGAGTGGAAATCGAGGCGGTGTGAACAGCTGCGATCAGAACTGTTGAGTTGGCCATTCAGTCAGCTCTGACAATATTAATGGCGACAAACGCCAGTGTGCCAGTGCAGCAGCTCCGTGTAGTACGGCCGGGATCAGCCGAACGTGTCCAAACTCCGCGAATCTCGCCCAATGCGACACGTCGCGTTCCCAAGTTCGCGTTTTGCTTTCTTAGGCTACCATGTTAATACCGACATCAAGCTTCTGCTTTTATTCTCCATACAAACTGACCACGGCACGAGAACGATTTGATATGTCCGTTATACTAAGCCTGTTATGGTGTTTGTATATATGTGAGTAGCCTTAATGCTGTCCATATTGACGCAAAGCTAGAACCCCAGGAAATTCGGAATTACAAGGTTCTATGCATTCTACGAAACAGCGCCTACCTAAGAATACTTGCTTCGGTGCTGTAATGCGCGGATTCGCGCTTGATGTGCGCACCTCCCGCCCACATCAGCAGCTCCTCTAAAAGCATTTGTGGCGCCAAACTCTTGCATGAGCCTGCTGTCAAGTCCCATACGTACCGAGCTCAGAAACTGCGTACATGCACGAACTTGCTCGATACTAAGAGAAATAGAGCTCAACATCACCAGCAGATCCTTCGACCTACACATCGACGCGCATCACCCGACGTATATGCCTCGGCGCCTTGCGACTTGGTCGGGACTGCCTTTGAATTCTAATTGAGCCAGCTGGGTGACGTCCGTCGGCATCGCGCTGTGTCTCGGATCAAGATGTGAAGCTGGAACACTGTGCGTATACAGTTTTGTAATGCTATAGCCTTGGTGCGCGCACATGTCTGTTTCCCGGACCAGAGCTGGCATACTTGAGCGTCTGGTGAGGTCGGAAACACTATAAATTGGAGGCGATTTGGAGCCAGAGTTGAGTAGCATCGAGAGCTTACCCGTCTTCTACACTCACACATCCTCTTCAATTGAAGCCAATTCAAAAATGTTCGCCATCATTGCTACTGCTGTCGCCCTCGCCTCCTTCGTCGCTGCGGAGTCGCACCAGGTCACTGTAAGCGCCCTATTTTCCACCCATCATGAACGTACGCTGAATCACTATGATAGTTCACCAACAACTGTGGCTACGGCACCCCTCTCTTCCTCTACCAAGGCGACTCCACGCCGCAAGGTGGGACCACGATCCAAGGCGAGCTCAACGGCGGCATTGCCTGGCTCGAGAACGGCTCGTGCACAACCGATGGTGTTAACTGCGGTGCCGTCGAGTTTACCCTTCAAAACACCGGATACAGCCAGGCGGATATTACGCTTGAGCCTGAAGGCAACCACAACTAGTGAATACTTCTCGTTAATGTTAAGCTGACCATCCAGCGCTGACGGATAACGTGTTTGTTTAGCCTGTACCCGATCGGCTTTAACTTCATTAACGGATGCTCGAACGGTCTTTTCTGTGACAACCCCAACTGCATAACCGTGGCATCGTTCAGTCCTACTCAGGTCCCGCTTGCGGACTGTCAGGCAGACAACTGCGGCGTAAGTGTTCGTTGGGCCCACCATTCAGAACTGAATCTAACGAGTCCCGCAGATTAACGTCATTTTCTGCTAAATGTTGCAGAAACTTAAGATACTTTTCTCTTATGGGTACTATGGTACATGGGCATGGGTTTTAATATTGGCAATCTTGGTGTCACGTATTTCGATGTTTTGTGTTTTGGGACGTCAAATAAGAATGACGTTGGTGTTTAGCTTGACAATTTATTTTGGTGCTGTACTTGAGACTTGCGGGTCTGACGTGACGTATTCTACCAGCGCTGAGAATGGCCACGAAATTGGCGCTAATCGGCGTGAAACTGGGGGCAACGAACGTGCCAGCGACTTTCTTGTTTTCAGCAGCTATCAGCAGCTGTATCCTTCCCGAAGGATTTGACGCTACCAAATGTACTCGAGTATATCTCGACTTCGCGTTTGCTTTCAACGTTTCGTCTGACAAAGTCTCTCGTAGAGCATTATAGAAATGTCAATGGAAGAATTTTGAAGCCGCTCTCATTGACTTTGCTGCAACTTAAAACGCCTCAATGACGCATCAGATCAAGCCTTGTTTCAGACCTCATGCTTCGTAGCTATGTACCTTTTATCACTTATCACAATATAACATTGAAAGACGCATGGAAGAGCATGCTGGGCTTGCTATGACCTGATGTGATTCCTGAGCCTGAGCGATGCTCGAGACGAATGCGAAGACAGCAAAGGCAACGACAGAGGAAGAGAACATGCTTGTGTGCGAGAAAGCAAAACGCTCGAGATGAGGTTGGCTAAAGCTGAGGATCATCGGGCAAAATCTCCCCCGTTTTTATGTTTTATTTTAGAGCACCTTCAGCGATCTCGAGGCTCGGCGTAGTGAATGTTTGATGATCATTCAGATCCTCTTTTGCCGAAGAAAAGGGCAATAGTGCCCTACGTCAGCGACATCAGACAGTCTAGCACGTAGTTCTTCACGGAGAATGCCAAAAACCCAAGGAGCAGCCAGTGTTGCATCGTGAATGAGCGGACAGACCTGCGTGGTCGATGGCTGAATGCCAGCACGTCCGAGCAATATGTACAAGCGACTGAGGCGCCCAGAGATCGATCTCCATGCAGAAACAGTTGCTTATGCAAGTTCATGCTCCGGAGAAGTAGACGGATGTGGAGACAGCGGATAAAATCGACAAATAGTGTAGGCCCTCTCAAGAGCCCTGTAGAACTATCTTGAACAAACGAGCAAGAAGCCCGTAAGCTGAAACAGGCTGAAACGTGCACTCGGGATTAACTCTCTGGCGTGGAGAATTGGGTGGAATCAAAGGTGATGTGAGCAGCTGCGATCATTCTGTTGAGTTGGCTATTGTTCAGCTCCAATGATAATGGCGACAAACGACAGTCTGCCAGCGCGGCAACTCCGTGTAGCACGGTCGGGATCAGCCGAGTGTTTTTTACAACTCCGCGCATCGCGCATAATGTGAACGCGTCGCGCTCCGAGCCGCTTTTAGGCTAACATGCAAACGCCGACCGTCAGCTTCTGCCTCTGATATACAAAGTAACATAGAGCACAAGGATGTTATATTTCCACAATGCAAAACCTATCATGGCATTTGAGCATCTGTAAGCGGCCAAGATCTTCTCCATTTTGACGCGAAGAAGCTAGAACCACAGGTACTTCGAAATTGAAGAGTTCTACGCACTCTATGAACCAGCGTCTACCTAGCAATACTTTCTTTGGTATAATTATGTGTGTGTTTGAAATTGACCGTCGCTGTCCTGCTAACCTCCCGTGTATATATGCAATTCCATTGAAGGCGTCTGTAACATATAGTGGCCAAACTCTTGCATGAACAGCCTGCTGTCACGAGCCATACATTCCGACCCCAAAAGCTGAGTGCACGTCAGAACATGCTGATTATTGACAGAAAATTCCGCTGATCATGATGACCAGTCAACCCTTCAATCCAAGCATCAACCGCATTGGCACCCGGAGTGCATAGCCTGACATTTTTGCCTCTGCGCCTTGCGACTTGGTCGGGTCTGTCTGCATCCTTATAAAGCTCGCTTGGAGGTGACGATGATCGGCACTGTGGTGCATCACTGTGCAAAATCTATGCTGAAACAATGGTGCGCGTACATTCCTTTGATGCTCCAACAGATATCGGTGCGCGTACATGTTTGCTCCCCGGTTCTTGGCTGGTATCCTTGAGAAGCTGACAAACACCTAGTGAGGCCAGAAACCGTATAAATTGAAGGGGTTTGAGGCCAGGATTGAGCAGCACCGAGAAGCCCACTTGTCGTCAACACGATACTTCTCATACTATACTATCTCATTGAAACATGTTTGCCATTGCTGCTGCCGCCCTCGCTCTTGCCACCTTTGTCGCTGCGGAGTCCCACCAGGTCACCGTAAGTGCCTCTTTCCCCTTCGCCGACAATGCGATCGTATACTGAAAGGTCTACCATTATAGTTCACCAACAACTGTGGTTATGGAACCCCGCTCTTCCTCTACTCGAGTGACGGCACCCCTCAGGGCGCGACAACGATCCAGGCCCCGCTCAGCGGGGGCATCGCCTGGCTCGAGAATGGCTCGTGCACAACCGACGGTGTCAACTGCGGTGCCGTCGAGTTCACGCTCGTAAACACTGGCTACTCACAGGCAGACATCACCCTTGAGCCCGAAGGCAACCACACCTAGTGAGTTTGGTTTATCCTGACCGCCCCTTGATACCCTCGGGCACTGACACGAAACGCGCGCGTGTGCAGCCTGTACCCGATCGGCTTCAACTTCACCAACGGGTGCTCGAACGGCCTCTTCTGCGACAACTCTAACTGCAAGAATGTGGCGTCCTTCACTCCTACGCAGGTTCCGCTCGCGCAATGCTCGGCTGACAACTGCGGAGTAAGTTCCTGCTTAGCATGTCGACCAGAACTGATTCGAACAAATTCCGCAGATCAATGTTATTTTCTGCTAAATTAGCAGCGGACATACGGATATGTCCCCAGCAAGGACAGAAGGCATGGACACGAAAATAGATTCTGTTTTGAAGACTCCTTGATGCTATATATTGTAAAATGTGACGAACATTTCTGCTTGCCTTGAAACCTCTTTTTGACGTTGTTCCTGGGTCCTTTGAGAAACATGGGCCGTGACGTTTTATGTCACCGGTGAGATCGACTACGCATCCGGCGTTACGTGATGTAAACCCGGGGGTGAGCATGCCAGCAATCCAAGGGTGAGAGAGAGCGAAGCACACGACTGACCGCGCTCTTGTATGGAGAGTTTCTCCCCGTTCGATCTACGAAGATCTCGAGCCCTCCTCTGAATATTTGCTGAACCAATAAGTATTGCAGATATAAGAGGAGGAGTGTTTAATCTTCATCGTGAGTTTGTTCTAGTTTTAAAAGGGCTTTCGCAGCACGAGCTTTCAATATGGGCGCATGGAATTCCCCTCTCATTGTTTGAAGCATTTCGGGGTTCTTTAAAGCGGACGCACATTACTCAGTTGACAGGGGCTTTCGAGGCTATTCTCGGCGAAATGATCTTCTGAACAACTCCACACGCGAGTAACTCCGCGTTATCCGGAGCTATCCGGAGTTATGCGCCGTCGGTGCCGCAGCAGCAGCTGTACTTACCGCACCGTCAGCTGCGTCGCACTACAGGAGACGTTGGCCCAACGACCTTTCAGCCCACGCTCTCCGAAGGTAGCAGCCTCAAGAGTACACTAGGATCTCTCTTACTGGTGAGATATATCCACCACTAATTCCCCTCCTGCGCCCTCGGAGCTACCTCTCTGCCACGTCGACGTGGCAAACGCGCGGTGACGGCGATCAACACAGCTCTGTATCTCGCATTCAAATTAAGTGAGTGACCAATGGAAAATCTACTGATCGCACACATGCGCGTTCGACGGACTGGAGACATGTAGCAAATCTAACTATTCCAGTCACGACTAGCTTCTGTGATGCGGCATGAGGTCCTGTGTCATGATGGGATGGGATGGGCTCACCGAGTTGCATGACGGAGCGGCAGAAGACGGCAGACAATGGGCAACCCCAGGTTGAGAATTCTTGTACGTTTGGATACCTGGTCCATTCACACCCGTATAGTCAGCAAACACCCCCTCTCGCTGACTCGCGTCGCTGCTTTCTATCGCATCATACATGGCAGTGTTTTCACTTTGCAAAGCATGCTACAACACGCACTAATGGGATCGAAGCAACTGCCATGGACTCCGAGACTCGGTGCTAGTATATGTTCTGATGCGGCTGATCGCAACGCTGTGGATCAAGTTCTGAAATCATCTCGGCCGTCATTTCCGTCTGCGCTTATCACTCTAAAAATAGGCTAGAGCAACAAACAGACACGACAAGTTGCCACCGCTGCTCGTCGCTCTCCAGTAAAGAGCGGTTTGGGGCCTTCGCTTTTGCTCGAGGTAAGTATATATGTGTCTTCTGAACGAACTCTCGAAGGTGAATGATTTCACTTGTTCACAACCTAACTCTCCTCCCCCTCGAGTCTTTTCCTCGGGCGGTTGTATACCCCACCCTCGCATGCATGGTACATCAATGCATCACGACTGGTGCGCTCGTGAAGAATCAACCTTGCATACCTGTGCTAAATGTGCCCCTGGAGACCCAAAACACCTCTGCACTGGCACTCCTGTCCCTGCTTGACCTCGGCTCCGTTCAACTATTCTTATCTCAGTCTCGCTCTGCGCTCGCCTCCCCGCGCGGATCATGACACCTGCATGCTACACTATGCACGAACGCCAGACTTCTCCCAACGACGCGCCTGCGGCAAGGCACAGCTCCGCGCAGCGCACGCTAACGAGAGCGCGATGGCCTAACGCTAACGTGTGGGGCTGATGTGAGGCGCGGCAGTCACTTGACGATCATCGAATGAATAGCTCCCCTATCGAAACCGCGAATCCTCGGGCCACGGCAGGCCATGGCAGGATCATGGTAGGGCACATTGTCGTTCTCGAGGCAGAAATGATCAACGCGTGGGCCGCTGTCGCTCCCACGTCGGCGAGGCGCCAGCTCGATCTGCCCGTCTTTCGGGCAGGGTTACGTTGCAAGAATCTTGTCAGTGCGACATACTGACCTCCGAAACCGGGTATTTTTGGTACGCGAGCATATAGCAGTGCTGCTGCCAGCGAGGACTTAGATGCAGGTGCGTGCTACACTGGTCGAGAGGGAGAGGTATAAATTCAAGGCGAGATTGGCGTCGAAGAGCATCATTAACTACCTATTCACCCTCCTCTCAAACACACATTCCAAACATGTTCGCCGCTTCCGTTCTCGCCGTCGCTGCCCTCGCCTTCGCCTCTGGCGCTGCCGCCGAGTCGCACCAGGTCACTGTACGTATTAGGCCCATTCGTTCGCCTCCAGACCAACGCTAACTTCCGTCCGCTTCGTCACTACTAGTTCACCAACAACTGCGGCTACGGTACCCCTCTCTTCCTGTACCAGGGCAACTCCAACCCTCAGGGCGCCACCACCATCCAGGGCGAGCTGAACGGCGGTATCGCTTGGCTCGAGAACGGCTCGTGCACCACCAACGGTCTCAACTGCGGTGCCGTCGAGTTCACCCTCCAGGACACCGGCTACTCGCAGGCCGACATCACCCTTGAGCCCGAAGGCAACCACAACTAGTAAGCCTTCTGCGCCTCTCAGTCTGCTTGGAGTATGTCATTGATGGCTCTCGCTTTCTAGCGTGACTTCTCTTGGCTTCAACTTCATCAACGGCTGCTCCACCGGCCTGTTCTGCGACTCGCCCACCTGCTCGGAGGCCTCGTTCACCCCCACCCAGGTCCCCCTCGTTGACTGCCAGGCCAACGACTGCGGCGTAAGCTTCCTGTCATTTCTCGAGCTTGAATGTTGGATGCTAACGAGATGTTTGCAGATCAACATCACTTTCTGCTAAACGTCAAATACGACGCACTGCATGGGTTTTGAGAGGGGTATATATTTATGGGGCTAATATGTGAATGCAGTTAATATCTGGGATCATGTATAGGTTTTGTCAATTGCATTAGAACGCTGTTGACGTACAAGTTCAATTCGTTGCGATGCGTTGTGCTTTGTATCGGCTGAGGCATTTAAAAGAAGTTTATCTCTCGAGTTGACGTCGTAGTTAATGCACATTGCTTTGAGACGTTGCACATTGCTTTGAGACGTTACACAACTCAAGTCGGTCACTAACCGTCTTTAACAGGACGGCTAACCTGATTCTGCCCTATTAGTTGTAGCATGCATTGGTGCTCGTCAAGCTCAACTACCACTTATTACTCTTTTATACACGTGCCTCAACCAGTACCATCATTCACAATATTCCGACGATGTCCGAGTGCAAGCGGCCGCGGGAAGTCAACATCTCGGCAACATTAGGGCCGGCATCTCGTCCCATCTCGGCGCGCTTGCGTCCGAGTCAAGTCCGAGTCCTCCTACATTCTGCTCATGATCATTAAAACTCGACCAACATCAGCCGCCACCTGTGTTAAATGAATCCATGAGACCCAGAGCAAATATCTCTGCGCACCTGTGCCCTCCTGACCAACCCCCTCGGACTAAATCTGTCCGGTCCCTACCCGACGAAGGCTGACCTTCGGCGTGCCGTTGCAGGCTGTTGCTCTCCGTCCCTCATGCGGATCGACCGTGAATGCATGACATGGACACGTGTAACCTTCCACTACTAGTATAGACTTACAGGTCCCTGGAATAAGGCTGGGACATCGGCCCGACACCGGTCCCATTGGTCTTGTGCTCCCGCTATGTCTGGACACGCTACTTCAAGCGCATACACCATCTATAACCATCTCAAAGACGCGTCTGCAACTAGGCACAGTCCTCGCGACATGATCATAGGACATGAAGAGTGCTAATATCCGGGTCTATCTCTGGCGGTCGGGGCTGATGCGATGTCACGTCGATCCCTAGACTATCACACAATGGCTCTCCTAGCTCCCCGTCTCTCCCCTATCTCGTTAAGCAGGAAACCCACGGAACATGACAAGATTGTCAATGCACCCTACGGCGCGAAGCCAACCAAAACATGCAGGGCTGCTGCTCCCACGTCGACGAGGCATCTGTTTGATCTACCTGCCTTTCGGGATTGCCCTCGCAAGGTCTATGTCAGCTTGACATAGGTGTTCACCTCCGGGATCAAGTAATCAGGGACGCGAGCACACTAGCAGCATAGTGCAATGCCGCCGCTTCTGCCATCGAGGAGGCATGTGTAGTTAGGCGATGCACTGGCTGGTGGGTGGGTGGGGAGGTATAAATACGAGGTGGGATTGGCGTCGGGGAGGACCGTCAGCTTAGTTCTCTCTCTCTACTACAACCCGCTAGACCTTCACCTCGAATATGTCCGCCGCCTCCGTCCTCGCCGTCGTTGCTCTCGCCTTCGCCTCTGCCAGTGCTGCCGAGCAGCACCAGGTCACTGTAAGCACCCCCTCATCTACTACGCTCATTATTACTTTCTCCCGGGCGGGAACGCTGACGTACACTCGCGGCCTCTTTTTGCCATGTAGCTCACCAACGACTGCGGCTACGGCACGCCCCGTTTCCTCTACCAAGGCAACGGGAGCCCGCAGGGTGCGGCCACGATCCAGGGAGAGCTTAACGGCGGTATCGCGTGGCTTGACAACGGCGCCTTGTGCTCGACCAACGGCGTCGGCTGCGGCGCCGTCGAGTTCACACTCCAGAACACTGGCTTATCGCAGGCCGACATCACGCTCGAGCCCGAAGGCAATCACAACTAGTGCGTGCCTCCTTAGCTATATAAATTCTGCGATGTTGATGTTGCTGCTGCTGATGGATGTATGCGAACACCAGCCTCCACCCAATCGGCTTCAACTTCATCAACGGATGCAACACCGGCCTGTCTTGCAACAACCCCGACTGCGTCGACCAGGCATCATTCAGCTCGACCCAGGTCCCGCTCGTCGACTGCGAGGCCGACGACTCTGGCGTAAGCTTCTCATAAACTCGTTAAATTCCCTGAAAACAGGTGCTGACGAGACACCCTTACAGATCAGTGTCATTTTCTGTTAGACGTCGCCGTTCGCGATTCCGCGTTTTGCACGGGTTCTCAGAGGGGTTTCACAGGCTATTGGGGCACGGCGGTTCTGAGTTTACTGGCTGGGTTACAGTGACTATTTGGGTGTAACTTGTACATGTATCGGGTGAGCCGAATGCAGTAGAAAGCGTTGTTAACTGTTAAGCACCAGTTTCATTCCCTGGGCATGGGATTGCGCTTCGCCTCACCAGTATCACTTGGAGCGAGAAAGTACCCCAGTGACGGTAGACATGCAGTACATCCTCCCCGTATAGTTAACCTTCTTACCGTTATTCATTTGGCTCTCGCGTTGAACTGGAGGGCAGCTTGATCCTCCCGCTTTGGACTTCTGGACTGTGAATGGCATCAGAACGTTGAATTTTAAGCTCAAATCTGGCGTGGTGCATTGTGTTTCGTGGTCATGAATGAAGCGAGCACGGTTCTCAGCGAAGGCCAAAGCTGAAGCACGCACCGCACACGACATTAACATGAGAGTACCTTAGCACTAACTGTCGGGGTCCTTTACATCTCACGTTGGTTGCCAACTGTTTTATATATATATAGGACGCCTAGGGTTACCTGACTGTGTCCTGTCTTTTTTAAGTTGTTAACTGTTAATAACTGACAATGGCAGTGTCGCTGAAGGTGTTGGCATTAATATTAATGTTCACGAGAATCAGATTTACACCATTTGCTTGATATTCGGGCAGTTTGAGTATATATTTGTGCAGTCTGCTAGAGCACACGTGAATGGAAGTTTATTGTCTCAATAGATTGCAGTAAACGCGCCACTCTACAATATCGCAACAGTGTTCGCCCAAGTGCAAGGCCGGAAGTCAACATCTCGGCAACGCTAGGGCCGGCATTCCAGCTCATCTCGACGCGCGTTGCGTCCGAGTCCTCCAACATGCTGCTCACAATCATGAAAACCCGACCACATCACCTGTATCAAGTATACCCCTGGAGACCCACTGGAGCGAGTACAGACTGTATCTCTGTCCATCTGTGCCCGCTTGACCAACTCTCTGACCAAGCTTGGACCTGGCGCTCTCCGGCCATCTCCTCGCGTGGATCGACAATGACGCATGCCACCTGCCACTACGGAATCGCGTGTCCCGAAAACAAGCAAGGACAGCCGTCATCGGTTTTATGCTCCCGCTATGTCAAGAGTGCATGCAGTGCTCCTGCATACTGCTCAGTACGTGAATTCCCAGAAACCATCTCAACGACGCGTCTGTGGCAAGGTACAACACCGCACATCACGAGCGCAAGCTACTATCCGGGCCTAACTCTGGTACACGGGACTGATGCGCTGAGGTGGCCGCTGGACGATCAGTTCAATGGCTCTCCTGGCTCTCCCCGCTCGCTAAGCGGCGCACTCACGGAACATGACGAGACTACCAAGGCACAACACAATACGTCGTCCCCCAACGCGAGCCCTTCTGACATATGCGGGGCTGCTCCTCCCACGTCGGCGAGGCACCTGTTTGATCTCCCCGCTTCTCGGGATTGCCCTTGTCAGCCTGACATAGGTGTTCACCTCCGGGATCAAGTAACCAGGTACGCGAGCACTAGCGCAGTGCGATGCCGCCGCTTCTGCCAGCGAAGAGTCGTATGTACGTGGGCGATGCACTGGCTGGCGAGGAGGGAGGAGGGAGGTATAAATACGAGGTGGGGCTGGTGTCGAGGAGGACCATCAGCTAGCTCTCTCTCTCTCTATCCACTATCCGTCAGATCTTCACCTCAGACATGTTTGTCGCCTCCGTCCTCGCCGTCGCCGCTCTCGCCTTCGCCTCTGGCGCCGCTGCCGAACAGCACCAAGTCACTGTAAACACTCTCCCATCCGGACAAAGAGAATTCATACTGACACGCACTCCCCCCCTCTCTTTCTGCCACACAGTTCACCAACAACTGCGGCTACGGCACGCCCCGCTTCCTCTACCAGGGCAACGGGAACCCGCAGGGTGCCGCGACTATCCAGGGCGAGCTCAACGGCGGGATCGCGTGGCTCGACAACGGCGCCTCGTGCTCGACCAACGGCGTCGGCTGCGGCGCCGTCGAGTTCACGCTGCAGAACACCGGCTACTCGCAGGCGGACATCACGCTCGAGCCCGAGGGCAACCACAACTAGTGCGTCTCCCTCTCCCCTACCCCGCTTTGGCGTCGCTCTGGGCTGCTCACTGGCACTCGGCCTGTGTGCGCGAACGACAGCCTCTACCCGATCGGGTTCAACTTCATCAACGGGTGCAACACGGGTCTGTTCTGCAACAACCCGAACTGCGTCGACCAGGCGTCGTTCAGCCCGACCCAGGTCCCGCTCGTCGACTGCCAGGCCAACGACTCCGGCGTAAGCCCTTTTTTCTCCACAGCCTCCTGGATTGTCTAGACGCTGATGTATTCTTTGCAGATCAACGTCATCTTCTGCTAGACGCCAGTTGCGATTATGCGTTCTATATGGGTTTTTAGAGGGGTTTCATCGGCTATGGGGACACAATGGTTCTGGGTTTGTTGGTTGGGTTCAAGTTGGTATTTATTGGGTTAGCCGACTGCAATGCAATAGAAAGTGGTGTTGGCCGTCAAGATCCGGCGTGATTCAAGAGGCATGAGCTTATGCTTTGCACCGTCCGTCCCGCTCGAAGCGAGAACCTATCCCAGTGAGCGATAAGATGCAACACGTCCAACCACGGTAGATCCGGAAGTGGGGTATATCGCGACAATAACAGCAACGACACATTTAGTTTCACTCGAGCTAGCCACAAGCTTATTTGATCACTAGGACGTCTAGAATTACATTCCCGAGAAAAACCTATGTACCTATATAAATACACAGCGTGAAGTATACAAAGGCAGCGGACAGCAGATATTAGGGTCGGTATCGTATCGATATATTAGTACGCGTCAACGTCGTGGGCCAGCCCTTGGAACCTAACAAACATAACTAGGATGATGGTGTACGATGAGGGGGGAAATAAGATGGGATGGGATAAGATGAGAGTCTTTTCTTTCGTAGGCCAGTGTGGCTTCGTGATGGCATGAGGATTCGGAACATTCGTACGGGGACAGGGAGAAAGGGTCAAGGGAAAGGGGAAGAAAGTAAAAGTAAATATCATCAAAGCGCTCCAAGACACCACGCCTCCAACCAAAAACCAACGACAGGGATCAACGATCAAGGGACCGCACTGAGGCGCCTCAGAGCCGCAAATGGCGCAGCGCCTTCTGCACGTCCCGAATATTATCCCTGTTCCACTCGCCGACCCATTCATGCGGCTGCTCCCGTTTCGCTTTCGCACCCTCAGGCAGCGCCGGAACGGGGGGTATATCCTCCGGCGCACGCTGGAAGTAAGGATCGAACGGGGCGGGCGACCTGGGCACCGCACCACCCGACCCAAAGTCGAGGGTCTTGCTCCGTCGGCGCTGCTTCCGCTTGGCAGCAGAGACTGCGCTAGCAGCAGCGGGTGCAGGCGCGGGCGCGGGTGCCAGACGCTCCTCGGATGCCCTCCGCGACGGCTGAGGCGGGAAGACGAGTTCAGCGGGGATATCTTCGCCCAATGTGCGGGAGAGCTTGGCTAGTCGTTTTTGGCGGATGACTTCTGGGCATGGTGGGCTCGGGAGCGCGGTGTGCGGTGTTGGGGGCCAGATGGGCGAGGGCGTGGAAGCAGGGCGTGTTTGCGAGCGCAGAGGGGAGCAGGGGAGGAAAGACGTGAAGTTGAACCGCGCGGAGGTGTCTGAGGGTGAGGCGGGATGCGCGGTCGTCGACGCATTGTTCAGCTTGAGAAAGGCTGGGCGTGTGCCTTTGGGTTTACGCGACGCGGAGCTTGGGGAGCCGAGGCCTGGTGGCATCGCGAGAAGGGAGTCGGTGCTCGAGCACGCGCTCGAAGAGACGGAGGCACAAGAGGACGGCGAGGCGTGGTGCGCGAAGATAGAGCCATGCCGTCTGAGCGACTTGGGTGTTGACTTTTGGGCAGGCTGAGCCTGCTGGGAGAGCGAGGCGAGAGCAATGGGCAGCTCGCTCTCGAGGTCGTAGGGCGTCTCGCCGAAGAAGGCGGTGGGCTTCTGGGTGGTGCGGATTGCGCGAGCTGCGTAGTGCGAATCAAGGGGGTTGGTGGTGGGTGCGGATGACATGGTACGAGGAAAAGGACTGAGATGGTGGGTGGGAGGAAAGAGTTGAAGACTGGGATTGAGAGTTATGAGGATATCAGTCAAGATATAAGAGACCGAAAGCTATGAGTCTAGGGACCCTAACCAAGTACGCAGTACTGTGAGATGGGGAGGAAAGGGCGCGAGCACAGCGTGTCCGAGGGCGAAAGGGTTCATATATGTACGAGTCCCCGTTGCCGAGCAGCAGAATGGACGGATGCTTGGGATAATAGAATGGTGGACAATAAGACCCCTATTGTTCTGTCTTTGGACAGGGCCGAACAACGTTCTCCTAACTCGGCCGCATTCCCTCCGAGCATCCGGTCAACACGTGCGCGCTCATTCGCCGCCGTCTGATTCTGAGCACCTTCTGCTCTCTGTTACGCAAGGTGGTTACTTGACAACGAGCACCATCCGACCTGGAGCGTTTGCCTCATGTCTAATTTTCCATCGCCCACTCAATCTTCAAAGGTTTAACGCGTCTTGTCACTTGCGAGGACACTACTTTCCGGTTGATCAAGCTTCAACATATTCGAGCTAGGACTCCTCATCCACGTCGACTTGCGTTGGGGACTTAGAGACAGAACATTGGCAGCCAAATGCTTGTTTCCCTTCCGTATGTTCGTTCCGAAACCCCCCTCCCGAGTTAGCCATGCCGCGGGCACCGTTGTGGGCACGCGCTGATCCTGATGCAAATCACAGCGTGCCCCGCCTATCACGGCCGTCTATCTGATGTTCTACTCAGGTACCGCCGACACGCAAATGCCGTTATCTCTTGTCGTCGTTTGTCTCAGAAACAAGGCTCATCGCGCGAGCGCGTTGCTGTGCATGTCGAAGCCCCACCGACGAACGTTCCAGACGCGTCGGGGCCGATCCTCACGAGCGCTCCGGGCCCGCTTTTCTTGTCTCCCGCCTCTGAGTCCTCGGCGTCGATGAGCCCCCACGCACCGCCTTCCGGCTCTGGCGAGTTCATTTGCCGGCTCCAATATCTACTCGACTTCGTTCGCGCTGATCAGCGTGTTTCTGTTCTACCCAGCACGTCGCTGACAGCTATATTCCTACCTGTCTTTCCACGTTACACTGCACGTCCTTGATTGCGCTCGTTGAATGGAGTCCATGTCTCCAGGCTCAGTGCACGCATAGCAGCTCGAATGTCAGTTCCAGACGCTCACGCTGTCTCCTTCGTAGCCGCCGCCGCTTCAACTCAACTCCAAGGTACGTAACGCGTCACCGGCCGAGCTGATTCCGCCCCATCTTTACGTGACCGTCCGCCTGCGTCTACGCTTTCCCGACGGAAAACTTGGCAAAAGCCCAGTTCGACGACTATGCCTCAACTCAAATGTGAAGAAAGCTGCGCTGATGTTGCTGACCATTCACTCTACTACTGTCAGGTGCCCACCAGTCCGGTGGCGAACCGCTGCTTCACCTCGGCGGCGCACTGATGAGCTAATGGCGAGAACACCGAAGAGCTCGCAGCGCTGAGCGCTGCTAGCCATACGGGGGTGACGAACCCGACCTCTTTACTCTAAATTCTGATCGTACCGTACATTAATTATCCATTAGGCTAAGCCGCCTGCCTAAGCTCACACATAAAAACGAGACGAGCGTCCGACTTGTATGGTATCGCGGGCGCAACGGTGTCTCCCTCGACCACATACCGCACCACACTCATGGCGTCGCACTTCCTGCTCATCGGCGCGCTCAGCGCGCTCGCGTTTGCTCTCCTCAAGTACGCGCTGTCGCCTCCAGGGGCCAAAGGATCGCTGCCGTATCTCCCGGGCCCGAAGCTCCTGCCCCTCCTCGGCGCCGCGCTGGACGTCGACGCGGCCAGCCCGTGGCTGACGTATATGCAGTGGGGGGCGAAGTACGGTGCGTTCGCCTTTGCCTTTGCCTTTTCTTTCTCTCGTAAAAGCATGCGTTCGTTGGCGCTTAACTGGAGCGTGCCACGGCTTTATTTTATTTTCTTGTATCTAATGCGGATGAACGTGAATAATAGGCGACATCATCTACTGCCGCTTCTTCAACCGCCACGTCGTCGTCCTCAACTCCGTCAAGGTCGCGGACGACCTGATGGAGCGCCGGTCGAGGATATACTCGGACAGGCCCAAGGTGTCCACCATCGAGCTGTGCGTTTTAATATTTTCGACTCTCCTCTTCTCGCGACGACATATCGTCCCCGTCCCTGTGCACGTGAATATGCTGACCGACTGAAATTCGGTATTATCGATATTGACGCAGAGCCGGATGGGACTTCGTCTTCACCGTCGAGCCCTACGGCCCCGAGTGGCGCATGAACCGGCGCCTCTTCCAGCAGTCCTTCCGCGAGCAAAAGGTCGTCGCGTACCGCCCCGCGCAGCTCGCTGCCGCGCACCGGCTGCTCGCGAACATGGCCGCGTATCCGGCGGAGAAGCTGTGGGACCTCGTCACCCTGTACGTCGTGCGCCGCTGTCGGCGTCACTCTGTCAGCTGTCCTCGTTCTGCTATGTGGGCTGATATATGAGGACGCGGACAGGTTCACGTCCTCGGCGATTCTGTCCATCGTGTACGGGTACGACGTCGACGCGCTCGACGATCCGCTTTTTCATATCGTCGAAAAGTTCTTCGAGACGGGGCTGCAGCTCATGACGCCCGAGAAGGCGATGGTCACCGATACGTTCCCGTGGTGTGCGTGTTCCTCCTCTGCCAGCGTGTTTGAAAAAACCTCATTTATCGCCACAGTCAAGTATCTGCCCACCTTCCTTCCCGGGACGTCCATCCTCCGCGAGGCGCTCGTCGCGAGGCGGTGGGCACAGCAGTTCATGGACTTTCCGTACGAGTGTGCGATGGACAAGCTGGTGAGTTCTCGTGCGTTGTGTCCCGTCCATTTAGCTATTTACGAGCGATTCATGACCGTGTTTCCAGAAATCCAACCCAACGCTGTCGTGCATGCTCTCAGAGCAGATCAAGAGCCGCGAAGAGAGCGGGCAGGATATCTCCGAGTACACGCTGAAGCGGATCACTGCTACAGCATTCGTGGGTGAGTCTTCTTATACTATTCTGTCTGTCAAAAGACACTTACAATCCCGCGTCTTGCAGGTGGAGCCGAAACGGTACTACCCTCTTTCCTTTCCCCCCTCAACCTACGTACAACTCAAAGTGACTTCACCTCCAACACCAGTCCTCAAGCGTCCTCCAATCGCTCATCGTCGCCATGCTCCTCAACCCGTCCGTGCAAAAACGCGCGCAGGCCGACATCGACGCCGTGCTTGGCACCAGCTCCGGCGTGCGGCGACTGCCCACGTTCGCGGACCGCGCGGCGCTCCCGTACATCGACGCGATCATCCGCGAGGCCATGCGCTGGAACCCGGTGCTCCCTGTCGGCGTTACGCACACGGTCACGGAGGACGACGTGTACGAGGGGTGTTTCATTCCTAAAGGTCAGTGATTATCACCTGCGGTCTGATCTTCTTCGAGTCGAGGGCTGACAGTACGTTCACAATCCCAGGCTCGCTCGTAACAGCCAACGCATGGTAGGCCCTCCTTTGATATTGGTATTGTGAATTACTACCTTTCTTACTCATGCGCCATTTCACCCAGGGCAATGTCCCGCGACGAGCGCCAGTACCCCTCCCCGGAATCCTTCCTCCCCGACCGCTTCCTCACGAGCACCGGCGAGCTCAACGACGACACCGTGCGATGGGCCTTCGGCTGGGGCCGGCGCATCTGCCCCGGCCGGCACCTCGCCAACGACTCTGTGTGGATCGCGGCGGTGTCGATGCTCGCTGCGTACAGTTTCGAGAAGGTGGGGGACGCAGAGCCGGAGTGGACTACGGGGATAACGAGGTCAGCTTTTCCTTATTTCTCCGACCATGGGTGTGATGCGTTTGCTGAGATCGAGTGTATGTATTAGACATCCAAAGCCGATGCCAATGCGCGTCGTTCCCCGGTTTGAAAAGGCTAAACTTGAGCAGATGATCAAGGACACAAACCACGATTAGAATGTCTTCGTCACTACCAGCAGCCGCGCAAATTATCGTATCTTATTCAGACCATGTATCCCGGCCCTAAGGCCTAAGCATCTATAGTAACTTTAACTTGATATCCGACTTTTCCCAGTTGCCCAAATCCTGAAACATATGGATGCACACTAGAACCCCTGCCAGCCTTGATACGTCCCAGGCAAAAAGCAAGAGAACATTGAAAACGTCTGGTCCGGATACGATGGCAGCTCCATGGCTGGCGCAAAGCCGTCTTCCGTGGAACCAGCAGGAACCCACGGCAGATCAGGACCATGCATGATACCGATATCATCCGCTCCTGCAATGACAATACCGCTCGTCATATCAGTGACATCACTTCGTAAACCGGGCGACGAGCGGGTCGCATTCGTCTCCCCGCAGAGAACCCCCGTCGAACGCACGACAGCCTCGATGTCGGGAAGGTCAAACAGGGCAGATCCTCCGCTACTGCACCCCGCCGAATCTGATGACGACGAAGATGTCGAGCCTGTGCTGGTGCTTGCGCTCGTAGCAGGGCTCTTGAACCGACTCCCGGCTAGGTTCGTCAATAAGCCGTCTTGACTTTGGCTGCTCCTGTAGTCGACGCCAGTGGGTATGGGTACAATGCTCCCTTCGACGGGGGCGAGACCGTAAATCTCGTCAAACGTCTGCTCGAGCCTGAGCATCTCCATCCCGGCCTTGACGCGGAGTGCCGTGGGCTCCTCGAGCAGGCGCGGCCAGGCCCACGACATCACTTTAAGAGTCTTGTATAGCCTACGATTGGACACTCACCCATCAGAATCGGTGAAGCCGAGGATAGGAAAGAAAAGGGAGACGTACGATTCGAGCAATTGCAGCTTCTGTGCGCGTGTAATGGCTTCTCCGCCGTCTTCGATAGGCGTCGCGGAGAGAATGAAGCGGGTCCAGAACCTCGATGGCTCATCGCCTAGAGTACATTATATCAGAGTCAGCGCCCCGTACAGCGCAAATCACGAACGAGCCACATACCTATCTGCGCAAAAGCCGCCAAGCTCTTTGCCCCTTTCCCCATACCATCCCGATCCCCACCATGGACGCTCTCCGCCTTGTCCAACACGATCCGCCTCGCATACGGCAACAACGCCCGCTTCAACCCGCCCATCAACGCCTTCAACGTCTCCGAGCCATCCCCAGCTCCAACCTGAGCCTTCTCCGACGCCAACATAAGCCTCCCCTCGACATCCGCATATAGCGGGATACACACGTTCGCGAGTGCGTTCGTCATCGCGCCTAACACAAACCGCGCCGTCCCACGCTCGAGTTTCTCCCGCGCGTGCGCTTCCGTCTGGCGCTGTGCGCTGTGCGAGCCACCATTCACGCCGTTGGCGGTGGCAGAGTAGTACGTCGGCCGAGTGCACAGACGCATCGCAGCCGCCTCGGTGCTGAAGGCCACAGAGAAGCGCGCGTGTGCAAGTGCGAGGAGGGCGTATAGGGGGTTAAGCGCTGCCATATGTTCACGGAGGCGGGACATCGAGAAAGGGAGGTTTGCGCGCCTACCTATAAGGATCAGAGATGGCGTGAGTAACTGTACAAAGAAGACGTAGGAGGAAGATGACAAGGGAAGAAGTAGGGTCGGATCTTACGGGAGGCCCAGTCAAAGCTGTTCAGAGCCATCTGCGTGATGGTGTACGTGACTGACAAATGGGTCAGCCCCATATAGTTCAGCGACACACTGCCTTAATATATGCATTTACTTACAAGGCCTGACCAACGCCCAAAACATCTGCGTGTCCCACCACTGAGCATCACATAGGGTGTTTGCGTTTGCAAGGACTTCTTGAGGAGATGGCGGAGGCGGCCCCGCTAGCATCACTTCGTCATTTAGAGTACTAAAAATTAGTACGATGCGAGGATGACAGCGACGAGGCTAGAGCAGCTCACAATGAACACGAGTCGCCCCATGCGGCGGCTGCAACGGTTTCTCGCATCTAATTGTCACAAAATACATATTAGCGGGCAATTCTCTTGAATCCATATACACCGACACGTACGAATTGGACAATCCAACGCAGGGTCTCCAGAGAAAGGGGCCTCTTGTCATCCTTCCACTCCTGGCCATGAGATGTGCAATTCGCTTGCGATCGCCTGAGATGCGAAACGAACGCCGCGCCCCATACGGCCCTCTCCGTCTCCGTGTCGCAGCTATCGCAGTATGGCGGGTGTTCGATCCACCGGAGCAAGAAACACGTCGCCAGCGCCTCTGCTTCTGCATCCACCTGCGAATCTTGCTGCTTGCCATTCTTTCCGACGTACGGGCACGGGAGCGCAGCGCGCGGGAGGTGCTGCGCCCATGCACGCTCAAGCGCCCGCCTGCGCAGCTTCTCGCAGGGGCCTTCGCGTCTACACCCAACTGAGTAGGGCGATGACGGCGACGACGGCGGAGAAGGCGAAGACACGCCGTCATCTGGCCCCACCTCGACGATACGCATTGGCTCGTCGAAGAACGCCGAAAGCTCGGGTGCGAGCGAACCCGGTCCGAGCAAGGCGGGGTGTGCAGTAATGCGCGCAGTCATGGCGACGATGGCGAGGACGAGGGTCTGCGTCGACGACGGGAGAGCCTCGAGCCTCCGACCGGCTGCTTCGAACGCGGGGAGAACATTGTTGCAGGGGAACATGCGGGAACGGGGTATGCGTCGATAGACTATTGCCCGACTTGGGCCCGAACCCGGATGAGCGCCCGTGCTGCTTATCAGATAAGGAAAACTGGGGGGACGTACGCTGTAATAGGTGCACTGTGAGCTCTCCTGTGATTTCGAGGTCAACGACGGCGGATTCTGCGCGGATGGCGGGGATGGGTGAGAGTGTTTTGCGCGCTTGGGACGACTGTTTGGGTATCTGTTGGGTGGTGGAGGTCGTAGGCTCGTCAAGTGTTCCAAAAGTCGCTCTTCAAGTCAAGTGAGAAGAAGTAGCTACTCCCATGGGCAGTAGTGTGCTCACCTAGCCTGTTCTATTCGATTACCAACCTGCCCTTTCGCCTTCTTTCGCTGCGCGAGTGGTGTAGTCGTGCATCTAAAACCTGTTTGTCACTGACTCCCAACCAAAACAACTCAGCGTACCGTATTCCCCTCGCAGCGCAGCGCGAGCATTGGTTTGGCGGAGGAACTGGGTCGCATTTGATACGCCTGTGCTTGCACGCGTCGCACGCTGGCAATGATCTGCTGCCTGCTTTCTGAGAGGTTTTTCTGGGGGCTGCAGGCATGGTGGTGTTTGTGAACAAGGTATGTCAGCGAGAATTTGTAGACAATCGTCTATGACATCGTGTGACTGACTGCGGCGTAAGCGGTGACAAATCAGGCATCTTATGTAACTCCGTATGTTAGCGCGTTACTCTCTTCGACGTTCCTCGAAACTGACTGGCTCAGCGTCGACGCTATCGAGGTTATCTGCAAGAGAACTAAGTTTTATGTGCTGCGTGGCTGTTTCGATGTCGACTTGACCGCAGTTGAACTGGCCTTGCAGTGCCTTGCAGTCAAAATTGCTGAGCTTCAAATGATTTAAAGTCAGATTCAAACTCTTGCTAGTGATCCTCGTCAGCCTCGCCCCGACACCTCCCCACACCTGATCAATGTCCACGTTGTTTCTCCTTCAAGATCAGAGCCGTCGCACCCCTTCTATAAATTTTATGGCCTGATTGCAAGCACACGTACAAAAACGGGGGTTCTAGGTTCGAAAGGAGAGTGCAAGGAAATCTAAAATTATAGTCAATTCAATGATGGTAAGGAGGTTTCGTCTATAATGGAACCCAACACCCCTCTGAAGTCCTGGCCTTAGGCATCGTGGAGGGTAAGTATCCACCGTGACTGTCCGAGCGGTGCCATTTATGACCCTACCACCTGCCTCTAGATGGTAAAATACGACATAAAGAAACGGACTACTAGCCTTGGATCTTTGCACGTCGGTCTGCTATATGCCGACAATGCAGACGTGCACATCGTTGATTGGCAATGAATGATTTGTAAGAGCCTCCTTCCTCCCCATTTCACCCGCAAGCGCATACAGTATGGCGAACTAGAACTAATAGGTTGCGTCTTAACTCTAGGAGATCTCTTGGCTCTGCGAACATTGCTCACAAGAGGCATAATCACTCGAGACCTCTACAGCGTCCATCTCACATGCCCTTCTTGGCATGCGATGACTCCTAGCATCCGAATTCAGTACTCCCGCCCAATGACGGTGCCCAGCCTTCGAGGCCCTCGCGCAACATATCCAGGGTATTCCCTCTCAATGCTCATAATACAGTGAGAGCTCCGTACAGGAGCGATGCCATCCGCTCGCGACACTTACAGTTCGACCTGGTTAACCAGCTCGACGACTTACCAATGACCCTCCTCTGGCGGCGGGCTCCTGACGATGCAGGTATAAGTACGCTACCGGCTCGCTCAGAGTTTTCGATATCCAGTCACTCACAGCTCAGGCTCACTCAACACCTCAGCTCTCAACTCTCTATCAACCCTCGACACCTTTCCAACCCAATTTCAACTCCTTCATCTTCATCATGAAGTTCGTGTCCGCCACCTCCATCGCCCTCGCCGTCGCTCTCTCCAGCTCGGTCATCGCAAGCGCCATCCCCGCCGACATGAATGCTCTCGCTGCACGGTACGTACCGCCTTCCGCTTCTGATATCCATTCGCTGATGCAGTTGTCTGCGTTGATAGTGGCGGCGACGAGAAAGGAGGCTTCGGCGGCAACTTCGACAACGACGCGAAGTTGAACAACAAGGACCAGAACCTCAAACAGGACGATGTACGCACCGCCTTTCTTCTGCTCCACCTCCTCACCTCTCTCTGATCTCTATTCGTACGCACCCTGCAGTTCAAGAAAAACAACGCGGTCAAGGACAAGGCCTACAACAAGGACAAGGTCATTGACCTGCACCAGAACAAGGACAAGGAGAACGCGCTCAAGAACAACAACAAGAACGCCAAGAACGACAACCTGGAGAAGCAGCAGAACAACGCGTTCAACGAGAACAGCCAGTTCGGCAACGGCTTCGGCGGCGGCAAGTTTGGCAAGCGCGGCGGTGATGAAGAAAAGGGCGGCAAGGGCAAGGAGGGGCTTGGCAACTTTGATGTGGGTTTTTGGTTTCAGCCAGGTGACTTTGGCAATGTGATGCTAACGCAACCTTGATAGTCAAACTTCAACGAGTTCAACAACGACAAGAAGAAGGCGAACAAGAACCAGTTGAACGAGGTACATCTTCCCCTCTCCCGTTTATCACCTTTACGCTGACACGCTCCGCGCACGCAGAACAACAACGAAGCGTTCAACAAGGACAAGCAAAACACCGACATCAAGGTCAAGGACCAGGCTAACGCCAAGGACAAGGCCGCGCAGAACAACGAGGCCGCGAAGAAGCTCAACGAGAAGAACAAGAACGAGAATGCTAAGATCAACACCGACTTCTTCGGTGGCGGCGGCGAGGGCAAGGGCAAGGGCTTTGAGGGCGGCAAAGGCTTCGAGGGTGGCAAGGGCTTTGAGAAGCGCTCCCCCGCGCCTCAGTCCGAGCAGGGTGGTTACGCCCCCGCTGCTGACGCGCCCACCGATCCCGTCACCGCCGCCCCACCCGTATCGGGCGACGGTACTGGAAGCTCGAGCACCTCGAGCGAGAGCAACCAGGTTGCCCGCCGCGGCGGCGACGAGGAGGGTTACGGCAAACAGGACTATGGCAAACAGGATTACGGCAAGCAAGGCTACGGCAACCAGGGTTTTAACAAGGGCTTTGACGGCTTCGGCAACCAGGGTTTCGGTAACCAGGGCTTTGGCAACAAGGGCTTCGAAGGCAAGGGCTTCGAAGGCGGTAACCAGGGCTATGGCCAGGGCATCTACAGGCGTGGCGGTGACGAGGAGGGTGGCTTCGTGAGTGGCTTTATTTCTGCGCTCTGTTATACATGGTGTTGACGAGGAATTGATGCACAGGGCCAGGGCTTTGGCCAGGAAGGTTTTGGCAAGCAAGGCTTCAACAAGGGCTTCGGCAATGAAGGCTTCAACTGATTCTGAAGTCCTTTTATTTATTATCCCGTATCTCATTACTCCACTGCGCATGAACATGTCGTAGTGGACACTAAAAGGAAGGAATTAATACTTCCCGGGACAGTATTTCTGGAATAGCTCGGATTTCGCATGTAACATCATAAAATGAATACGATCTTTGTATTTATTCATTCCCAATCTCATTCGATTTTGGTTTCAACTCAACGGGACGATCCAACGAAGCATTCGAAACTTGTATATGCTGTTCAAGCTGACATTGAGGCGCGCTTTGGCACTGTGGCTCGGATCGATCTAGCGGCTTTTGAACGCGTAGGTTTTTCCATCTGCGCGATCGTGAATCTGAGAGTCTAACAGCAGAATCGCGTGTTGATCTCGGTTTTCCCCTTCGAGCTTCGATCTTCAGCGGATCATTGAGAGGGATGTAGATCAATCCCACCCGTGTACGCAATCGATCAAATTCTACTATCACTCGAAGGTCTTGGAATTTAACACTAGCTAGGCAGTGCGTTGTTACAACCATGCCTAGCTACTACGACATTACTTATCGATTCTTCATCAATTGACATGACTTCAGCTAAAGTAGGGTGGAAGCATCGCAACCGAAATCAACGCAGTTAAACGCAACAATGAGCTATCAAAGAAGCCCATAATTCGAAGTGCCACCCGCGCATCGGCGCCAAAGTTTCGGCGATCGCGATTTACGCTATGCATCGAGGGGCGAGTGGCACTGCTTTCACTTGCTGTCTGTACTGCTGGATAGAGAAGCAGATGCAACCAATCAAGTGACCGTCGGCTATCTTTTACTTCCGCCAATTTTTGTGGCAAATCCCCGCGAGCTTCGGTTCCATTTCCCCGTGCCTCGCGCCGCGCTATCAGCGCAACGACCACTGCTCAACTTCATGACACTTCCTGCGTGTCGAATTTCAGACATATGCATTGCAAGGTTGCCATATGTGCGCAAACGCATCCAAGGGTCCGAAGGACCTGGAACGGCGACAGTGGCGCTGAAGTCCCCACACAAAACTACGCTGTTATTGGTGGAAGAGCCCCGGGACTATGACCGCGATTGGACGGTAAGTATAAGTGCGTTTCGACTTCTTTCCAAGTTCGTTCTGTGCCGCCCTAAATTACCTCTCCCTTTCCTAATACAGTATCATGGTATCCATGACGTTGAGCGCTCTCTTCCTTCTTCGACGCAGTCTATTTTGAGAGCAAGATTCATTGCACTGAATGGATCAATGTGCCCTTGACCCAGGTTAGGCTTCCCAAGTTGGACTTGAGGTTGCAAGTTCCGATAATTGGTGAAAATGCCGAGGAGACGACGGCGAGGATGGCGAGATGGGCAAAGGGATTCGGCGGGCGGGCGGTTACTACGCCGACGACATGAACGTTGCAATTATGCATCGGGCGAGGGTGCGAGGACTGTAGTCGATGTTGCGCTATGGATGCCGACAAGGTTTGTACTGACGTACTTATGACATGACCATGGGCACATATTGGGCCCGGAGTTTGGACGTTCTGAACCTGGAAGTACGGGCCGGTCAAGTGTTTGAATCGCATCCACCACCACCTTGAACACAGACCACCAAGAACCATAGGAAAGCGACTGTGTTTCAGGATCGAGGCGAAACGACAATCGTAGTAAGCACTCATGAGATATCTTATCGCTCGCCCCTGCTCTGCCTCACCAGCCAGCCTGTTGCTCTGAAGGAGCCTAAAAAAGCTAGCTCGCTAGGTAGCAGTACCAGTACTGCTACTTGGACGTACTGCACTTTGCAGCTCTTGTCGAGTCACGGCCTCGAGGCGCCTGGGATATGGGGGAGCTTCGGGAGCTCGAGGCAGGTAAGCGAACGCCTGCATGATGAGCTGTTGCGGAACCGTTGAGATGCTTGAGTGGGACATGCTCTTCACGCCTCGTGTTTGTGCCTGAAGCGGAATGGGGGGCATATGGTCGTCCGTCGATAAGATGAGAGCCCGTAACGTTCTTCATCGACTGCATCTCAGACGTTCCCCTCGTCGGTCACTGCGACAGCGGGCTTGAAAGCTTGACTGACTGTTAGGCTCTGTGCTTTACCCTGAAGGATGATAGGGCTGTCTTCATTGGAATCGGGGATAGGTTGGCGATGTGTCTCTAGTGAACCGGCGGGAGATGGGAATAGGACCGAGCAATCGGGCGGATCCTTCCATATTGGTGTGGCTGTGATGTCGAGACGCGCCTGTACGAAAAGGGGTGTGGAATTGCACGTGCCGGATCGAGCGTGTTTGTTGAGAGGATTCTGTTTATGATCAGACTCCGAACCCCCCATATTGGCTACTCTATCTTCCTCCCACCCTCAGCGTCTCTTCTCCCTGACTCCAACTCCTCGACACCATCCATCATCATGCCGCCTCTAGCCAACAAGCGAAAGCATTCAGACCTCACTCAGAGCTCGTCGTCCACACAGCGCACGACGCGTTCAATGGCGGCGGCCAACCCCGACATCCACATCCTCGCAGACGGCATCGACAAAGTCGAATCTCCCAGCAAGCGTCAGCGTATGGGTGTCCCCTCGGGCTCAGGCTCCTCCCTCGACTGTGTCCCGATCACCCCCGTCTCCCTGCCCCGCGACTCTCGCAGACGCGTCTCCCGCGAGACCAACACCCACACCCTCGCATCCGCACAAGACTCCCTCCAGCTCGTCCCCAACGCCGGCACTCCATCACGGCCGCGCGTCCCACTTAGGCGTCGCGGTCCCCCTACCCCTACTCCCGCCTCCAAGACGCATAGTTACCCTTTCAACGCGCCTCTTGGTCGCTCGCCGACGCTCGCCCCCACGATCGCGGACGACGACAGCGACGACGACGATCTGGACCAGGATCAGCTCTATGATGATGACGACGACGAAGATGAAGACGAGTTCGCGGGCATCGTAAGGGAGCCAAGCATGACCCATTTTATCGGCGCGCAGGACTCCCTCGAGTGCGTCGAAGGCACGATGAAGAAGCCGAGCACGACCCGCTTCCTCGCCGCGCAGGACTCGCTCGAGTGCGTCGAGAACATGCTTCTCCCCCGCCGCGCTGCCCCGCTCCCGCGTCGACGCCTTCTCCCTACGCCTTCACCTCTCTCACTCGCCGCGCGCATTGGTCCTTCAATGCCGACGCCTGCACCGTCTTCTCCGCTCCATCCTAGCATCCAGAACATCGACGCTATTCAAGAGGTCGACGAAGCCGACGAAGAGGATGTCGAGGATGGGCTTCGCACTCCCACCGAGCCCTCTACACCGCCAGGGCAGTTCAACAGCGGGCACGGCGAACGCGTGTTCCACACTCCCACCGAGCCTGCTACATCCCCAGGCCAGTTCGTGCAAGGCCAGTTCGTACACGACCCGATCAGTCGGCCCATCACGCCCATCACGAATGGTACACCCTCGCCCTCGGCCGACCGCACCTCCCTCCCGCCACACCCACTACCTCCGCTTCCGTCGTTCCCCGCGCTACCGAGCATCTCAGGAGACCCGTACGACGACTTGGACGACGTGTTCGACTTTGACATGGAGAAGGGTGATTCGGAGGACGATAGTCCCGAGGCGGGCATGAACTGGGCTGCGTTGTGTTTGCCCGCGCCGAGTCCGTTGTATAACCATACCAAGGTTCGTTCCTGCTGTCCCCTTTTTAGTTTCTACAGGCGGTGTGCTTATTGGACTTGATTTTCGATAATCCACATTACGTGCTTCGTCACATGGGATCAATCGCACACAGGACCCCGTCGACCTCCCGCGCTCGGCCGTACTCGACGCAGCCCGCGACGCACGGCGCGCGTACCGCAAGCACCTCACCAAGGCATACAAGTACTACACCCGCGTCGTGGCCGCGCAGCACGCGCTTTCGCGACCCCGGGGCCGCTCGCATACTCACCCGCGCGCGGGCAAGGCCCTGCAGCGCCAGCTCTCCAGCTCTGCAGCCGCAGCTGTCGCAGTCGCAGCGAAGAAGGTCAAGTCTCAGCAAGCGCTTCGGGAGAAGCCGGGGACGAGTGCGATGGGCATGGAGATGGGCATGAGCATGGGCTTTCCCCCTCAGCAGGTGCAGCCGGCCCCGCCGTCTAGGGTGCAGCCGCTGGTGTTCCCGCCTAAGCAGGTTCAGCCGAAGCCACCGTCCAAGGTGCAGGTGCAGGTGATGCCGCCTCAGCAAGTTCAGCCGCAGCCACAGCCGCGGCCACCGCAGCAAGTTCAGCCACGACCGCCTCAGCAGATCCAGCCACATCCACGGTTAACCCAACAGGTCCAGCCACGACCGCCTCAGCAGATTCAGCCACATCCACGACTGCCCCAGCAGCTTCAGCCAAGACCGCCACAGCAGATTCAGCCCCCGCCGCCGATACGGCCAAAGCCTCAGCTGCAGAAGCTGCAGACGCCCCAGCGCAAGAAGCTCTCGCTCAAGGAGCAGCGGGACCAGCAGCGCGAGTTGTTCCACATGTCGATGGAGCGCATGGGCAGTTTGACGCTCGAGTAGAGGACACGAGCGCGCGACTGCGTCCCCTTGTCCGGTGTAAGTCTTTGGGCCCAATGGCGCTCGACAGGCTTACGGGGACGACTCGGACCTTGACATCGACTTCGACTTCGGTCCGCGGCTACGTATAGGAACTTCCAACGACGGATGCATTCCTCACTTTTCATTATCACCGATCACACGGCTACTCGACTATTGACTGCTGTTTTACACCTCCCTCCTGCCTGTGGCCGGGACTAGCCTTTGGGCGAGGCAGAAGAGCTCAACTCATGGGCGCATTGGGCGCACCTAATCCACCGCTGGAGCGCGCCGACGAAGGCGAATCGCCGGTCTGTCGTCTCCACGGTACTCGTACATATCCCCGTCTGCAACTAAAGCTCGACCAGACGCGGCTTGATTCGTGGTCAGCGCGACGGGCTGCGCGCCCGCCACGGGAGGTCACGTCCTTTAGCGGTTCACTCCCTGGCTTGCTGCGGCGCGATGACCTTCGATGCGTTCGCACTGCGCCCCGTGCTCGGCGCTCCGCCCAGCGCTGCTAGCTGTCCGTACTCCATAATCCATGCCCATGCTCCAATGCCCCGCTCCGTCAGCTGAATATCTGCTGTCCTTGCTCGCTCGCCCATGTCCCAGGCCACCTCTATCTGTCTATCACTGTCTCTACGCACCATGACATGCTCTATCTAGGTTTATCTCCTATCCACTCCTTGCCACTGCGATGTCTCGTGGTCTCATGCGATATCTGCTCCTCTATGCTCTCTATCCTTCTCATATTTTCATTTTATTCGGCTTCGTGTATTTATTCGTCGTCACTTTCCGCCTCCCCATCTCGTCTCGAGTCAAGCCTCTCCTCAAATCAAGTCAAGTCAAGCCGACGATCTCCTCAATGGCCATGTGTACATATAAGACCATCAACACCCCAAGACCCGTACTGACAGTTTATGTATCCGCGTTGCATTCTATGTCTATGATCTCTTTCCATGTCTCTCCTCTCTCCTCTCTAACGCTACTATTTTCTTTTATTTCTCGCTTAACCTCTTACCGTTTACTCTTATCCTTCACTTACTGAACGCTCTAACCCGCTCTTGTGTTTCATTTCCGTCTCATACGGACCGCCTTGACTCGTCTGCCTGTCCATACGCTCTATAGCTCTTAGCTTCATCACTCATATACACTGTACATACGCTATGCGCCCATCCTTGATCATCATCGTTTATCGCCAGGATACCGTGATGCGCTGATACAGCCCATAGCACTGCACTGCACCGCACGGACATGTTACTGTATGTAGTACATAGCGCATATACATTGCACTCCAGCATCTCCATCACCGCTCTACGCCTTCATGTCACCGCTCCGGATCCGTTAGCACTTTGATATTGCATATAGGATCTGCAATGTATATACATGGTATAGCGGACCACATTACGATTTTACGCCTGTTACGATTGGTTTTTGTATTTGTATAACAGTTGCATTCTTTTTGAGTGTGGGTTCTGTCACGTTTGGAATACAGCATGCATATCTCAAGATCTCGCCCTTGACGAAGCACTTGCTTCAAAATCGAAGATGGAACGAAGGTCGAAGACGCTAATTCGAAGGAACGTACGGACGGTGTCGATGCGTGCGTGATAGAAGGAAGCTTCGGACCTTAAGACGGGCGGAACAAGGCCGCGGCTGAGAAACAAATGGATCGAAGACTGAAAAAGGAGAGGCGATGGCTCGTCTGGTCTTGTGTATTTTATGGTTTGAGAGTTTGTGACCTCCGTTAGAAGAACACCCCGTTCGAAAGCTTCGAGGGAAGGTGAGAGTTGCTTCTGGGCAGGCCGCGATCGCCGTGCAGATGCAAGTGCAGGTGGGGCTTCTGTTTTACTGTGCCTTCGCTGCTTGTTGACGGGCACCGCAAAACGTGCCCCGCGGTGCGTTGGTTAGGAGCTGAATTCGGTAATTCCAAGACTATCTCAGATGTTGACAGCTGCTGGCAGAGAATTTGTTGAAGTCCGAGAGAAGTTTAGCCAACGAAGAAGCCCGCGCGAAACGTTTCGTCCCTCACGACCACCGCCGTGGTCCCAGCAGAGTTTTAGATCGAGACGGCGACTTCAGCCGACGCGTTTGTTTCGGGCCATATCGCGCGGATGTCTATGTGGCGGATCATGGGTTGACGTCACGGCGAGCTTCCGAGTGAAGCAGAATTTTGAAGTGAGATCGAACCACGAGTACCTGGAATCCCGCGGCGCGTGCACGGGCCTAGCCGGACCTCTGGCAGCTTGCGCGTCATATATGCATAGACGCCGATGGCCTGAGGTTAACGTCTGCCCCAGAAGGTATAATTAGCGCGCGCTTCTACGTCGCGCCGTTTATCCTGCGAGGGCCAGTTTACGTAAAGGCCGGCCGGGTTCGTCGTCTTAGCATTTGTGTCGCGCTTATAGCTACAAGCTACTGATTAGTGTGGTTCCAGCTCCGGTCGAATGAAAACATATAAAGACGGGCGATGCGTGACGTTCTAGGATATATAACCACGGCGCCTCGAGCTCGTGACGCGAGAGCTGCACGCCGTACAGAGCTCGGAAAATCACCACCCCGCATCTAGTACCGTCTACCACCACACGGAAATGATATGTTAATTGAACCTCCTGATCTCCGTGCGGCGGCAATTTACGTTCCTTTTACGTTGGCCAGAGCTGCCGGAGCCGGTACCGCTGACCGTGCCCAACCGCCGCGCATATCACTCTACATAATTCTCCTCTGTTGGCTGTGGTCCGGATCCTTCCTTCTCATATGTGGCCGCTAACTTGAGGTAACGTTGAAATTTCGTCGAATGAATTCCAGGTTCGAACATACACCACCCATTTTGACTCGAAGCATTGAGCGTGATGTGTAATTAATGACAGTAACCGCGAAATGAATGAAGATCGCGGCACGGTGCACCGTAGCGATGTTTTCCCCGCCTTCGTATTTAGCGCGAGCAGGGTCGTCGTCATCCACTAGACACATTCTGTCCGACAGCCGCACGCTTTAGGTTTTATTTTACTTATTTATGTTTTAAAGGTAAAATCAAGCTAAGCTTGTTCATGCGTAGTACTACTTAATATTATACATCTACACTACATACACAGAGTTACAGAGACGTCCGATACCCGATAGAAATATCCAAACTCGCGTTGCGAACGCTCGAAAACTTGAAGTGGTATATAGCAGCGTAGAACTGTGATTTGGATGCGTTGACGAAACGGGCACCATTGAAAACGACGTGCCAGGAGTGCTCACTCCTGAAGTTGAAGACGAAATGCGAAAAAGAGCGAAGAGCAGACGACGCGAAAGAAACAAGACGAAACGAAAGGAGAGCGGCAAGCGCAAACGAAGGCGAACTCGAAGCGTAAGAAAAAAGATCGACCTCTCCACACCGTTCCGAACTTAAACTTGTCTGCCTGTCTGTCCGTTGTGAAATGTAAAATGTGTATGATTGAGTGTCCGTGCATGCGTAAGAATGAGGATATGACTGTATGTACAAACGTTGTTATTGGATGGTCGATGATGATGATGTTTATGTGATGTATGTATGCATGGGATGGATGGGAATGGGGTTGGGATATACAGTATATGGAGCGACGGACGAGATGTACATGGGTAAAGGGTCGAGTCAAGGCAAGAAGTGAAGCTTTGAAGACTTGAGTGAAAGGAGAAAGGGCGAACAAGAAGGGGTATGATAACGAGGACACTCGCGCCCGGAAAAGACGTCCTTCCGGACAAGCTCAGTCCGAGAAAGAGAAAATGGTATCGAGAGATGCCGAACGAACTCTAGTAGCGAAAGTTCAGGCTCACGCTCATGCCGCAACCAACCCAGCCCTCCTCAAATCCTGCCTCGTCACATTCACCCCGCGCCAGTCCTCAAGCCACACGCCGTGCTCCCCGCACCGCGCCAGAATCCTCGCCCACATCTTCAGCACCCTTGTCTGCGGACGCCCGTGCGGGCCCGTGAGCGACGCCAGAGGGCCGATGTCCATGTCCATGTTGAGGTCCGCGTAGGAATCCATGAGCGCGGGAGAGGACGCGAGCGCGTCGGCCATGTCGAGCTGCTCGAGCTCTGGCAGCGTAGTGAGTTGAGGGTGGGTGCGCGAGCGCGAGCGAGACCCGCGCGTCGTGAGGGCGCGGAGGAGCCCCGAGCCGAGACTCTGTCGCTTCTTCGCCTTCAGCGGTGCCGGCGCCACCGAACTCTGCGCCCGAGGAGACACGTCGGGTGCAAACGCAGACCGGCGCGCGCCGACGCGCAGCGCCGCACTCGCCCTGCTCAGATCCCGAATGCACCGCAGCGACGGGAACGCCTCCCCATGCAACAAACTGCCGATCTGCTCGACGAGCGGGAAAAACGGCGCGTCCTCGCTCTCCACCCCATACCCATCCTCATCATCCCCATCACCCTGTACCCCATGGCCGGTGGCGCCATAATGCGACGGAACAGGAAACGCAGCCGCGTCGTCCGCCATGCGCGTGTCGATATCGCGGATACCGATCACGGAGAGCGTCGGATGCGAGGGAAGCAGCACGTGCGGCGCGATCCAGTCCGGGCGGCGCCAGTTCCACGCCGCGTCCGCGGAGCAGATGAACTCGTCGAGATTGGGACACCACGTCGCGAGGCCCACTGGTTCTCCATTGTTGCCGTTGTTTGTCGTCTGGCCCTGCCCTCCGTTGCCAAACGCACCGCCAAGCGCAGGAAGAGGTGTGAGCACCACCCCAGCTTCTTCGAGCAGCGCGCTCGAGTGACCGAGCTCGAGTTGCCTGACTCGCTCGCCATGTGCCTCGAAGAAGCGCGCGAAGCCGGCACCTGCGTACGCGTAGTCGGCCGCAGTGACGCACACATTCCTCAAAGAGGGCATGTCCCATCTCGCGAGGACGGCAAACGTCGTATTGTCGAGCGTAAGCTTGAGGGATTGTAAAACGGGGAGATGAACGACTGGTGCCTCTTCCAGGCCTCCAGGGACACCGGTTACGTTGTCGGTAGAGAAAGCGCCAAGGGCCAGACCGAGAGCAAAGGGCGAGACGAGGGGTATAGACGCGGACGAGAGCTCGAGATACTCAAGCTGGGCCGCGCTCTGCCTCAGGACGGGAGATACGTGCAGTGGGAACGGGGCATCGCCGTAGTTGGTGATACTGAGCCGCCTGAGCTTCCGCCCACCGCCTCCCAATGGGGCAACCATCTCCTCCGGACTGCTCCTTACGTCCCTCCACTCGAGGGCGCGCGCGCACCTGACAGCGCACTGGTCCGCGTACGCAATAAGACCCGGGGCGTACTCGAGAATGGTTCGCACGTCGTCCGTCGCACAGCGACGCAGCGCGGGAGTCTCGAGATGCAGCCGCTTGATGTAGATGCCGGATATGGGTCGGGACTGGACGAACTGGGTGAGAAGCGTGAGGGCGAGGGCTTTGGCCTGGGCGGCGCTTGATAGCCAGATGAACTCGTATAGGTAGGGCTGGATGAGGGCTGACCACTGCTTGTTGACGAGGGCGAGGGTGCGTTTGGTGCGGAGGGCGGTTCGGTAGGCGCGGTGCTGGGCGGTGCCAGAGCTGGAGCCAGGGGATGCGCCCTCGGTTGGGGAGAGGAAGGAGGGGGCGCCGAGGCCGAGACCGAGGGGGTCTGGAGCGTAGAGAGTGGCTTCGCGGATGATGAGGAGCCAGACTTCGGGTGGAAGTATGGGGAGGGCGGGGTGTGTTGGGGGTTGGAGGTGGGCAGGATGTGGGGCATTGGATGCGCGTCTGTGAAAGAGTCTAGTGAGTACGTGCACGAGTGAAAGAAAGTGGGATGGTGCATACCGGGATGGGGAAAGCCTGCTGGGGAGGGCTGCGAGGGCGGTGTGTACTCTGCGTGCGAGGGTCTTGTCTGCTGGGATGGCCATGTGTTGGGGGAAGGGGAAGGGGGTATAGAGGTCTGTGTTGAAGAGACTAGAGGTGTAAACGAAGAAGGATATATAGTCTGGATGAGAGTAGTAGAACGCCGCCTATTTCCACGCTTTCCTCGCCCTCTCCCTTTTGGCACTCTTCTTCCCCTTCTATTTTTACGTGCCTGGCCCTTCCAATCCTGGACTCTCTTCAACCTTATCCTCCCCCTCATCCACCCTTCTCTTCCAGAATCCTCACCTCCGGCACTACACCTTCCCGGCCGGCTCCCCCAAGTCCCCAGCGGCATCCATCCCCCGCGCTCCAGGCCTCACCGTCGACATCGCCAACGACTTGTCCATCGACTGAGCTCACGACGAACCCGAGCCCCGACAAATCGGCTCGCTTACCCCCCGCCCGACGCTTCACAGTCAGCACCCGCTACAGCGTCAACGCTTCTGGCCAGCAACTCATATGTTCAATTGACCCACCTGACTTCCGTGGCTAGTAAACGCACCCCACCTGTCACCCCCGAAACTCACCCCGAATTCATCCTTCATTCATTCTTATACCGTTCACGAGTTCCACCTTCCATCCTCTGCTTCTTTCAATTTTCTCTTTCTCGTATATAGCGATTTTCCGTGTGTGGGCCGTGTTTCCCATTCCTCATCCTCATAAGCACTAACTTTCCCGAGTCGGGATGGCCGTAGCCTAATATATGAAACCGACGCCGCGCATGCCAGGACCGGGCACGTAGAAGGTTCATTCGCATCCTTGCGCCTGCCTCGTTGCATACCACTACCAGTAATTTTTTTTTGGTTCGCTCGTGCACAACGACGTAATATCCAAAACAGACTAAAACCCACACTAAAACGCTAACCCATGTGAACGACGTGCAAGTTCAATTTGATCAAACGCACGCACGGACACTCCCTGGAAGGGCTGATCGTGATCCATTCGCTGTTCTGCACCCTCCTTCCCAACTCCTTGTTCCCAAAACATATCTCAGCCCCTATCCCGCTTCGAACCTACACACATCCGACGACTTTATTGGACAGTCACGAACTCTCGCACTCCCGCCCGCCGTCCGTCTCCGTCTCCGTCGTCCGCTCCGTGACCAACCTTCGACGCTGGAGCCCTGTTATGTTGCCGGTGCCGTCGCGGCATATTTTTGCACCTCGCGAACGGCCGGCGGCTTCCCTACTTTTTTTGACATATACAGCACATACGCGCATACTGTGCATATATGGCTTCATCTTCATTCCAGCGCCCTACGCTGGCGTTCTCGTTCGCGTGGCAGTATTAATATTGGCCGTCGCGGAATCATATGCATAGCGGCCTCCGTGCGGAATGTCCGTGTCGGAAGTAGGCTCTTGCTTCTACGGCACTGTAAGTGAATTGGTATTATTCTACGGGACCGAGACCGAGACTGTGGGCTCACGTTCTGCACTCTGCATGTGCTTCTTGAGCCTGGGTATCGTTTACCGTCATTTCCGAACAGATTTGTGGATTTCCCCCAAAGCCTAGTCCGTGACGTACTGTTCTATATCTGCACCAGCTCAGAGAACTCGCCCAGCGCTCCTGGGATTATACTATCCAATATCTTCTGAACGACTGAACGCATACAGAATGCATAAATCTGACCGTTTCAGCTGGACGTTCCACCTCGCCGCTGCCGATACCCATGAGAACGCCTATGATAATTGCTCATTGCATATTCAGCATTATATCCACAACTCAAGGGACCCGGGCCCAGCTCTCTGGTACCCGATGTCGACCCGAGCTGTACATGTGCACCCACATTATTAGTGGGCCACCGCGGACTCGGACCCCGGCCCCAGGGATTCGGTATCCTGCTGTACTTACGTTGGTGTCGGTGTCGGTGTCGGTGTCGGTGCCGATGTCGGAGTTATCGCATTATATATCCTTCTTGAACGTGAAAACGCGTCGAAGCCTGGGTCCGGCCAGCGGTTAGCTAGCGATGCTGTATTGAAATATTGAAGCCAGCCAAGAGCGCCGCATGCGCGGCGGTGGCGCTGCTACCGTACACACAGATGGATTCCTGATTCGTGTTGGCGGGCGCGTCATGCGACGAGGCGCGCGACTAGCGCTGCCACTGGTACACGTATGTACCCCGGACGCGGGGCGTACCCTGGAGCATTGGGCGCTGCGAGGGTACTGGTGGACGGTCGTAATTGTGTTGAAGCCGTGCGCAGGCCAGCCACAAGTCAGCGACACGCACTTGGGATAAGCATTTGGCTCGTCCGTTCGCTTGATGCATAGATGCTTGAAGCTTGATCCGTGACCCCGGATCCTCCGAGTCGAGTCTCGTGCGTCGGGCACGGTCACGGGGCTTTGAGGTTCATGCTGCGATGGCTGCAGCTGCGGATCTGAGAGTCATCGGGTCTGTGATACGTGGCACGTCTGGAGAGCCAGGTTTAAGCAGTGGCTGGCTCTGGTGTTTACCGAAATTGCTGACACGACTATAGCTAAAAATCATGAAAAAAAAAACACAAGATTAGGAATTCTGCAGAAATGAATCGCAAAGTTCGGCACCACGTCGTTCTGGCGAGCTGTCCTGCTTGCAAAAAGATAGAACACTTATGAAGGCCATCACTGCCGAGCTCAGCCATCCACCTGCAAGGCCCCGCCCTGCGTGCGTACAGATGCGTACACGCAAACTCCGTCGGATCCTCCAGGATCCTCCGGGCAGGCACTGCCCCAGATCCCGGCTTGCCACTGACAGATCAATGACAGAATCAACAAAGAATATCCCCTTGCACCGAGCCAAAGCCCCGACTCCCAAGTATCCGTTCGGGGATAAGCAAAGACAGGATGTCGCGATGCCACGACGTCGATCTCGGTAGAAGTATTGGTACAGTGCAAGTCAGCGTCAGCACAGGTCATCCGCGCCACAAAGCCCACTCGCCTGCTCGCTTAGGGAAGTCTCGACCGGGCGAGCGGAGTCAGGTGCATGGGGCGGCACGCGCTTGATCGCTGTTCTTTCAGCTGGGATTGTACGCGAGAGCCGCCCGAAGCTTTCTACGTGCAGTGCCACCTGCTTAGCGCTGGAAAGACGCGTCTTGAACTTCGCTAAGTATACCGCCGCGGAGAGCTCGTAACTCAGGTTACCCGTGTTTTCGGAAACGATTACATAGTCAAGTATCGTGTCGTACGGGCCATTTTGGTGTAACGATTTCAAGCGCGCGTCGACAAATCTAGAACACCTACGTATGAGCGAGTGGAGGAACAGGGAACGTGCCTGATGTGCCTTCTCGTCTGTGCCTTTGATGACGTGTGTGGCACCGCGAATAGCCGCCGCTCTCGGGCGACCGAGCTGACTGCCCTGGAGAACTCCTGCAGCAAGGCTCCAGCCAGAGACCGATCGAGCAGTCCCTGGGCAGTGGGCACAGTCAGCCGCGTACCTAGCGTATGTGTGGGCGAGGGACAACCCCTTGATGTATTCCTAGGCTACTTCATGCCTAGTTGGGTCGATGCCAGCTCCCAGAGCAAGTGCAGGTTACAGGAGGGTACAGGAACGTCCAGGGCACGCCGCACGCCGTATGTGCGACGGACATTGCGGGGGAAAGGTTACGTGGCGTAACGCGTCATTAAGGACACTCGGTCAACACCCCAATCCCATTTTGCAGAAATACGAACTTGGGAAGAAAACATCAGCAGTCTTAAGGTATGGATAACCTTTGACGAAAATGATAGACCTACGCGAGGGCCAGTGGCCTAGCCTGATACAGATATCGGTCGATGACTTCGTCGATTTGCGGCTGCGCCTGACCAAGCCCGTGAGCCTACTGGGGCGGTCGATCTACATTCTTCCGTCCTCCCGCATGTAGCCTCGAGCTCGAGCTATAGTCCCGGAGAGATGATCAGACAAAGCACAGGTCCGACGGTGTCCGAACTTGGATAACAAGTAAAGGGAAGTGAGAAGTGCACGTGCTTGCCGCTGACGCTGATTCCGCGGGACGCCAGAGCGTTCAAAGCGGAGAGATCCGCGTACAGGGCCATGCATCCGCGCTGCTTTGGGAGAACACAATAAGTTCTCTTGGCTCGGATGGGCCGGGGCCCGTTGATGATGAGGTCCCATATGTAAGTAGAGATACGATTCAGAGTATCAGAATCAGGATCGAGACCGAGATGGACAGTGGCGGCGCTAACTAAGCAAAGTTCTGGAAACCGGCTGGAGAGGTGGACCAATGGCGCGCGAGAGGCAAGGAAGCGAATAAGCATACGAGACGAACATAGACGAGACAAATTCGCCATCGAAAAAGTCCAGCCAGATGGTTGCATGTAGGTGGTGCAGTTTCCATACACGCCTCCCGCGAATGTATAGAGTAAGGACGGTCGTCCGATTCAAGCGGTGCTGACGGCGACGGTGGCGTTCGGTGACAGTGAGCGTCGCCAGCTGCCTTCGGGGAGTTCCGAGCTGTGAGCGGAGCGCTTGTGTCCACGTCGTCGGCAAGCCTGCACCATCTTTGCTGAGCATGCTGATACCGCACGCCCAGATTCCTTGGATCGTAGCTATCAGAGCCCTATTCATGGTTTCGGCGCTTGCGATCGACGAGCCGACGGGACACTACGCACCCCTGCCCCTGCACGACCGTTCACGAAATCAAACGCGCAGCTCCCGCGGGCTCCAAGTTCGCGACGAGAACGGTCTCCGGTATAGACACCCACGACCGCCCATCGATGAGGACAGATGCTGGATAGGTGATAAAGGAGTGCGCGGTTTCGGCGGGCTTCTTTCTTTGGTGCGTTCCCGAGATAGGATACAGTCGAGGGCAAATTCGATGAATGGTGGGCTGAGTGGGATGCACGACGGACACGGTAAGATGCAGAGGCCGAGTGGAGAGTATCCGCTGTATGGTCAGGCCCGGTCAATTGCAAGTTAACAGCACGGCAAGATGGCTGCCGTAAACGGCTGGACGTAGATGGATATGTCGACGCGGGACCCTTCGGCTGGGCTGTCTGTTCGCCTCAATGTTGAGCAGGACTGGCAGGACAAAAGAGGGCCCGGCATCGTTCGTGATCGATGCGTCCCAGATGGACGAGGGCGATCAGAGAGATGTGTTGGATGGATGGAAGGTGGAGAGCGCCGGAAGTACCCATTTCTTCCCGCGGGGTTATTGGGGCTGCTATTATTGAGCTGCGATGAGCTCGCTGCTTCCTCGACATTCTTATCCTCAGCGCCGAGGTCGAGTCGGACACTCACCAGCGTCTCTAGTCCACCTCGATAGCAAAGGAATGTCCTTCGCTCTCCATCTTGGTCTCTGACATCACCTCCCGACCCGAATTCGAAGACGCATACCAAACAGACCGTAATGTCGTTGGCATCCATGAGCATCTCTTATTTATGGGAATATGCCTGCCTTTTCTGCGCTTCTTGACTTCGGCGTGGGCACGCTGATAGTGGACGTCAACCGCAGCGTATTTCTGCCAGTTTCCTCCGCTTTTTTTTATACCTTCACCCTCGACCTCCTCTTGCTCGTCGCCATCTCGCTCGTCCCTCCCGCGCTAGCTCAACTTAGTATCGGCGTAGCCTACGGGGACGTTGTCAGGTCCAGGTCCAGGTAAAAGGAGACGACAGCCCATACATCAACCAACTAGCGCTCGTCCATTAGGCTATCGACGAGCTAAAGTGCATCGCACCCTCGAGCGCTCCACCAAGGTCGGTGTTCAACAGTTACGACGCTAGTCTTATCTGACCTAGTCCACGCTTCAAACTACGATACCTATCCCCCTCTATCCCTATGTCCGTCCTTCAACTCCCGTTCACGCCGTGCGGTGTACCCAGCCTGCCTCATTCGGGTTTCGCCAGGGACTGAAACTACCCTACCACGCTACTGCATCAGCGCTAGCACAAGACCAGGTTGGACTGTAACAAGGCTGTTAGTTCGGTCTAGCGCGCTACATTGCACGGCCTCCCCTATCTCCGTCTCTGAGCGCATATATCTCGTGCGTTCACAAGAAAGCTTCGTTCCTTCCTACCCACACGTACTCGCAGAGTCGCGCATCCCACGTCTGCATATCTCCCCCCTTTCCTCACTTGCCGCTATCTCTCAAAAGCGATGTCTTCCTCCGCCCTCATTCCGACCATCGGCAACGCGCTCGAGTCGGTTGGCGCTAGCTGGCGCTCCCTCGGCGCGCTCGTCTTGCTCGTCCTTGCGGGTAGCTTCGTGCGCGGACGCGTGGCAAAGCGTGGGCTGCCGCTCCCGCCCGGCCCGCCCGGACACTGGCTGTTTGGGAACAAGTTGCCGCATGTCAAGTAAGTATCACTCTTTCGTTTCTTTCTGTCTCCCCTGCTTTGTACACATGCTGGATGAGATGGGGGGCACAAGTCGAGAACATCAGTGGGTGGACACTTTTGTCATCAACGTATCGCGCCCGCCCCTCCGCTGTGCTCGGGATCTATACTCCGCCCCAGTCTAGCCAGGCTAGGCTACTTTCCCATATTCGACAGCTACATCACCTTTCATCTCCGTCCTGTTACACATATGCCCCCGTTCACCAGAGCATGATCAAACTAACGCTTATCTCCCGTTCTACCCAGACAATCCCAAGTCTTTGCTCGCTGGATCGAAGAATATGGCCCGATCATCAAGCTCCGCACGGGCCCGCGCACGATCATCATCATCGGGCGGTACCAGCCCGCGGTGGACATCATGGAGAAGGAGGGCCAGCTGCTCGCGGACCGCCCGCGCGCGGTCGCGGCGGGCGAGATTCTGAGCAGGGGGTTGAGGATGATTCTCGCGCCTGCTGGGGAGCAGTTTAGAAGGTTGAGAAGGTGCGTTCTGACCTGTAACCACTTGCGGTTTGGTTCGTGCAGTGCTGACACTGCATAACAGGGCCGCACACACGCATCTGCAGGCCAAGGCCGCCGAGTCGTACGCGCCGATCCAGATGGCCGCCGCACGGGACGTGATCGTCGACCTACTGGACGCGCCGCGCGGCCACATGGAGCACGTCGAGCGGTACGCGGCCTCTGTCATTCTCAAGATCACGTACGGCGCAACCGCGCGCGTGCGGCGCACGGACCCCGAGATTGTGACGATCCACAAGATGCTCGGCCGGTTCCAGATGCTCATGCGCCCCGGATCCCTCCTGATCGAGCGCTACCCGTTCCTCAAGCATCTGCCTGGGTTCTTGTACAAGTGGAACACGGAGATCGAGGAGTGGAGGCGCGAGGAGAAGGCGCTGTTTGAGAAGCAGATTGAGCGCGTGGAAAGGGATATCGATGAAGGAAGTGCTGGGCCGAGTTTTGCGAGGTATTTGTTGGAGCGGGAGGCGACGGTGGGAGAGGGGGATGAGAGTGGGCAGGGGAACACGTTGAGTAAGATTGAGAAGACGTATTTGGCGGGAAGCCTGTTTGGCGCTGGGTCGGATACGGTACGTTTTGTTCTGTTCTTCCGGGGGGAGGTGGTGTTAATTGTGTTTCCGCGCAAACGAAGACGGCCGTCGCACTCCAGGTTGTCATTATGGCAGCTGCGCACCACCCCGAGGCGCAGAGGACCATTCAGAAGGAGCTCGATGCTGTCGTTGGGCGTGACCGTGGTACGGTTATTTCGTCTTTGCCTTGTTTCGTTTTCTCAGGCTGATAACGGTGGACAGCTCCGACGTTTGATGACCAGCCGAATCTCCCGCAGATTCAGGCATTCATTCTCGAGTGCCTCAGATGGAGGCCTGTCACGACGCTCGGTACGTATACTAATAGTCCTCTCTGAGCAACGCGCTTACGGCGCTCCAAAGGTTTCGCCCATCGTGCGCTCAAGGACATCATCTACAAGGGCATGCTCATCCCTGAGGGTGCAGTTGTCTTCGGAAACCACTGGTGCGTCCCCTTGTCTCTCATCCCGCCACCCACAACTCATGACTGACGACACCAATCACACAGGGCCATTTCGCGCGATGCCTCTGTCTATCCCGACCCGCACACGTTCGACCCGCAGCGTTGGCTCACCCCGCAGGGTGAGATCCGGGAGGACCTCAAGTTCCCCTCGTTCGGGTTCGGGCGGCGCATTTGCCCCGGGCAACACATCGCGCTGCGCTCGATCTACATCAATGCCGCGCTGATTATGTGGGCGTTTAACTTGTCGGAGAGCAAGACGCAGCCGATCGACGTGGACGCGTTTGTGGATGGGGTTGTTGCGCATCCGAAGCCGTTTGAGGTGGTGTTTGAACCGCGCGTGGGCGGGGACAAGGAGGGGAGGGGGTTGAGGAGGGTTATGGAGGGGTATGGGGAAGAGATTTGAGTGGGGGTGGAGGCGGGGGTTGTCTTTTCTTTTGGCTGGACTGGGGTTGATAATGGTTGTGTATTGTGTAATAGAGTAGAGTATTTGTTCAATGAACCTCGGATCACCGGATAACTTAAAGTGTCGTATAAGACAAGTGAACCGAATGGTGTTACTGTTGATACTTGCAGAGCGAGCATGTCATGGTTAGAGTTCGATAATTCCTATGATCAATTTTACAGTCCCCAGTATACCCAAGCAAAGATGTACCCGACACAACCGACGTACTCGTGAAAACGAACCAATACATAGTGCTTAAATTTAACATCCCGGCAGCTACGCGCACACATCTTACGCATATGCAATCACGACATCGTTCCCGTCAATCGTCGTCGTCGTGAGCGTCCGCCCGTCCTGCTGAACATCGCTGACACTTGCGCCGGCTGCCGTGACCGGCTGCCCGCCCGCAGCCGCCGTCGTCGTGGCGGACGCTTTAGTGAACGAGACAGAGCCAAAATCCGCGAAGGGAACGAGACCGCCGTCAACCTCGAAGTCCTCGACGATCCACTCTGCGTCCTGGCCGCACAGTGTCACCACCCCGGAGGACGTAGAGGAGGAGGAAGAGGAAGAGGAAGAGGAAGAGGAAGAGGGGGATGTGAGCTGCTGCATGACCGTCTGCCCCGTCGTCGTGTTCTCGATCACGGCGCTGCCCGCGCTCGGGGTGTCGGCTGAGACGGTGAGCACGAGGATGTCGCCGGGGGAGATGTGCAGGTTGGCGAAGTCGGCGGCGGACGCGGGGAACCATTCGTACCAGGCTGCGTCGTCGGTTTGGTGGGGTGTGTGGAGTGAGTGATATAGTGTATGGTGTATGGGAGGGAAGGGGAGGGGAGGGGAGGGGGAGAGCGCGTACCGTTGTACGAGATCTGGCCGTCGGTGAGGGTGAAGTCGACGCCGGTCTGGATGATGGCGCTGGCGCACGAGGCGCCGTCGATGCCGACCCAGGCGGAGGCGGAGCCGTCGTTGCCTGTGGGGCTCGGGACGGTGAAGGTGCCCGTCACAGCCGTGAAGGTGTTCTTCGTTGCCCATTGTCATTAGCATGCTATCCAATCTACCGAGCGGAAAGAAAGACTTACAGCATCCCGAGACTGGATGGCACCGGCCCAGTTCGTCGAGTAGGACGCGTGGGAGATGTCCTTGGCCTCGAGACCCCCGATCTCGACCGTCTGGATGAGATTCGACGTGCGGCCCGAGCGGCGGGCGGCGGCACGGGCAGCGTAGCGCTCGGTGCTCGTGGGGAGCGCAAGCGCAGCAGAGGCGAAGACGAGGCTAACGATGAGCGCAAAGATAGTCTGCATGATGGCTGCCTGGCTGGCGTGCACGAGTGGCACGAGTGGAACCGCGGGTCGACGAGGACGAGGGGGCGGCGGCTGAGCGACCGGAGCTGGGTGAGGGCGAAGAGAGCAGGAGCGCCAAGGACAGGAGAGATCTTATATCTTAGATAGCCCGGGTGTGAGGTGTGAGTCGTTATGGCCCAGGATGGCCAGCGAGACGATGGGGAGGTCCACATATGCTCGAGCTAAATGCGAAGAGCGGAAGAACGCATGGTGAACCATAGACTCAATCACGAAGACATGTACGGCATTCCGAAGATGGCGAGCTGGCCAACGTCCGACTCTAAGACCTGCGAAAGATGGCCGTCCGCCGGTACCTGCGCGTTAAAACAGAGGACCAGAATAAACCGCGATAGGGTACGTATGTGTAACCCGGTTGCCAGCCACCGCTAAAGGAGACAAGTGCCACGTGATCGCATCAGCCATGTCATCGTATGTGCTGGAATGCTTCTTCTGAGCAGACGAGCCCCATCACCATGTTGCGTTCGCGCTAACCGAGGTTGTGAGTCCGTTTGCTGGATGATCGCGACACCGTCTGGCATCATGACCGGGACCGACCAAGTGAAACAGTGTGCAGACCTTTGGCCAGGACGTGACGTAGAAACACAAAGTTCCAGACTAACAGCAGCATCGTACATAGCGTCAGAAACGATGTAATGGGGGGTGTTGACGAGGCCACATACGATTGAGTAGTAACTTGACAGTCCACGCCATGCATCTGTGGATGAGTCCAAGTTCGTCTGTGTCGACGCCTGTCACCGGCAATGACGGGTACTCATCGGATCGGATGTGAGCCAAGAAGCTACATATGAGTTTCATGTGGTTGCTGAGAAGTATCAACATCGGCGTTTCTGGTCGCAGCTGGGGGGTACGCGGAACGAATCTATAAGTATGGGTGAATGCAAGAAGGATGATGGCGACGACAGCAACATGCGTAGCGCGTCCGAGCGGAGTTAAAGAGCAGACTTCTTACTTTACCAGCTTTTACCATCGGCGAAATCTCCGCCAGGAATTCGCGTCTAGCACATAAATTACCAAGGAAAATGTACGCCTCTGCTGCACGAGAGAAAGTGCAATACCCAAGTCGACTTGGTTACAGCGGAGCGCGCGATACACTCTTCCCGCTCGCATGGTTTAGCAGGCTGCATTGGGAGTGGCGAATTGTCAGAGTCGGAGAAATAGCTTGGTATGTTTTCGTCGAAAGGCTGGTCCAAGGGTACTCTATTTGTTCTGTGATCTATTATAGGAAGATAGCTAGTTGTGACGATGTCTCTATATCCCGTATGCGGCTTCTATACGCCAATGCACCCCAAAAGACCCATAAGAAAATAAGGAGTCCAGAAACCCTCCGAAAAGCCCGGATAGACGAGAACCAGAGTTTCGAAAACATAAAACCAGGAGCGAAATCCTCAACTCTCCCATCCAATGCGATAATACACATACACCACCTCGTCTGCATCGTCCCGCCCCGGTCGCCCCCCACCGCCGACCGCGTCGCAGACGATTGTCTCCTTCGAAAGGATCACCAACTCGTCTTCGATCGTATGGTCAGCACCGCGAGCGGTCCCATCCCAGCGGAAGTGCAACTCGACGGTGCTGCTCTCAAATTTATGTGTCGAGCGAAGGGGAATGACGAGGTGGAACGTGGGTGCCTGAGCCTTGGACTCGGGTCGCCTAGGGTCCGAGCGACGCAGCAAACGCGCGAGACACCCCTTGATCCAGCGCGCGTGTTCGGCTTCGTAGATGATGTCCGCGCCGAAAGCGACGTCGAATGGCTCGTGGCCCAGTGTCGAGGTACTGTCAGTATCTGCCTTTTCATTCGAAATGGTAGCGTGGCCTGTGTTGCTGAACGCAGCCCAGTCGAGGAAGCAGCTTCGTACAGACGCGCTCGACGATGGAGAGGAAGACGAAAAGTTAGCATCGATGTTCGCGCCGAGGTTGGCCAGCACCGAGGGATGAAAGTCCGTCGCGACCAACTCCGCCGCGTAGTCCTTTTGCTGAGCCGGTAGCTGAAGTTCGAGGAGCTTGCCCACTGTAAGACTAACCAGTCCCGTTCCCGCACCGAGCTCGAGCACCCTCAGACTCCTCCCTCCTTCATTTCCCTGACAGCCTCCGCCGTTTAATCCAAGCCCGAACGCATCTGGCCGTTCCGCAATCAAATCCGAAAGGACGCACGCGCCACCCCACGTTTGCGCGCCCACACTCGTATAGTCCGCGTTGATGAGTGGGATGTCTGTTAGCTGGATGCTAACGTCCCCGCCGGGCGACGAGAAGGTGAACGCGCGGGTGAGCGTCCCCGCGGACGCGGTGCCCGCGCATATAGCCAAGAGGGAGGCCGCGCGTTCGATGAGGACCGAGGTCAGTGATGGAGACGTAGCCGGAGTCCGGGCCGGAGTAGGTATCGAGCCTTCTTCCTTGCAAGAGCCGTCGTCTTCCGGGGCCACTCGCGGGCCCATCCCTATTGTCGATGTCGTAAGGCACGAATCATAGCCCGAGTCATCGCTGGCACTCCCGCCGTCCACTTCGCCTCCTTGTCCCACCTCCACTTCCACAATATCCTCCGCCACAGTTTCCACCTCGCTCTCTTCCTCCGCCTCCCAAACCTCCGCAAGCCCGATAAGCGACGTAAGCCACCTTAAAGTATACGTCCGCTCGAAGTCATCAGCCCTAATCGCCTCAAGAGCGTCTAGCTCGGCCTCAGGTCCCGCCTGTCGTATTTGCCTTCGCCGCCGCGATCCGTGGACCTCGGGGCGGTAGAGCGTGTACAGGTAGTCGAGTGCGCTAAGGATGGCCGAGGGGTCGACGTCGCCTGAGACGAGCCTTTTCACGGGCGGGAGGTAGGACGTAGGCGGGAGATCGAGAGCTGTGAGCACTGGTATCATCCTCGGAGACGACCGGGTCTGTAGAGCGGAAGAACGAACAACAAATTAAGAAGAGAACGAGGCCAGAGAGGATGAGGCATTGTTGTGTTATACCTGCGAGTTCTATGAGAAGAAAAGAGTGGAGAAGGAAAGGAGAGAAACTGGAAAGCAAAAATTGGCCACAGCCATCTCGACGGCAGACGATAAGATGGAAAAAAGAGACAGGTTGTTTGGCCTTGTTGCGACCGGAACGTTGAAGAGCTTTGCTTCCGATTGGTGGGCTGATTGACGCGGACGTCGGGTGCTGCGTATGTCTGAATTCTACATGTCATGAGACAACTACGCGCAGAGCAATCAGACCACTCAGCCTGACGGAACGATGCCTAAATCTAGCTTGCAAGAAACATGCAAGAGGCTTTCTCCGGCGTGCGACTCATGCAAGCTGCGACGTATCAAGTGCGATTTGGTTGCTTCACCTGGCCTGGAGTCGTGTTCGCGCTGTGTTGATAAGCGCATACGGTACGTATCTTTTCAAACGAGCTTGGAAGCAGAGTAGAGATAGACTTCAGATGCACGAAGACTCCCGTCGCATCCAAGCCGAGGGAAAGGACAGGCAAGCGGATAGAGCAGGCCAAGTGCGTATTGTCAGTCCATACCCCTCTCCTGTTCAAGCTCATTCGTTGTATCAGGGCTGTCTATGGAAGGAAAGACGACATTGCGCGAACTGCAGTTTATGCGTCCTATCGAACTCAGGTCTCAGCAACCCCGGCGTGCATTGGAGCAGAGTCGACTATGGTAGCTGTTGAAATGACCGGAGAGCTCGTGGTCCATCTCCTCCAACGTGTGTTTCTCCTTGTCTCCCTCGTCCCCCTCGCTCCTAAAACGTAAGTATCCCATCAAGTATACCAACAGCTCTCCGGAGTCTCTACCATGTTCCCATGCACCTCCCTCTCCGTCATCGCGTCCTTCGAAAGTACCGGTCGCAGACTCGACAGACTCAAACCATCCATGCAGGCGCTCATTCTCGCCATCGTAGGCGTCACCGCGCGTATATCGACGCATCCGGCGCTGCTTGGACCCGGTTCCCCTGTGCCCACGCTCTCCGACTCGATGTGCACCGACGATGAAGACCTCGAGTCAAATGGTCATGCGTCGTCACCGTATGTCGTTGGCTGTCGACGTGAGAGCGCATGCTCATCCTTGCGGGAGAAGGCCCTCGAGCAAGCATGGAAGCACCAGATTATAAGGCCCGGACGGGATGGTCGCGACGGCGACGGCAGGACAGAACAGGAAGAAGCTGCGGCAACGTGTTTTCTGCTCGAGTGGCTCGATATGCCCTCTTATTGCGATCTAGAGGACGTCAAAGGGCAGGATAACCCAAAATCAGAACGGAGCGTGTGGTCTGCCGCTTTTATATCGCATTTACGCTGGAAGAAACGCCAGCATCGCACGAAGGAGGGCGAGGACAGGGAGGCAACTGTACAGTGGTGCATGCAAATAGTGAGTCGCGGATGGCTGTTTGCATGGGAGGCTCAACGCAGACTGTGTTCAGATGCGAGAGGCGCTCGCTTGTGCTCCGCATGAAGAGGCTTGCCAATAGTGCGTAGTCCTATCAAACATTATCCAATGCACTATGTTCTAACGACTTGCTACGTTGATCTGTTAAGCACGCTTCAGGATGAAGTCCTACTCGCCGGCCCTCCGCCATCATCGCCTGAGGAGGTGCTTGCCAATGCAGATGCTCCATGTACGACGCAATGGTGGGATACACAGATGTTTTGGAGGCTCGTCAGACCTTGTAAGCGTTGAGTGACCCTTACAACGATGGGCTTGAAACTGAACACCGAATGGTTATCTACAGATACGTACCACATCACTAAGATTGCCTTGAATAGCTTTGACTGGAACTCTCGTGTGTTGCTCATATTCCTACGAGTTCACAAAGCTCATGCTACACCGCATTATCTTGATACATAGGCCGCCACGCGAACCTGCCCTTCTCAATGCCCCGCCTCCAAGAACACCTCGCCACCCTCAAGCCCCTCCACGCCCTCCTCACCCTCTTGCACGCCCGCTTCAGTGTCGCATTCAGCGCTGAAGCCATCTCAGTGCGTCTACATTCGCACTCTTCTAGCAATTCCGGCGCTCGGGCCGAGATGCGACATGACGAGGCGCGACTGAGAGCGGACAGAGAGCGTGAAGAAGCGAGGGCGGTGTTGGAGGAGATGACGGGTGCGATGGCGCATGTGTACGCCCCGATTTGGGTCGATGTCGAGGCGAGGTTGGGTTCGTCGTCGCCGATTGCGGAGGACGATAGGGAGACGCTGAAGCTGGTCATGTGTGGGCTGAGGCGGGCATTGTTACCGTATGTGCTATGGATGTGGACGCTCGGGAGCGGGGGGAAGGAGGGCACGTCTGGTGAGTCGGGTTTGATGTCACAGCTCCGTGTCTTTGATCATTTCTTGACGCCTCTCTCCTCTGACTTTGTGCAGCAGCCGATCCGGCAAAGTTCTGGACATACGCCTTTCTCTCGTCGCCGCCTATCGAGGACGGCGGAGAGGTCATGACGCGCTCGCAGAAGCTGCATATCGTCGAATCGTACGTTCACCCACCCAACCGCCCGCCCACCTCCATCGCACTACCATCCATTACTAACACATGTACGATCAGACTATGGAAGACCCTGAGACTAATATCCTACTCCTGGCCGCGCATCATGCATACCCGAGCCGCTTACCGCGTCAAAAGCGCGCTGCAGACGCTGCGTCTGGAGCGAATATTTGATGCGTTGTACGAACCTGTCTCCAACCCTAGCCCTACGGAGCCTGCATCCGACGTCGACGTTATCCCCGGGTCCGATTCGCAGCCGAGAACTGGTGCCTCGTGTTGGTATACTTCGACCCCTGGCTGTAGCCCAGCCTCAATGCCGGCAATCTTCGATCTCCCTGATATCGAGGCGGTTATGCGCTCTACAGTGGATTTTGGCGGCGAACGCATGATGTCATCGTGTGATATGGACGGTGGAAGGCAACACCGAGCTATTCGCAGCGACGCCGATGGAGGGGATGGTTATGGCTTCTACCAGACGCCAAACTCGGATATTGCCTATGAGGTGGATGTGTGCTCTGTTGAGCTGGGCGGTCTGCCGCAATATTTGGTGGACGAGACGTTTCCAGTGTTTTCAAGTGGCTTAGTTTCCGGCGCTCGCCAAGATGGTTCAATGGACTGGGATTGGACGTTACAGAGTTGACCAGGTTGTTCATTGTCTACATCACATTGTGTTCGTTGCTCGGATTGACTGATCATGTTTATATCAAATCGCAAGGAACAAAGAGCGCGGTTGATTGTGGCCCGCATTTCAGTCGTACCCCGCATGGTCCGGATCCGTCTCGCGACACCACAAGAGCATTTTCTCCGCCAAATCTCCATGCACGGCACGAATTTCTGTTGTATGAATCAAGGCTTGTGCTTGCTGCTCAGGGCATAGTTGTCGCCAGAGTTACCGCTTTCAGATCACACGCGCGATGTAATGCTCAGACCGTGTTCTGCATTGTTTATTTTGGTCTTCGCCGTGAATCGGATAGCTCTGTTTGAAACAGGATATTTATCTACAGCAACGCAGGGTCCTTTGGAAAGGTCCAATTAGCGACAGCACTGCTGCCAACAATAAGACGTCTTCGTGGGAAGACTACGCTACTTTCCGGTCATGCTATAAGTATGGGCGTCTTCCTGCATGCTGCCCAGTGCCCAGTTAACATCACGACTCCAGTCTACATCCGCGCATCAAACCTCGATCACACGTTCTCAAGACCTAGGTTTCTCAGCTTTTACATGCCGAACTACTTTTTCGTCAACGGTCAGAGCTTCACCGTCCCGGATGGCTCGTACAGCTTCTCTACGAACAGATACAGCAACTCTTACAGCAACTCGGGGTACTCCACCTCGGGTGCCTCTAACTTCAGTCCTGATCCTTCGGAGAAAGGGACCGTCGTTTCAAATGCTGCATGGGCCTACACCTCGGGTCGTCCCAGCTGGGCCGATGGCTACAACCACGGTGCAGAGGCGACGTTCCAGCTTCCCGTAGATGCCGGCTTGGAAGGTCTATACTTTCTTGCCAAGGGTTCGGGACACCGAGGGCACGCTATTCTCGCGTGTCAGCCGAGTGGCTCTACTGAAAGGAACGTGAAAGTTCGCGTGCGCGCGGCGTATCACAGCCCTAGGCAACTCGAGAGAGCGGAGGTGAGCGCAGTGAACCGTTATTCCGGGAAGGAGAAGGGGCTCTACATTTCAGTGAGTGGCCTCACAATTATCCCCCGACTTTCATGGGTCTGGCCTGATATGCGGTATTTTAGACGCCAAATCTATCGGGGTTTATACGCCACGAGGATCTGGTTCAGTTTGAGGTGACGGTATTTCTCCCTGTTTCCTCCGCCTCTCGTGGACCTGGTGCTGCTCCAAGGCTCTCTCTGGGAAACCTCGAGATGAAGATCCTCGGATTCAGTTTGGCCGCGAAAGACCTTAGCAAGCATGTCTTCTTTAAACATGTTGATATTGCAAACACGAGCCGGGCGGCTTCGTTTGAGGTATGCAGGGTATCCATCTCAGGCCTCTTTGTGCTCTAATCAGCTGCATGCGTAGTCTTTAAGGTGCAGGACGGGAACAATCAAGTCCACTGGTGCAACAATCAGCGGCGAATTCTATGCCTCCGAGTCTATGGCGCTCTCCAGCACATCCGGCAGCGTCAATGCCACAATGCATTTTGATAGTGAGTATGCAAAGGCAACCATTCGCTCAACGAGCGGGTAAGTACCACAGTTTATGTTGTTTACCGCGCCAATCTCTCACAAAACATCACAGAGACGTAAATGCGACTATTGGGTTCCACTCCCAGGCCCATCATGGAAACCCCAACGTCCAGGCACAATCAACTTCGGGCAACGTTGACGTCGATATCACAGCTTTGCCAGTAAATTCCAACCTCAACATGACCACTATGAGCGTCTCTGGAAACGTTCAAGTAAGCCTTCACCCGGCGTTCGAAGGGACATGTAGTATGCGGACGACGAGCGGAAGAAGGACCTTTAGGGATGCGCCTGCTACCGATCCATCGGGCGCGAATAGACGGAGGACCGTTGGTCAGGGATGCGTGTTCTGGGATGAACGGCGCAGACATGCGGGGAATATCTCTATCTCGGCCACGAGCGGAAATGTGAGGCTCACTCATGGAGGGTCGCACTATTCATACCCGTGAGTACATTAGATCCGATTCCAGTAACTATATTCTGACTATTCGTCATCTCTTATCAGAACGAATGAATCTGCTCCCCCCAGCTCTCCGTCTCCTAGCTCCCCGCCTCCTGGACCTCGTGATGACGATCTCACAGTGACCGAGATTGAGCCAGAGCCGGAAAACCCAGTACCAGAATCCCCCACGGAAGACGCTTCGCCTGATTGCGCGTGTGCGTGTCACGAAACCGAGAAATCATCGGATTCTGGGTCGTTCATTAGTGCACAAGGGGAGAGCGAGTATAATCGTGCAGAGGAGACGCCTAGTTGGTTTAGCAGGTTCTCATCCGGATCCTGGGGCACTTTCTCTCGAAACCGTGGCGGTTCAGAATCTGAGAAGCGGAATACCTGAAAATTTTGGAGGGATGTGGCTGGAAAGGATGTAGGCTTTCAAAGTATGCGTCGATTAGTTTGGCTGCTGGCTGTCCATTCTGTACTTTCCCTGTGTGTGCGTTTGTAGAGCCGGTACTGTACTATACTCGACAAGATAGCTTGAGTCAAGTTTAGATGATTGAGAAGTACGCAATCATAAAGCTCGCGCATTGTCTTTGGTCTTTCCCACGCACCGGATGTGTCTTTTGTTTCCTCCAATTGTGTCCAGGCGATATCGATCATGCGCGCAACCGTGATTACAGCGAACCTGACGGGCTGCGTTTCTAACGAATGGACGATTGGACCGGTGGGTGTCTGACACTTGACAGAAGCTCTGACAGCGAGAAAACTTATTCGGCTAACGGCGCTCGTTGAAAAGGCGAAGGTGCACAAGCGCCCAAACGCGTGTCACTTTTGGACCTTTCGGACATGCCGCACGCGAACAACCCGCTTGGTCCAGAGAAGCAACTTTCGGCCCTGGATTTATGGAGGTTAACCTGTCGTTAGTGCCACCAGCCCTGAACGTTTGAACCCTGGACCCGCGAGGTCCCACCGCGCCTCGTATAAAAGCCACCTTCTCAGTAGGAAGACTTATTTCGCGTCCCCCGTTCATCCTCAATTGCCCTTCAACTTCGCACTTTTACTCAGGAAAATGTTGCATCATGCCTGCGACGAGGGTCAGTGGTGTGGATCCTTGCCACAGCATCACTCCGTCCCTTTTTCGCTGCCGAATACCGTTCTCGCTTCCACCGACGCCACCGATGCCACCGACGCCAAAGAGCGCACTTGCGAGGCCGCCAAGAGGAGTCGTATCATCTCAAGCGCTGTATGGAAACGTGTAGAAGGCCACCCCGCATGGACTGCGGGATACGACTGTGGTGCGGAGACGACGCTCGAGCTTCCTATCAACTCTGCCGGACTGTGCTTTCTCGCTGAGGGGTCGAAGCACCGCGGACATGTTATCGTGGCGTATAACGACGACGACCGCGGCCAGACCCAAAGTGTGCGAGTGCAAGTGCGCGCTGCATACATAGATCCGGCAGATCTCTGTGCCACCCAGGTTGGCGTGATACAAAGATCCGACGGGACCAATGGTGTTCTGATTTCGGTGCGTTGCAACCAGCGTTCTATATGTTTTTTAGCTAAAAGATTTTCATCCTTAGACACCCAAACTTTCCGGATTCATTCCCAATGAAGACCTTGTCCTGTTCAAAGTGACAGTTTGGCTACCTGCATGTGGTCCGTCAGGCTGGCTCCGGCCCGCATCTGTTCTATCGTTCGATAAGCTTGAGATGGACATTCCCGGCTTCAGCTTGGCCACACAGGCCCTCGAAGAGAAGGTTCTCTTCGGTGATGTGTTAGTAAAGAATGTATTCGGTAGAGCGGATGTTAAGGTATGCTTGCCAACGTTTCACCCGTGTCCGCGTACAGCGCTGATGAGTCGCACATATTCGCTGCAGTCACTACGGTGTAAGACCGGGTCGTTCAACGCCATATTCGCGTCAATCAACGGTCGCTTCCATGCCACCGAGTCTCTGTCCCTCGAGACGCAGAAAGGGAATATATCCGCTGACATACAGCTTGAAGGCGATAATGCCACAGCAATAGTCAGTATTGGTGAAGGGTGAGCCACTTCCTCATCGGGTACAGTGACGTTGTGGTGACACGAACTCGCACGTAGGTCCGTCAAAGCGCGCGTTGGATCCCACGCTCAGTCCAGACCTGGAAAGTTTGAAGTTAAAACAGACCCGACCAAGGACGCCGTCAAAGTCATAGTGCGGAAGCTGGCTGTGAGAACTAGGCTCAATTCCGACGCAAAGAGAGCATATGGTCACTCGCACGTTCAAGACCTTCATACATATTTTCAAGGGACATGTGACGCTCAGACGAAGGATGACGTGGTCACAGTCACTGAAGCTCTTGAAAAGGGCCCCATTGGCCCTGACAAGGACATAGGCGTTCCAGAGGACTCGGCGTACATTTTTTTGGACGAAGCGCGCCAAAACATTTGGAATGTGGTCGTGTCTACGGTGAAAGGAAATGTTACGCTAACACGCGGAGACAAAATCGGTTCAAACGTGTATGTTTCTCAGCTCCGATTCGTCATCGAAACCTCTAACTTACGAGTAATCTATTTTATTAGCCATCCTCCCACCGTCGTGCAGGATGGCACAGCCCCTCGACTGCATCCGCGAAACGAGCATCCTCAAGAGAAAAGTCCTGCGTACACGGAGTCGATGATCAGCTCTTCGGCCACGTTCACGTCCGCAGTATATCGCTATTCTGCTAAGGCTGCGTACATTCCTCACACCCGTACGAGCAATTTGTTGTTCTTATCTGTTCCCGGTACTAACTTGCCTCTAGCCTCGCCTACACGCCCGTCGCCTCTGCCATTTACTTTCCTGGAGCTTCCAACTATATCCGAGGATACTCGTAAGAAGTATAGAACCTCGCGCATCTGGATCCAAAAGATGTTCAACAAGATTGCTGGATATATTCCTTACAAGAAGCGCGTTGAAACCATCAGGGACTCGGAGAAGCCATTGCCCGTTGGTGGCATAAAGTATCTTACAAAGCAGTAGAAGTCCCGTGACCATAGCCTATGCTTTATAACTGTGTGGCAAAAAAAAAATGAAAGTGCCAATGCCAACTTAAGTTCATTGTGGATTGACTGCTGGGGCAGAAACCTGAATCATCGAGGATCATCGACGAGATTTTCCAGAAGGGATTATATAAGTATGCGTTCGCCAAGCAATCAATGGCCGCCTGGCGAAATGGCATCGCGTCTGACTACGAATCAGGAGATTGCAGGTTCGACCCCTGCGGTGGTCATTTTATTTTTCAAAAACAAATTCCCATTGCCTTTTTTGACCACGCTCGCTGCCTTACGAAATCAAGATCGCGAGGAAGACTTGCCGTCCACTGTCGTCATCATATTTTTCTCACGGCGATCTCGTCATCCTCTATTTGGCTCTCGTATTCACTTGGACCGTCCTTAGGCGAGCACGTGTCAAGGTCTGCAAGGGAGACTACTTGGACACCTTAACATTAGCCCCCGACAGAAATCACCGAGCAAACGAGCCGACTCGGACCCCCATGTGTAACAAAAACATTGCGCAAGCAGCTAAGTATAGTCCGGGCAGGTCGGTCCAGTGGCCCGCGCTCGAACGTGCATCCTCCAAGCTGACCCGACTCGCTCTTTGATCCGTGTGCTCTTACGCTCCCTGACTTAGTTCCCTCTACTCGCCGTTTGTCATCCCCGCGCCCCGGGACTTCTGTGCCGTGGGCTGCGTCATTCGCTCGGAAAGGAGCCGGTCATGGGAAGGATTATAGAGGGGTCGTCCACTCCTTCCCCTCAGCAGTCGACGGACAGTGGACCAGGATCGACAGGCCTTTCCAGAGATAATCACTCCATATGGGTTCAGCATCAACACCCCCCTTGCCTGGTGCGTCTGCTTGCGACCTGTTCTAAGTCACTGACTTGCTGATCATGTTGTCATATCATAGAGTGCTGGGGACACCGAGGGGTTCGTTGAGTGTACTTGAATGAGAGCGTGGGCTTTCCTGACTCGTCTTATAGGCGTCTGCGGCCTTCCCAGAGAATACGCTGGCGAGCTTCGAGGCGGCGATAAGAGATGGTGTCGAAGTGGTTGAGACAGGTACGCACCTGACTGTCTAATTCCCTTGTCCCACTTGCTGATCATGGTGCTTCTCGATAGATGTGCATGTATCTGCGGACGGAGTCTTGATCATGTTTCACGATCCCGGTGAGTGGATCACTGCAAGCTGGTGTAATGAGCGCTGAAGCTGTCCGCTAGACTTGCGGAGGACGACCGGGTCGATAGGCAAGATCAAGGAGCGCAACTGGTATGGGCCAGACGGCATGGAGCATCTACGCACCCTCAAGCAGCCCGCGCAATCCATACCCACCTTCGCTGAAACAATCGCCTTGTTCATGCAGGTCCGTCTACATCCGCATTCATTTGGTCTCATCTTGACGTAGTCTCTTCGGGACCGCATAGCCCGAGAACCGACACGTCAAGCTCAACGTCGACGTTAAAATCTGGGCCGACCCCGAGCGCGTCTTCTCCCTTATGCACGACACCCTCGCCTCGCAGCTACCTGATTGGGAGACCGAGCTCGCGCCGCGCATCATTCTCGGCTTGTGGCATCCCAAGTTTTTGCCTTACGCAAAGAAATACCTCCCCTCGTGCGCGCGCTTGCATATCGGAGCGAGCACATCAATCGCGCGGAAGTACTTCTGGGACGAGGTGGATGTGTTTTCCATCAACTATGGTGTGCTGGCTACGGTACAAGGTCGGGCGTACGTACATTTCCAAACTGCGTGTTCGAGAGACATGCGTTTTGACGATGATGTCGGCTATTGCGATACAGATTCAGGAGGGACTGTCTCGCGGCGGGAAAGTCGTTCCTCGTTTGGACCGTGAACGATCCCAGACACATGCTAGAAGTACGTGTATGCTTGATTGTTTCATATAATAATAATAGTACTGATAAACGCGCCCACTAATGATCCGAACAGGCTACGAAATGGGGAGCAAAGGCGGTTCTGACCGACTACCCCGAGCGCTGGCTGCGGTTACGAGAAGAGATGTCGCGTCCAGGTACGCCGCTCACTTCTGCTCCCTTTCAAGCATGAAAAACTGACAGCGCTCGTCACCCCATTTGACTCAATTTTGTCCGACAGGTGCTCGCGACACGATGCTAGCGAACAACGGCTTCCTGCATATGTGGACGACGCCCCTCCTGTGGGTGCCCGCTGTGCCAGGGATAGACGTGCTTGTTCGGTACATGATTCAGAAGAACGCGGGTTCGCTCGATGAGGTGTCGGCATTGGCGTCGGCAAAGGATGATGCGGCAGCACCAGTGGCGTGAGCGCTCATAAGGCATCATATATCATAGATGTGTTTCATTGATTTATACCCATGTATGCTCACGATTTTGTATTGATCGTGTTCTAGAATCAGGTATTGTCTGATTGTAAAGCCGTTGTGCAGCCCCTCTCAGGTTTCTCATGTCCGGGCAGCCTTTGTGGCGCTTGTGTTCGATGCGGTTGAAATGGTTGCATCAGCGGGTGACTATTACACCTACTAGACGGTACCACGCCGTCTGTGGGACCTTTTGGCACGCGCAATCCTCTTTACCTCGTTGTCATGTGTGCGCCCTCTTTCTAGTCGTCATTCATTCAACTCGAGGAAAGAAGTTTCCTTGCAGAGTCCCGCGAAGCATGCTCCAATGGCGTGGTTCTACTACTGGTGGTTATTTGTGCTCAGGGCGCCCCGTCGGGCACCTCGGAGCGGCTTTCGCACGCTGCAATCGTGCTTTTCCTCGCTGAACGTACGGTGTGCGCTTCTTCTTTGAACGCCTCAGCCCCGTGAGGATTTGCACATCGCAGCAAGGGATTTGCATGTCACCCGCCTCCCCCGTGTCGGGTGAGCTAACATGAAAGTGTCCATAGGCTCGTTGGGCAATTGCAACTGGATGCTTTAAGATGAAACAAGCTAGCAGACGCATTTTTGTCACTCTTGCAACCTACCCTACTCGCGCAGCGACGATCCTCTCGATCTATGCCCTGATCCCATCCCCAACTGTACATAAACATTACCGGCGCATTCTAGTCCCTTCAGAAGCTGATCTGGGTTTGACTCGTTTACCGGAGCAAAGAAACAACAAGATACAACACCTTTTCCCCGATGCCTCCATGCTCCATCCCTCTCGCTTATCTGCTACCTTTAGGCAATGAACTCTCCATATAAAGATGGAATCTGCGATCGGCGCCGGGAGCCCTGGCGGGCAACTCGAACGGCCATTGATTCATGTACCCGGCTTGCTGGTTAAGGTTTTCCGCTTTTCGCATGTATTGTGTCACTTACGATCGCTTGAACCGTATACTCCCCCCGGATGTCGATTCGTCGAGACGGTGAGACGTCGACGGAGCCCTTGCCGTGACCATTCCGGTACTATACAGCAGTCCAGAAACTCGGGATGTTCTTGCCACTTAATTTTGTTCCGAGGCGCCCTAGTGGGCTGATATAAATGTTTGGCCGTCGGGGAGGTAAAGGTTTGCCGCCTGGCATCCCGTGTCTTTCTCCCTCCTCCGAGCTCTCCCCCTCTCGTCACCAGCCGTTCGTCATGCAGTCCGTTCAAAATCACCAATATTCTCACTATAACTCATACGTAAGTAGCCGTGAAACTCGCGCGTGCTATTGCTGACAAAATTCTCATCAGAGCTTGCTGGCTTATAATTACGGCTCGTTCAGCTCAGCGGCTCCGCATGATTATCCTGCAGCTGCTGCTACGCCTGGCTACGGCTACTCTTACAACCGTCAGCAGCCATCACAGACCCAGTTCCCTGGCCCTTCTACCTACCAGCGCACCGATGGCTTTTCCGGCCTTCAGGCCCAAACGCCTTCGGCGATGTACCAAAATCCTCTCCTCTGCCAACCGCTGTGTGGTTCCCACCCCAACTCTTCCTCCAGCTACAGCTACACAACCAACGCGCAGCAGTCCTCACCTGCACAGCAGCCATCTCACGCAGGCTACGACGGTTACAATTATGGCTATGATGCACCTGCAGCGTCGGTCGCTCCGGCCTGCCAGCCTACGCCTTCGTTGCAATATCTACCCGACGAGAAGGTGTACTCGAAAGATTATGCGAGTCCCAGCATGTACGATGACAGACTAGTCGACCGCTACGGCTCGGTACAGCCGGAGTTCTTCCTCACCCCCTGTGCGATGCTGGCTGTCACAAACCCAGAGACCGCTGTCCCCAATGGCTGGCCCTCCGCCCCTGGTGCATCTGTTATCGTCGGCGCGCCTGCCCCTTCGGGCTCTTTCCCCAGCTCTTCGGTGGCGGGAAACGGGAACCGCCTTAACGGGCAGCATCAACACTCCACCGACGCAGCCCCGCATCCGTTGGCGACGCTGAAGGCGGAGCCCGAGTCTTCACCTACTCCGAAGGCGGGGGCGCGACCTCGTCGTAAATCCCCTCGAGACGCTCTGAATCACCGCCCAGAGCCGCGGATAAGCCAGCAAAAGGCGATTCAGCGCGCTGCCGTCGCCGAAATGGGCTTCGAGCCCATCGACTGGTCAGTGTCCGATATACCTCTTCCTTTGTCGACGTCAGTGCTCATACCACCTCCGTCACCCCTCTAGCAATTCTATCTCGTCGCATGACAAGAAGCGGTATTACCTCGTATGCCTCGAAAACTACGTGTCGTTCCTGGACGACCAGATGAGCCGCGTGGGCTCGCCGCCGCTCACGCTCGAGCGCGTCGACAAGTATCCAAAAGGGCTGAGCAGCCGTTCCATGCGGGTGAGCTCTCGTCGCCAACCACATGCCCTTTACTTCGTACTCACGATATATTCTCTTAGACTATGCATTTGCATATGCAGAATATGAACAAGAAGATGTATGAGACCTTGCGGGATAAGGAGGCGATGGTGAGATCAGCCGGTTTCTTTCATTCTCTCCGATTCTCAGCGAGCTTTTCATTGCAGTATAAAGAAAAACGGGCTCTTGTGATGCAGAAGATGAACATGAACCCTGAGTGCTCGGCTCAGAGCAATACGTTGGTGGCCTCGAACCTGGTTGTATAAGTCGCGGTAATGAGTGTCGTAGTGGTCGATTGCTTGCTCGGATATCTTGTACTTTTGCTTTTACATTACACTTGCTGCTGCTGTTACCTCTATATTTAGAATATCATATTTTATTTATCGGCGCTCGAAAAAAACTATAATTGAATGTTACGCAACACAGTATACCGTAGATGCGTGAGTACTCCAGACAGAATTTCATCTCGTCGTGGTGGCGTACAGCCGCATATGCACGCAGGCCGAAGTTTCGATTAAGCTTCAGGGTAGTGCGCTCGGATTGGCTCCAGTCGTGGAATTCATGGAGTCCGAGAGCTCCGAGCCAGTGACGCACAAGGAATTCCAAGTGAATTTGATGTAATCTCGAGTTCTAAATTTCCTGTACACTCGCGGGCATAACGGCGTCAATACCCGGATCCCGCCTTCAAAATCGAAGTCGAAGCTGGGGCGAGAACGGACGTGCCTGGAATGAGGTTGTCAATGTATAGAAAGTAGCAGCTGCAACATCTCTGGAAGGGGAAGAAAAAGATCGAAGCCGGAAAAGAGAGAGAAGGACACGGGAGAAGTCGAAGTAGGGACGAGAATGGACGGATGTGTCACCCGTTCTCCTTTTTTGTGGTTTGACACAGCGCTGTTGAAATAATGATGTAGGGCGACGATGTGGGATGGACACGCTTCCGCGAAGCTTGCGTGGAGGTCAAGATCTTGCATCTCGGGCACTTGTCGAATGTTTCTCGAGGAAAGGCTGTGAGGCCACTTCTGGGAATTGGGAAGCTCGAATGTGGTAATTGGGATTTTTCAATGATCGGGGAGCCAACCGGATGGTTTGAGAGAAGGGTATATACCCCGGGAACCGCGGGTGTAGCGCTGGCGTCTGAGTTTGCTTCGACTTCGATCGACGCTGCGTAGATGTCGAACGTCTAGGATTGGTGCTTTACAGTTTATACACTTTAAGGTTTCGAGTTTGTTTGAGTGCACATGGTGGCGCTCTGATGCCTGGAAGTATCTGTAATGGACTAGAAAACGACGGGTGCTGGGTAGTTCTACTGGGATGAACATTGAGAACATATCAAATAGAAATTACATAGTTATATCTTCTGAGAAACTTTCGGGTTAATGGATTTATGACGAGTCATATGTAGCCTCGCGCCTGGGCTTGGCCTGGACGCTTTCAGGATCTGATGTGACGAAAGCGTGCGGGCAACAGCAACCGAGTCATTGAATTCGGCGGGGTTCTTCGGCGGAGATGTGTGTAGATGAGAACACGCCGTGTCGAAAATTTTGGTGTTCATATCCAGGAAAACGCTGCACAGCCCCCCGGAGATCCACGGAGAGAAAATTGGAATCTGATTGCACGATGTCGATCGCGATCGTCTTCTTAATTGTGGCGTTCTAGTGCGGATACTTGGGTTTTGCATAATCCTTATCTACTCAGTTTTTATGTTATTTTTACAAAAGAGAATATGGAGGTTGCCAAAGCCCAAATGCAAAGCATTGGTTGCGTATCCTAACACATGCAGAGTGCGAGAGGTTTACTGTAGGCCGCTGAACAGAAGCCTGGTAACGTGTATTCGAGTACATTTAGCGGCCGTAAAGATTATGCCCATTTCAACTTGACATCTCGCTGGGCTCCATCCCAAGTTAGAAGGAGTATAAGATGTGTAGACCTGCCGGTCTGATGGTAGGAAACCCGCCAGCGTCACCAAGGATTCCGAGAACCAATCAGTCGAGCAAAGGGTATATACCTTGCATAAAGATTAATGTCTTTTGGGAGGAGCACTTCTCGTCGATGCGAAGGGACCTTGCTGAGGTAGGGAGGGTGGAGAACGTTGAATACAACCGCGAGCAGGCAGGAGTATTGGTTGCTTCGTCGTTGAAATGTTGACGATGCTATGGCGTTGGCCCTAATCATGCTATATAAGTATCACTAAGTACACAAACAGACAACCGGGTAGAATAACAGGAAAAAGAAACATCAAATCAGAGGTCAAGTATCCATGTGAAGTAATTATCAAACGTAAAACTCATGTCAAACTTAGAATCTGGATTCTCTCGTCCCTCGCACCACACAACAGCACGAACGCACATCCATCAGCCTTGCGCCTCGCCGCGGCCTCCCTCACTTGCTGCGCGTACCCGACGTGCACCGTCGGCACGGTCGCCACGACAGCACGCCACGCTTCGTCATCGGACACCCAAGCAGGGCTTCGCACGAGCATATCGAACGTTGCTGGAGGGACGTCCACGACGAGCGTTGGGAAGCCGGCCAGCAGTGACGATCGGAGCTGCGCGGTACGCTCGTATGCTTTGTCAAGCAGGAGCTGCTTTACCTGTTTGCGCTGCTTCTTCGCGTCGACGGGAAGGAGCAGTTGGACGTCTGTCTCTTGTGATGGTCCGTCTCGTGCAGAGCTTGCGTAGGAACCGTCTGCAGAGGATGATGAGCCAGATGTCAACGAGTCTATGCGTTTCTGCTCGGCTAGTTCCTGTTGGAGCCAAACGACGAGCTCTTGGCGCGATACTGAGTGAAGAGAGAAAAGGGAAAAAGCAATAGTCAGCTGGCTGAATGGGAGGAGAGCATGCGAGACTCACCCTCATGCTCGGTGCCTTTGAGGATACTCTTTACTTTGAATGTGGCATGCTCTCGGCGGGCAGCCCGAGGTCGCAAGTACACTGCGAATCTGTGGAGCTCGTTATAAGCCAGCACGGCGAGGCAGATGCATCAGTGAAACGCACAGTATTCCCTCCCGCGTACACATTTCAACATGACTCTCATGCTTGGTATCGTCCAGGCCCACATCGTACATAATGTCGGCGCTGATCCCGTTCTGCCACAGCAACGCAGCGACCTCGAGCCGGTCCTGTATATGTCCCGATTGATATGACATAATGTACACATCGCAACGACGGGGGGACCAAAACCCGAACGAGCGCTGCTCCTTTACGAGAGCTTTGACGGACGTGCTCTGGAATGCAGCTAGCGCGAGCGTGATCTTCTCGAGCGCGATTTGTATCGCAAAGGCGCCGACGGGCTCCGCATCCGGCTTCGTTTTCGGAGGAGCAAACTGGCGGATGAGGCTGTCGTATCTGTGTATTTGAAGTGCCATATCAGCGAGAATGCAAACGCACATCGAGCGCAGTAGACGCACCGGCCGCCGGCAGCGAGCACATCCAGGCGCCGGTTCCGTCTGACGACCTCGAACCGAACACCGTCTTTGTAGTGGATGTGATGGGCACCCCACATCAACGGGTGGAAGTACACGGGCGCTGTCAGCCCGCCGCTCCGAGCGAATGATACCGTCTGCTTGATGTCGTCCATCAGCGGCTGGATAAACGATAGAAGCGCTGGCGAGATTTTCTCGAGCTTCGCCAGGACTGCGTCGATGTCGTCTACACGCAGTTCGTCAGTGACGGTTCATGGCGTGATGAAAGAGTGTCAGACTGCGTACCGATGTCAGAGAGGACCTCGAGCTCGTCAGCCGTACTCCGTAGAAGCCCTTTCTTCAGAAGCGACGCTCGTTTCTGAGAATTGGAGCTCTTCGACTGGTTAATGATATCGATGACGGAGGCACGCAGCTCCTCCGGGATGCGACTGAGTGCTAGATCGACGACTACAAACAAAGAACGTGTCAGTGTCGCGACAAAGAGTGAACATAATCTAACAACGCGTACTCTTAGAGTGCGAGATGTGGATTTCATAGCTCTGTGCAAGGTTGGGGAACGTATGCAAGAAATCGTTGACGAGCATGAGCATCTCGGCTCCAGCCGCGATCAGACCAGCCGACGTGTCAGGCGTAACAATGTCGAGTACCGCCGCCTTTGTCACCTTCGGATGGCCCGGCACAGTGCTGCGAGGAGTATGACAGGTTATCAGTCAAACCATACTCACAGACGATGAACATGACGCACTTCGGTCGATAGATGTTCGTAATATGATATCGCTTGATACGTTTCGTACTGTTCCTCGCCGCGAGCCTCGCGAACGGAACAAGCGCATTATTCGGCAAACTCACAATATCCCCGTGCCGATCGATGAACGTCGCCTGGCTCGTGTTCTGGCCCCCCTGGCCCGTCCCACTCGGCTGCCCGTCCCGACTCAAGCTCTGCCCCGAGCCCAAGCTGAAGACTGCCCCTGACTGAGTATGGCTGTGGGTCTCCTCGCCCATGGCGGCAGCGGTCGCCGGGATGAGCAGAGGCGGCTCCATATCCACGGCACCGTGGAGCCGGAAGATATTCGCGATGCGGTCTTGCACGATGCCGTTCAGATAGACGTGTTCCGGGACCTCGGCCTCCATGTCGTACAGGAAGCCGCGGACGGGGTTTGGGGGCTGGCTGAAGAGGGTCGCGAGCACGGCTTGGTGGTGAGGTGAGTCGTGCTTGGCTGTGAGTGTAGACAACCAAACAGTCAGCTTTCATACCGACAAGGCAAGATGATTAATGCGCATACCCATCATGCGCAGAGCGCCCTTGAAGAACTCGTCCTCAACACGGGGAGGTAACAGCGTGCTCTGGGAAAGCTCGAGTGCCGACGGTCGCTCTGCGGGGTCATGTTGCAGAAGCCAGGTGATTACTTGCATATGATTGTTGCATTAGCAAACCATCCAGACCACCGCGACAATAAAGCGACAAACTTTGCTTCTGCCTCGAGCGGCTGTTCTCCCAGTCTCGCGGGAAGTAGATCTCAGGTTTCCGCAGATCCTCAATAACAGCTATACGCTCTGAGCCTGTCGAGAAGAAATAGTTCAACTCGAAAAACACGATCTGCGGACACATTTCGGATTTGTCAGCTGCCTGTCGAACAATTACATGGAAAATAGCGTACCCCGAGGCTGTACATATCGGCCTGGTTGTGGTTGCGAGGTCCCCTTTTTCTGGACGAAACTTCTGGGGCAATGTACAGCTTCGTGCCGACCTCTGTCATAATGGTGACTCAGCCAAAAAATCACTTGTGTACGAAGGAAATGCGGTTACCTAGCGTCAAGTCAGCGTCCAAGACACCAATATTTGGGCTTAGGTCCGAGGGGTCAACCGCGGCAAGAGAAGACGTGGCAAGGCCAAAGTCTCCGACTGCACGATTTTACGATGAGTACTTTATGAATGGAGCCTTTGGCATACGATCAGTTACCTTTGCAGTCGCCCTTGCCGTCTATGAAGATGTTCGTTAGCTTGATGTCTCTGTGGAGCTATCCAAAATATACCATTAGCTCGTATCATAGTAAGAAATCAATCGCCTCACAATGCCCATGCTGCCCATATGCACGAGCGCGTCCAAGACCTGATAAAACAGTCTCCACGCTTCGTCCTCCGAGAGTCCCTCCGCAATCCGCTGAAACAGCACGAGCCCCGGTCAGTACACATCCTTCGCAACAAAGACACAAAGCACAACGCACCTCCTTGAGCGTCTGCCTCTCCACAAACTCCATCTGAATATACAGCGTCCTCGGCACAACCGGCGGCGTCCGGCTCACACGATGCTCGACCTCGCGGCCCTTTCCCGCCCCGCCATTCGCATAGTCCGGTGCAAACAAGCCCGCGAACGCGTCCTCCCCGTCCTCGTCGTCCTCGTCTTCCTCCGACACAATGCCGCCCCCGGCAGCGGCCGCGTCGCTCTGCGTGAAATGGATGCTGGGGAAACTCGACTTGCTCCCCGAGCCGCCGTAGTCGTCCAGATCGTCCAGATCGAGCGAGAACGGATCGGACGTGCCCGTGTACTCGTACGACCGCACGCCTCCGCCCCCGCCCCCGCCTCCGCCGGCGCCGTCCGAGAGGGAGTTGGAGTGCGAGTGCGGGACGGAGGTCATCCCCGAGCCCGATTCTGTGTCTTCCGAGTCCGAGTCTGAGTCCGAGGTGGAGTCGGAGTAGCCGTTGATGCGGCGGGAGAGAGGGAGAGCGCCGGCGTTGCCGTTGGATTTGGATTTGGAGCTGGAGGTCTCGTCGTCCGATGAGGGCACCGTCGACGCGGGGAGCTCGGCGGTCTCGACCCATGTGGTGTAGTACCGCACGATGAAGCGGTGTGAGAGCCGGGATAGCGCGTTGACTTCGCGAAAGATCTTCGTGTCACTCTGGTCTGTCCGCAGGCGGATCTTTTTCACTGTTGCCGTACCGTCAGACACACGCATCATGGATCACCCAGCAGGAGCTAAGAACGAGGGGGGTATGAAAGAGGGATGGGGCACTCACCAGCGTAGATCCTCTCATCGATCTTATTCCGCGCCTTAACCACACTCCCGAACGCCCCGCGCCCAAGCAACTCGAGCTCCTCCCAGTCCTCCTTCCACCTGCTTGCCTGCCTCGTCCTCGGCGGCGCAGCCGCAAGCGAGCTCGCGACCCGCTGAAAGTACTCGCCCCGGTCCTTCTCCGGGGACGTGCTGAACGCATGGCGGTCGTTTGGCGTGCGCGGACCGTGTCCGGGTATGTAGTAGGGGAAGGAGCCGCTCATCGACACGCCGTTTGGGTTGGCGGGAGTGACGGTGCGGCTGGTTCCCGCCGGAGTGGAGGCGGAGATGGCGGCGAGGTCGGCGAGGAGGGTGGAGCAGGATACGTGTAGCTTTTTGCTACCGGATCCGGTTCCGCCGTTGTGGCTGCCACTGTTGGAGAAGGAGGACGAGGATGATGAGGCAAACATCGCAAAACCGCATTGCAGGAGTTCGGGCGAGCTTAGAGGAGCTGGGGTGTTACCGATTGAGAACTGGAAAGACAAGGATGAGTGGAAGGGAGGGGGGCTCACCAGCCTGTAGCGCTGTACGCGGGTCCGTATATAACTTCGTAACGTCGCAGCCCAGAATCATCTGCAGAAACACGATCCCGACGCAGTGGATGTCCCTTCTCTTGGAGTAACTCAGCGGCGAGTCGAACGCCTCCTTGTATAACCTATCCCCGTCCAATTCATACCGTAAATCAAGATCTCGCTCGTCACATGGAGAAAGGGATGGTAGACGCACCAAGCCTCCGGTAGTCCTAATTCATCGTTCGTAGCGGTCACGTCGGGCCCGAACGAGTTCGAGCGGTGCAGGTCACGCAGGCGGGCGTAGTACCCAACCTTGCCGAGCTTGACGTGCTTGGACTGGGATCGGTTCTCGCGCGTCGCGAGGAAGATGCAGCACGTGTCAAGGCCTGCCGCACAAAATGATGAGTGTGAGCAAAAGTGTAAACATGAGAGAAAGGAGAAGAGAAGAGGGGCGGAAACGTACCGCGGTGTACGAGGTCGCCCGCGTGCACAGCGTTGAGAGCAGAGAGAATCTGCCCGAGATAATCCTGCCGCCGCCGAAACACATGCACAAGGGATGGAACAAGCCGTTAGCTGACCGCGCCTCAACTCCGGGATAGAAGGAGCAAAACGTACACAAGCTCTTTCCTCCCTCAGACACTCACTGTCCTCAAGCACATCTTGCAGCGTTAGCGCTGGCCGCTGCTCGCTGAGGACGACGAGGCGGGGCGGAACATGATTCAGGCTGAGTTTGACCGCGAGAACGGAGAGCAGGTTCGGATGGCGTAGGGTGGAGAGCTTGTTGAGTTCGGCTTCGACTTGGTTGAGCTTCTTCTTGCCTGTAGTGGTCACAGCGGTGGGTTAATGGAAGCAAAGGAGGCATGGAGACAGAGCTGACCTTGGGACGAGGTGTAATAGTCCGAGTTAAATTCGATGACATGCACCTCGAGCGGGAGAGTGGCGCGTACGTCGTCGCACACAGGGTCGGCGAGGTAGTATGTGCCCAGGCACTCTATGCACCCCCATGTCCATAAGCTCTTACCACGAGAGACCACGTGCGTAAGGACTCACCTCGCCGCTGATGAAACATCTTCACACTCGAGAACCTCAACCCGCGAAACTCGACCTCGCGCGCAAACGTCTCTGTCAATATCTCGCCTGCGACGCCCACACCGCTCCCAGGCACCTCCGTCGCATCGCTCAGCGCACGCTGCCGCGCCGCCTTGTACTGCATCTCCTTTCCCTTCCTTGCGGCGTTGCTCATGTTCCGCTGCGCCGCGTCGGCCTGGAGCTGCTCCTGAATCTGCTCTTGGAGCTGCGCGTCGCGCGCGGCTGCAGCCTCGGACGCGCGCAGGGCGTCCTCGGCGGCCTTGAGCGTGCGCTCGCGCTCTTCTTCCGTCGCGCGCTTGACCATTTCATACGCGAGCGAGCCGGAGGCCTCTTGTGGCGGGCGAATGTTGTCGGCGATCCATTCTTGGGCGGCGGTGATGACCTGTACCAAAAGTACGGGTGTTGAGATGTGCGTATGGTTGAGTATCGAACGGGGAAAGCGGAAGTGGGTGGGTATGGGGGCGGTGTGATTGACGCGCGAGATGTAAAGATAGAGGTGAGAAGGGAGCGCCCGAGGACAAAGATATGGGGGGACGCACCTGGAAGACCATCTCTCCACCTCTCAACTTCGCCGCTTCGGCATTGATGAACTTGATGATGGAGCTCTCAGCGACATTCGGGATGCCCTTGGAGTGTTTCTGGATCGCGAAGATGGGTGTGGCTAGCGTGGGGTACGTCTTGGGGAGTCTGCATACACGTTCAGCCTGTCAAGCAAATGGGGCACGTGGCGCCTCTCCCCAAAAAAAAGGCGACGTACTTGACATGGAGGTAGAAGAAAACTTTGGATGCGTGGACAGGGTCTGGGTGGGATACTTTGATGATAAACTCGGGCTGGCGAGCGGCGCCCTGGTGTGGGACAAGCAGTGGTGGTCAATGACGTGCTCGACGCGTGCGTAACAAAGAAACACAGACCTTCCAAGCTTTGGGGGCTGGCGGGTCGATGAAGTCTTGGTCATAGATGGATTTGAGAGCGGTGATTTCAAGCTGCTGTAGTTCCTCTGTGGTCTCCATGTCCTGTCATGTAGATGTTGTTGGTGATGTTCGAGCGTAGTAGTAGCCTGCAACCAGAGCGTGAGGTGAGTCTGGAGGTCGAAAGTCCTATGGACCTTCGATAAATCAGAAAGCCATTGCAGAAAGAAAGTGAGTTTTGTGTTCGAGTCAAGGACGAAAACAAAGATTATAGTCACCCCAAACGCTTCGACTCATTCAGACTCACCTCCCAGGTCACGTGTTTACGACATCATCCATCCACCGTCTTCCCGCATCTTCTTTCAAACCACGTCCTCATCCTTCCGAGACCTTCGAATGCTGATAATAACTCGTCCAACCACTCTGAAAACATAGAAGCTCAATGACAGCCAGGAAAATGGGCGAGTGCAAGGTGTAAGTGCGTACACCTACAGGCAGAGCCGCAGCGAGTTGCTCTCAACAGCTGATGCATGATGAGCTGAGAGCACTTAGATGCCTCTCGCTGAAGTCTTTTCTGGTATTTCCTCATGATTTGTCCTGAGCGTTGATCCCTGTACTTCACCACAATGCTTGTTGGCTCCTGTCGTGTTCCTAACATAAACCTGCAGCATCCTCATCACACTCGAATGTCCACTGCACCCGCCGCCGGCGAAGATGAGCCTGATGACGGGGCAGCCAGGCACCGAACCAAGCTGTTCTTCGTACCTCGCGCGCTTTTCCCCACACTGTCCTCGAGACCATGTGGGGATATAGCGTTTGTTCACCGCCTCGGTCGGCCTCGGGGATCCGTGGGCAATACGTTTGGATGTTATCACGAGGCGTCTCTCTATCTTCCAGGTCTCGTGGACTGACAACTAATAACAACTGATAGAATGATGTCCCGCCTTGTCATCGACGAGTTTCAACGCCATGCGTTCTTTTTGGTTCCTGCAACGGAGCACATGCACTCACAGCACCCACTTCCGCGTCATGTACGTATAAAAGAGCATGTTCTACCCTCCCAAGCTCCTCACCTCCCGTTAGCCCAGTAATCCTCGTCTCCCCCCTTCAGCCCTTCGACGTTCCCGGCAATGCAGATTACCTTCGCCCTCCTCTCCAACCTCCTACTTGCCTCCTTTGCGCTCGCCATCCCCACGAGCGCTGAGCGGTACGCCGCGCGCCAGGCAGCACGCAACCGCTCATCGAACCTCATTCAGAAGGTCGAGGCTGCCGATGCTAACGACGTCGTGCACGAGTCATACTCGACCAACTGGGCCGGCGCTATCCAGTCCAAGGCCGCTGTGCGTCCTCCTCTTCACACGGAGGATACCATACTGACGTGATTTGGACCGTGTTTCCTACCGGCAGGGCACATTCAAGAGCGTGACAGGAACGTTCACCGTCCCCAAGCCCTCCGGCTCTGGCGCAGCTTCCGCCTGGGTAGGCATCGACGGCGCCTCGTGCGGCAGCGCGATCCTCCAGACCGGTGTCGACTTCAACATCAACAACGGCCAGGTCTCGTACGACTGTACGTCCCTTTCTCTCTGCATCTTCACTCCATTATACTCATGTCGACACGTCTCCAGCCTGGTACGAATGGTTCCCCGCCGGCGCCTACGACTTCTCCAACTTCGCGATCAAGGCAGGCGACGTGGTCAAGCTCACCGTCACCGCGACCTCCAAGACCGCGGGCAGTGCCGTCATCGAGAACGTCACGACCGGGAAGAAGGTGTCCAAGGCCCTGACGTCGTCGCACGCGCTGTGCGAGCAGGACGCGGAGTGGATCGTCGAGGACTTTGAGGAGAACGGCGGGCTCGTGCCCTTTGCCAACTTCGGCACCGTCACGTTCAGCGATGCGAGCGCGAGCACGGGGAGCGGGACGGTTACGCCCGCTGGTGCTAGTGTCAGCGATATTGAGCAGAGCGGGAAGGTGTTGACGCATACGACGATTAGCGGGAGTAAGGTTACGGTCAAGCACTCGTAAGGAATTCCTTACTCGAGACCGACGGGCACTTGGGAGCTTGTTCTGTTTGCTATGTATCTGGCTGGGTTTTATTGACTATAGATCGCGACATATCGATTATTCTCTGATGGTTTCGACTACTCCGTTCACGCAAAGATCAACGAGGCCTTCCTGCAAGGGATTTTGAGCTCAGTCAATCTCAGGCCAGCTCGTACCGAACATCTCTCCTGCAGCCAGTGCCATCACGAGCGTCGCATGCTTGTAACATACAACGCATCCGAACAAGGACTGTAATTTCCGCCTTCCATTCTTCTGGATGACACTTTAGCTGAGTTCTGTCATGAGCATCATTTTGTTTTAGCCCATAAGCTGGTAGGTCAGGGATTTTCCCTCACAGAAATGCTACTAGCGAATTCCGACTAATTCAAGCTGGTTCAAGGGTCACCGATGTTGCGATGGAATCGGACACGGTATGTTCGACACGTTGACGTCGCTTGAGTAACTCTCGCTTCATGTCATCGGCACAGACCCTACGCCTACACCGTGAATGGGAAGCACCACGGACGGCGATATAGCGTCGGATTCTAATCTACAGCCAACGGTGGGTCAACATGTATCGGCGTAGAAACGATATTCATGTGCTATTCCTACAATTGCTTACCATAGGGCATGTCCTCAAAGAGCAATAAACTCGATTTAATAATAATAATCTTGTGCTCTTAGGCTAAGTCTGCTCGAGCCGGGATCGCGGAGACACGCCATGTATGTAATATCGCGACGGATCAATGTCCGTCATGACGCGACGCCCCGCCCCGCTTGAAGCCCTGTTGGCCGACACCGCTAGCAGGCGTTCGCCTCCGAGACACGATGGCTGTCAACCCATGTTCGGGTCAGAGTTCGGGTCAAGGACACGCTCGAAGACTCATAAACTCGACGTAGTCCGACCCATCCTCCTTATCTCATAGATCCATCCCTCTCTGTCGCCACCATGCAGCTCAGCACTCGCCTTCTTTCTCTTCTCTCCTTCGTGCTTCTCGTCCAGCAGTCGTTCGCTGCTCCAGTTCCTTGCAGAGGTGAGTCAATATCGTGTGTTTGCTCGGATACAGGACATTTACCACTCGTCTTCTTCGTGTACAGATGCTTCTGGCGTGCGTCTTGCTCTACGATAGCCACCATTGTGTCTGATACTCATGACCCTTACGCTAGTGCGCTGTAGCCCGCTCAGGCATCCGAGCGGGCGATCTGGAGCGACTGAATGCAGAGCATGCAGTAACCAGTGGGTCTCATCAAATCTATCGAATGCGTTTTCGCTAACGACGAAAAGACGTACTCCGAGCTGAAGGTGATACCGTACCGGAACACCAGGAGAGAGATTCAGACTCGGGCATCCTATCACAGGCTCTTTCCAACTCGATTGTTGTATCTAAGATTGCCCAAATCGGTAAGTCAAGGCTGTTGTGTGCGACTGCTGATAGTTCTGACAAATCTCAAGACCGCGCCGGTAGCCAATTTGAGAACTATGGATACAGTAGCGTTCATGGTGAGTTCGATCCGATGAATCTATCCAATGTGCTAGCTGCTGACAAAGTACAAGCTACAACGAACTATGTCAGTGGCGTTGGCAGTAACACGGGATCCGCTGTTAAGGATATCTCGAAGGGTGAGTGCGTCTTGTATCTTTGCGTCAGTGGCGGTGCTGACGAACACTCTTTGTTGAGATGTCCGCCGAGATGGTAAATGACATGGTTCTAGTGCTACCTCGCTTAATCTAACTGCTGTCCCTTGTCAGACGTTCAGGATATGGACACTGCGGATCGCTTCGACAACCTCGATGATATTGAGGACTGGGAAGATTACGCTGCGAAGAAAGGCCTTTTCCATCCCGAGGCGTTCAAGGAGGATACCCTACATAAGCGTGAAGAAGGAAGCGACGCCGAGCTATCGCAAGCCCCGTCCAATTCACTGACCATGGCTGCCGCGGCGAAGAAAATTTACAGCACTACTAGTGAGTCCAACCTAACGGACAAAAGCAGAGCCTGTACTAATGAGAAAAAGATCGTATTGGCAGCCAGGCTGTGAGCTACGTCCTCCATGACAAGGATTGTAAGGCTGGTTGATTAGGTTCAGTGTACGAGCTGCTGACGAATTTCAAGCTACGACGAACTATGTCGGTACCCTTGGCAGTTACACGGGATCTTTCGTGAAGGGTACTCTGCAGAGTTCAAAATGTTGGTTGTCTCGTTTCTTCATCCTCTTCTTCGTTTTGACCAGGCTTCGCGACCAGATGTCCGTCGCAATGGTGACCACAACAATGAAATTATGAGCAATGTCGACAGTGTCCTAAGAAGAGTAATAAAGGTTAGGGAACACAAGGGTATGTTTAAGCTTTACTTGCTCCTCTTCGTTCTAATCTCAGGCTTGATATGCAGCTCGCGGCCTCAAAGTCAGGAATGGCAACGGCGAGCAAGACGACCTTCTCAGTCTCGTTGGTGACCCTTTAGATATTTCTGATGCCGGATCGACGGGTGGGGGTGGACTAATTCTCAAACGCTCCGACAAAGGTGCTATCGACAGCGATATTTTATCTACAGGGAAGTCGAGGGGCGCGAGGGTAGACCTTGACTGATTCCATTCCGCCATACCAATTTGATACCAATAATCGTCCTCCCTCATTTTGTCCACTCGTTTATTAATCTTCGTTACATCATACCACGATACCACTCTTTTGCGACCATTCTTGCTCCCGAATTTAGCTTGGGCTTACTGTAGTTAATGAATTTATTGGAATTTTGCCTTGAGGAAGGAGGACCGGCAAAACCCGAAATGATTGGATGCCCGAATTCTTGCACTCGGGTACCTTTGCACGGTACTCTTCTTCACGTCGACGTCCTCTCATTACTTTAGCCAATCAGCCACCGGTTGAGGCAATGTCAAACCAACGAGCGGCGTTGGTGGTTGTCGTATACCTTGTCGCGAACATCGTTGATCCACTTCGGCCCCACCCGGAGGCCGAAAGGGGCGACTGGGAGGTGTCAATGGTGAGGATTAGTGGCCTGAGTGGCCACTGATTTTGCCTGTCATCACCTTCGTCGTCCTCTTCACCATCCGTCGGATGAGTAGGCCTGCCTCCTTCATCTTCAATGCGCATGCTATAACACGCGTGCGTCATACGAGCAAAAACCTTTTCCGAGCTTCAAATTCTATCTCTCCCGAGGTGAGTACGCCATCCTCCCCCAGCATCAGCCAACATCTCGTGTCCCCTCTTTCGGAATCGCCCATTCCCGGTGTCAATCATTCGGGAAACGTGCGTCTTCTCTTGTTGCCATTGGCCCCGCTCCGCCTATCACCTCTTTGAACATGGCCCTTCCCGGTGTCTTTTGTGCGCCCCGTTCTGGTCAACTTATCTTTATGTGCGCCCTGAACGCGCTTACTGCCCACCGTCAAGATGCCCACGGAACTCTCACCTCTACTTGCTGTAGCTGATATCGCTAGGCTGCACCTCAAGGAGTAAGGATGAGCACACATTCAGGGGTATTCAAAGGGGATACGAAGATGGAGGTGCGTCGAGATTCTAAGCTCTACGCGAGATATGAAGCTCGATGATGTATAGGAGTGTGCTGAACGATCGAACTCGTGGGTTTACAGGTGGTGTCTATCCTCGCAAATTGCGGGACAAATGTGAGCAAGGCGCGAATGGTCCTCATCACGTACATCCAAGCAAAGCAGCGCAAAGGGAGGTCGACAGCACACATAGAAGAGAAGTTGGGGCAGCTTGAGAGTAGTGTGCGTGCCTGGTTATGTAGTACGCCGTCCCGCGAGCTAACAACCATGCTGGCTTAGTTCTCGAGAGATGTTTCTCTCCACGCGGCATTTCGCGACGCTCGCGCAAAGACAGATATGCCTCGCTCTCACGTCATTCCCCTCCCACCTGAGATTGAAAAGCGACGTTCCATAGCCAGTCAGTCTGGTCCTTTGCATGCGACTAGCCATTTGGATTCGTTTTCCTGTTCGCCTCATTCGCCATCTGTGCGATGGTCTGGCACTACTTCGACATCGCCCCCAGAAGACAGAATTGAGCCTTTTCCCTTCAGCAATATTTTAACTTCTCAACACACCGCGAAAATCCCAGCATCTGTAGATCCGCATCGGCCTCCACCTCTCGACATCATGGAAGAGTCGCGCTCAAGTCCGCATCCGCAGCCACTCTCTCGCAGCGCTCCTGCCGCTTCCGCCCCTATAACAAGAGTTTTTCGCAGTCGTTCTCGTACTTCACTTCCTCCGCCGTCTCCTATGCGCTCGAGGATTATACCACCCAGCCGCTTGCCACCTGCAGCTCCGTTGCCACCCATCCCAGCTGAACCTGACCGCCACCCTACCTCCATGACTTCGTCCGACGAAGTCGTGAACAACGTTGGCAGCGTCTTTTTGGACACCAACGAGCCTCCTTCATACGCCGAAAGTGCCCAATCTCATGCATCTAGCTCGCGTCATAGTCTGGAGCACAGCAACGATAGTCTCGGATCACGTCGCGACAGCGCACTTCCACCCTACGAAGTCGTCTCCGACCCATTCCACCGGCAGACGCTTCGAGCCTCCTCCCACTTCACGCGTGAGCACTCAGGATCGACGTCATCGTCTGGTAGCACTGGTGGACGTGCTCCATATGCGATAAGCGAAGACCTCGATGACGCGATGAACGCGTTCCGCATGCCAGTTGTGTCCAGGAGGGAGATCATCAGGTGTCTTGTCGGTGAGCGGGGCTACGAGCGCGAGAACTGGGGCACAGTGCTCGAGGAGTGCGGGCTCGGCGCGGAGGAGGTCGTGTATATGCTGAGAGAGATGGACCGGGAAGTGGTAACTCGTGATTGACCGTTATTTATTGTTTATACTTTTCATGTAGGTCATGTTTATATGTACGCACTGATAGGCATTGTTGTCTGCTAATGAATGGTTATCACGACGAGGCAAAAGCCCCTATTTATTATGAGATTGGGCGAATAGGAAGTACTAGGACACGGGCCAGACAGCAACTCTTTCTTGAAAAATACTCCGATGCTCGACGTTCGGTCACCCATTTGATCCACTTCATTTCATTAAGAGTACTCTGCCTTCTTTTCACATATAGAACCGTGGCGGTGCAAAATGTCCAAAAGCTGACAATCTTTTCCGCGTGTACCTGCTTTCAGGGCCCATGAAGGCGTCAACAGGGAACGTGCACCTGCGGTCTACGTTATAGGACCATACATGTACCTGAATTCAAATACTGATATCACGGCGCTTAGGTGTGCAATGCAATGTGTCTTGAGTATTGGATGTTTCACACTTTCGCCACAATTCACTGTAAAAACTTTCATCTGTCTCATAAATCATAGGCCTAATTTAGTGTGGAGAATATGCATGAATCGTCGTAACGAAGGGATTAATCACTTAAAGTCACTCCTCTGTTCCAACTTGCACGGACCAGTGGTTCTCTCCCAAGGGATGAAGCATGATGAGTCTAGCGCTCGACCAGGAGCCTGCAATTTCCTAGAGTCATTTTAATTAATGTGGAAGAAGCCAGGTGTCTACGAACGGACGCACCTCATTCCATATTTGCCTTAAAGCGCCTGCAACACAGCGAGCGAGACGCAGACGCGTCCACTGACCTTTAAGTATCCACTGTCTAACACAAAGCACCTTTCCATATGTCTCATACTGTCCTAGCCCTCGGACATGGAGGATGATGAACGGGCCGAGGTTCTCGCTCATGGGATCCTCTGCGCCTGGCATATGATTGAAGGGCTCCACGCGAGGACGCGGTGCGTTCATCTGAACCAGGCTTCTGAGCGAGTAACCCGTCGCAGTACCCGATGAAACGGACTCGTAGAACCTGATAACGTCGGAATATTTATGGCCTTTGAACACCAGGTTTGTATGTGGTCGAGGATAGATTGTCTTCCCGCTATCGTCCGCGAATGGGTCCTCCAGAATGGGCATGTGAGTTGAATGGGGCCGTTCCCAGTACGTATCCAGTCCTTTGCAGGTATTACAGCTGGTGTCGCAGGTAGTGCTTCCGTATCCAGCGTTATGCGGCCGCGTTTCCTGGTGGTAAGGACGCCTGCCGTTTGGTGGCACAGGTAAAGGCTGTGTCGTGGTGGGAAGCGTAATGCCGCCGCAGTGTGCAGCAGTGGTCAGATTTGGTGCAGCGTAGTTCTCTGATGTTCTCTGTTGGTTATGATGCTGAGCGCACTGAAGATTTGCTTGTGTTAGATTAGACTTGTAGATGCCACAAGGTCTTTCCCCGAGAGCGGCATACAGTGCAGGGGATTTGTGGAAACCTTCAAAGTTAGTCATCGTCGGCGCTGAGAGGGAGAGAGGAGTGATAGTAAGTAGAAGGATATTTTATGCGAGCGATAGTGGCTCAAGACGGTATATATGGTAGTTGGGAAGGTCCAAGCAACGACTTCACGCGGCGCTGAAGTTGTCCCATTGTAGAACAATCCAAGCATGAGGTCAAAGCGCTTACAATGTTTCATCCCTACACGGGAAGACAAAAGCAATAGACAACAGTTATTGCTCACAAATAAAAGGGAATAATTGATTTCCACCAGATACCGTCCCCGAGCTCCTTATGTCGTTGACGTACAGCTGATTAGTGTCTCCGAGTCTACAACGTCATCGCGCCAGCAGGACTTCGAGTGGAGGGGTACATGCTGTATAGTGAGAAACGATGAGGTTCAGCCAGTATATTGTGATGGAGCAACTGTTAGCTTAGTGGTGAAGTAAGAAATGATTGAAATTGGACGGCGAGCTTGGGGCAAGGCTCTTAGTACTTGGACGTTGCTTTGACGAGATTGTTTCATCCACACTTCGCGGCATTCTCCGAAACCCCGCTTCATTTCTTCATTCTCCGTTTTCCATCCGAACCCTTCCGGAGCGGCTACGCCATACTTGGCACCAGCCCTCCTTGTTATCATGAATTCTGTCACTTCTTTGCTTGCGCAGAGAGCCTACGTATGCTCCTTTCGTGGAATTGGCGCGCCGTATTTCGTAGTGCCTTCTGCTGTGTTCGCCCAGTGAACGTTCTGAACTTCCGCTGGATGGCCCCTCGAATTCCTTGAAATGCAGAGACCTAACGTCAAGGACGCGAAGGACAGCTTCATATTCTCTGCCGCCTCTCTTGGCTGAGCCAAAGCTGTGGAGAAACTCAGTTTCACTCCCCACCCTCTTTGATAGAACATCACAGCACAACAATAATTGCCGAAACCTCTTCTCTCGCTGCTCTCGGCTCCGGTTCCGGCATCTATGTTTCTGACGAACGTGCGCCCGCACACAACACTATTGGCTACGCTCAGTAACACAGGTACACTCTCACAAGCACTGATGCCCCTCAGGTCCCTTGAGTCAATCTTGACCGCAGCCACCTTTATAAGCCTTCGCCCTTCATGGTCTCATTGGCGACTTTCATAATGCCCACGGAGCTCTCTCAGCTTATCGCTGACGTTGCCGCTGGACTTCCATACCCTGTGTCCTGACACTAGCAGATATGAGCACGCACTCCGGATTTTTCAAAGGGGATAATCACGTAGAGGTGAGTTATCCTACGAACAGTGGCGAGACAATCAACGCAGAATGCTTACGTCCGTAACTGTGTGGGTGTACGTATACGTAGGTGATGTCGGTCATTGCCAACTGCGGAACAGACACCAAGCGGGCTCGGGATGCACTCATTATCTATATCTTGGCGAAGCAGCGCAAGGGAAAGTCGGCTGCGTATATTGAAGGTAAGCTCACAGACATGGAATGTTCAGTACGTTCACTCTCTCTCTATATTTCTGGAAAGTGGCGTCTTATAAAGTACTTTAGTTTGGGAGCGACCCCTCGCTGCATTCCGCTTTCCACAAAGCCCGCTCTAAGACGGGCATGCCTCCGTCCCAGGTTCTCCCGTCTCCTCCGCCAGGGATCATGGGAAAAGCTTCCGTCGGCTCCCGCCCTTCTGGTTCTGACTACCACAATGATTCCTCGTCACATCCCAGTCCGGCTCCGGCGCTAATAGCTACGTCGGTTTCAGCACCATCGCCGACGTACTGGAGACTCCGTCCCTCCAACTCGGCTGACGGCCCGGCTCAGGTGCCACATATACAGACTGAACCAGGTTGGGCAGCAACTTTTATAGCGGACTCGGCCACATCTGTAGAGACGTCACGGAGGAGAGGGAATACATATGCTGGTCCCAGCAGGCCGCCGTCGTACATGACCAGTGCTTCACAACATGGTTCAGGCCATCCGCACGTTCACCAGCATAATGATCATGAATACACCCTCACCCTTGCCAACATTGGCAGAAATTCCCCTTTAGACGTCCCGTGGAGGACGGACGCGCTGCTCCTGCCAATCGAGCCGCTTGCTGGTCTGTCCTGCAGGCTGCCTACCTTCGAACACTCCGACTCGCACATGTCGGGTAGTGAAGCGGAACACCACTCATTTTCTCGAGGAATTGGCGCTGGAAACCACGTCCTATACAGGATAAGCGAAGATCTGGAGTTCACGATGAGCTCGCTGTCCCTGCCGGCTGTCGTGCGACGCGAAATCATCAAGTGCGTGTTTTGTGAGCGGGGCTACGACCGCGAGCGATGGTCCACTGTTCTCGGCGAGTGTGGACTCGATTCTGCCTCAGCGGTGTATTTGCTAGAGGAAATGGACAGGGAAGTTGCGTATCGTGGATCCAGAGATGGTTTCTAGCACTACTGAGTACTTAAGTAGCGGGTATGTCTCCTGTCGTGTGCGGGTGGTTCAAGATATTTACACGTTATTTATTGTATGAGTACATGATACCTTTATTGATCAATAGCTGGGACCTCTTCTATATAAAATTTGTATGCATTTACAACTTTCTCATGTATTCGAGCATGTCCAAGTCTTTAAGCACTCAGTGACTCCGGCCAAATCGGACTGCCCCTGTCTTCCCGGCGGGTCCCGACATTTCACTTTTTCAACTTCCGCTCCGTTGCCCCAGGTCGCTCAAGGTCATCTCGACCTAGCCTCCATGGCCTCCACCTGCAATCCAAGTCTATTTATGCCCTTTCGTTGCGTTCACTAAACGACCTCAATTGATACGATCAGATGGACCCGGAAATTCTGCGAGACGGTGTTCAGCAATAGTAGTCTTGCGGTATACTTGCAATTAGGAGATCGCGCCAAGGTGAGCTTTGCAGCCATTGTCCTTTCCCGCCGTCGCCATTTAGTATCGGAGAACTAGACTTGTCTACCCTCAATGCTAATAGGAGAAACTGACGCAAAACATAGAAGTACACGTTTCACGTCCGATTGCACATCGCGATCGGGGCGCATATATGCGTCCACATGTAATCTCTAGCTCAGGACGAACAGCCTCAACAGCCCTTGTATCGGCTTTTTTCGTTTCTTTAAGGTTTGGAACCGATAACGAGCAGACTTGACGATGGCCTAGACCCGTTATGACGTCCGTCGGCTCGCTGCTCAGGGGGGTGTAACTGGATGGCATGTAAGTACAAGTCCCGTATAGATCTTGCTGATGACCCCAGGGAGGCTTTTCTCCGGAGCATATTCATGTCAGAATCAGGTTCTTGTGACGTAGAACTTGTTCGCGTCATATTTTTCAGAGGTATGCTACCTGCAGTGCGTTTGAATCGGCGTGCAGCACACCCTTGCTAGAAGGCGAGCAGAACGACCAGTGAAGATTCAAAAGGTGACACGTGCGGATCAAATGCTTTTGTACCCTTGGCGGTATGAGATTTATTGTGGATTAGTGTGCCTACTGTCGGAACGCGTACAGGGGCGGCCACTTCACCATAGGGCTATGGGCTTCGCTGTCTATCACGAACGGTAGCACTTGGGCAATGACATCGAAGTGGATGAAGTCAAGGTGGGTGCGCATCATAGTCTCCAACTTGCTCAATTCAGGCTACGTAGGTCATGAAGACATGCTCCAACGCGTGGGGGGGACGAGGGCTGATGTGGGTTAATGCGCAGTAGCGATTGGCGCCGGAATGCCAGGCGGAGAAAATGGGAGAAGAGTTACTTCATTCTGATCGAGCTCTGTCGACGCAGACGTCGCGAGCGCCATGAACACGCTGCACGGTACGTTGTAGCGAGTAGGGTGAGTGTCGCGCGTCCGAGACGGCTGGTTGGCGGCTGAAACTCTAATCCTGATTAGGAAGCTGACCTGCCAGAAATGGACCGGGACTGGTCTGGTGGTGACATCACCTCGTTGGAGAGCGGAGTGACGTCGATGCGGTCATACCAATCACAGAATCCACCGCGCCAAGTTGTTTGTGCTACAAAAACCCTTGCATGTCTCGAAACGCTACTACTTCCCCCCTGTACTTCCCTTCACTACTACTATGTCTCTCCCCCCAGCCCCCCAAGATATCTCCGCCCACCCCAAGGCCGGTTCAGTCGTTGATCCCTCCGATAGAGTTGCGAAGGAGTCAGACGTCGACAGAAAGGTCAGTTTTGTCATGTCCAGATCTTGCGACGCGGTCTCATCCAACCCGCCAGATTCGCCTCTATGGTGTCGTTGAGGCTTTCCGTCAGGGCCGCATGCCCGACAACGCTCAGATAGACGAGACTCTCAACTATGTCGTCGCCAACTCTCCAGTAGACCTCGACAAGCTCTCGCCAGATGGTCGCAAACTCATCCAAGACTCACGGGAAATCGTCGAGACAGCGCGTCTGATGGTAAAGGAGAAGAACGCCGATGAGCTCTTCCAACATTTTGTCTGGCACACCCGCGACGTCAGCCTCGAGAGCGCCAAGAAGGATCCCTCGCAAATGGCCCCTATTGACCGCGAGAAGTTCACCGATGATGGTCAGACCGGTAAGTTCATGTGTTTATCGCGCCTGCATTTTGCCTAATTATGTATCAATATAGCCGTTCGCCACCTCCGCACCATCCTTTCCCTCGTCATGACCAACTCCGAAGTCCGCAAGCTCCTCTCCGACTTCTCACTTATCGGTCGGGACCTCCTCACTAAGGGAGCCTCGAAGGGCGTCGAGCAACTTCGACCGGACCCTGACAGGCTTGCTCGCGTCGACGAGGCAGCTCCTCAGGATCAGTTCATTACCAAGGGAAATCGCCCCGTCGGTCCGAATGAAACCCCCGTCCTTGAGGCGAACGTTCCCGGCACCGATACCACGATCGAGCAGCACCCCAGGGCTGATGATGCTACTGTTAAGACCGGTAACGGCGACGTCAAGTCTAGCAGCGAAGCCGCTGCGGAAGCTCGCGACCAAGGCAGAAATGTGCGTGGCGATGCTAAAGAGCGATTCTCCCAGGAGGCATCCAACGTTCGCGACGATGCTGCGGACACTGCTGACGCCGAGTCTCCATCTGAGACTGAGTCCAAGAAGGCAGGGTTCAAGGACCGCATGCGTGGCTACCGAGTAAGCATCCCTACTGTCAAAATGTCATGTAGACACTGATCGGTTTTTCAGGACGGTCTTTCTGATCGCATCCCTCAGCAGCACAGGGACCGCGCCAATGACCATTGGGAGCGTGGCCGCAAGTATCTCGCCGAGGAATACTTCCCCGAAGAACGCCGCGACCAGTTCATCTTTCGCGGCAAGAAGGTTATCATTGAATGCCAGAAGCATGACGATTACCAGGAGGCCATCAAGTGGCTTCTCTCCTTTATTGAGGAGTACGCGGGCCATGGTAGGCACATCGCTGGTCACGGCAAGGACAGCGGTGATACCCTCACCAAGGTTGGTCTTCATAACGAGATCTCCCTATACGCTGCGTCCTTATCTCTTATTTAGGACCCTGCTCTCCGCCAGGCTACTGGCGAGCTCCGCACTCTCCTCGAGCGCTTCGCCAACGGCAAGAGCATGAACGTCGTCTTTGACGCTATCAACGCTCTTATCGACGACGCTCAGCGCGATGCGGAGTTCCGTGCTTGGTTCAAGCGCGTCGACGCGTTTATCCGCAAATGCCTGCTCGAGGCTGGCTACGTCCTCGAGGAAGACTGCAACCGAGAGGGCGAGGAAATCCGCCAGGATGGCCGCAAGTTCTGGGACGACAAATACAAGTCGCATTTCGACAACCTCTTCAATGCCGCACGGGTTGACCGCTGGTGGGGCTAAGGATGTTGAAACTATAATCACCGTATCATCAGCAAACGGAGCGAGTTAGAGGATAGACTTGAACGTACGCTTCAGAGTGCCACTCCTTGCCGGCAGCCGCCTTCTCCTCGCGCTCAGTCGTGCGGTTGACCCACCCAGACGGGTGACCCGTATCGATCATCGACGCTCGCTTGTTGTGCACAACCTTGAATTGCGACGAGCTCGTTGACTTGGTGGTGGAGGTAGTCTCGTCTTTCTTTTTCTTGAACATCTACACGAATGTGTCAATATTAGCCGGTACGCTCGTCCTGTAGCGAGGAGGTACTCACGCTCTGGAGCGACTGCATGCGCGTACTATCGTCCGCAACCTTGGCCTCGGCCACGCGGTCGCGCACAGTGACGAGCTGTCCATCGACGTACTCCATACCGGTGGTGATCGCACCAGCGACGGCCTTCTGGATCTGCTTCTTGACGAGACCAGTGGCGAGGGGCTTGAGCGTCTTGTACAACATATCGTGCTTCGAATCGCGGATGCTGAACTTGAGCGTGTCGACCTTCACGTTGACGCTCTTGACCTTGAACACCGAGCGTGGGTCCTTGTCCGCGCTCACGAGGTGCACAGTCGCGCTGAGCCCCTCGCCGCCAAGGACAACATCTGCGAGGCCCGAGTCCGTGCCGAGCATGCCCTTGGCGAAGCCCGACTTGCGCTTGTAGTAGAACGCGACGTCGCGCATGTCCGCTTGCATCTGACCGAACGTGAGCGTGAACTCGTGGTGGTGCTGGTCCGTGATGGCGTTGTACGGCGAGAACTTCATGAAGTTGTGCGCCTCGAAGGAGATGATGTTCGGGAACAAGTTGCGACCCTGGAGCGTGAGGTTCTCAACCACAAGATCGATCGCGTCATCCGAGTACTCGATGCGTGGGATGGGCACGTAGCCGACCTTGTCGACCAGCGAGGGGAGGATGACCTTGCGGATGTCCGACCAGAGCTCGGGCTTGAACTTGAGCCCACCCTCGCTGTCGAAGAGTAGATCGCGTGTGAGACGCGCCCAGTCCTCGCCGAAGCGCTTGTTGAGCGGGTCGTCGCCCATCGCGCCGAACCAGTCGCCCACCGGCGAAGTCCTCTACGGGGGCTACGCAGTCGCCCACGAGGCAGACCGCCTCTGCGTAAAACGACAGCTTGTGTCCCGATATGAGACTGGCGAACCTTACGAGTGTATTCCGCGGCGTGTTGTATTCATATCTGTAGACTGTGCCTCGCACATACCCTCCTCTTTTCTTCTTTGTTTCGTCTCCTTCCCTGCTAATCGCCTCGCACTCCCTTTCTATCCGAGTCGCGGCCAGAACGGAAAAATGGACTGTAAATATACGAATACTACTAGTACCCGTATCTTAGTCTGCTTGTATTATCAAATACGCTGATTCAATGTAATGTTTACCTCTCAAATAGTTGACGCTTGAACGATGTCAAACGTTGTGTTGATGCATCTGTTATACAATTCACGTTCACTCCCCCGCCTTGTGTCTCTCACTACGCTATCCGCCTCAGCCACACTCAGTATCATCTGTGGATAAGGTGTAAAGTCGTCTACGAGAAGTTTGACCAGATGTTCCAAACCATCTGCACACGCTCCTCAATCGCGTTTGCGAGGCCCTCAGCATTATCTTGAAACTGAGAATTGGAATTGAATCGGTCCCTCGACAGTGGGCTTGGGCAACGTGCGATGTTGCACGGTCGAATCGGGTGCACGCGCACGAATGAAGCTTGCTACCGTCGAGTGCTTCAGGTGGGCCATGAGGAGGCACAAGCGACGCAGAGCCGCCGTGCCATGGAATCTCTAGAGAATTGCTCGGGTTTTAAAAGGCGGTGATGTCGAGGGTAGTACGCACGGAGACCTCAACTCGAAAGCCTGAGTGTGTATAGGATTTGCATCAGAATGACAAGTGGAGAAGAATGTCGGCGGAAGCAAAGGCAACCACTCAGTCACGTTATTGATGTAGGTGACATGATTCTTTGGGATTCCTGATAACAAAAACATGTCTCTGCACTACTTGACTATCACGATTTCTTAAGCAAGCGGGACCAACCCATCGACTTAGACTCATAGAGGCTGTATTACAACAAACTCTCCAAGCGTCCTAGCTGAAATACAACTTAATAGAGAACCCTGTTGATACTTCATTTTTGATACCTCTCCTTCTCTAAGTAACTCCAATTCCATTCTACCGTCTTCACAGCCCACCTCAGTCGCACCAAGTCTGCGGTGGATGTCGATAAGTCAGTCGCAACCAGCTCGACGAGGTGGCTGCCCAGCCTTGCTCGCCGCTCGATGGCATCTGCAACAGTTGTGCTATGTCCATGATGATTAAAGCCATATCCAGACAATAACTGGAGGCTCTCGAGGCGTGGTAGATGACGGACATGCTCGTAACCAACGGAAAGTGCATAGAGCATCTCCTTCATCTCTGGAGCATCAACATTAGCATGGAGGATATGTATGCAGGGAAGAGCGGTGACGATGTCGTGCCAGGAAACACCTTTGACATAGTCTTGGGAGAGAGAAATGCGGAGTGTGCGAATTGAATAGAGGGGAGGGTCGGAGCAAAAGGAGGTGAAAGGGTTTGGCGCTGATGGATAGGATATGAAGGAAGACTCGAGATGGAAACCACGGCACTCGTGTTTAGGCTGATCAGTGGTGTAAATTCTTCTATCAGCATGTGGAATACTCTCGTCAAAGACGTCACACGTGCACCGAAAGCCTTTCAGATCTAGAACAATGGTGTACAATGGACCATCCGGTTCTCGAGCACAGGTGAATATTGTTGCGGGAAGAAGACGCAGTCCGCTGGACAAATTCCCATCGCTTGATGCGCATTGAACGGTTAATATGACGCAAGATTTCGTCGGGAAGGAGATCTTTGAGAAGAAATGGGTGTATTCGTCGAAATATGTTTTGTTGCTCACATTGATGTGACGAAGTTTTGCAAGGTTGACGATCGCACCTGTGTCCGAAGATAATGTAGATTTCCCTAGACGACCAAGGACACCAAAAAGCCCCAGAATCTCGAGAGCAGGAGAGGCTCGTAGGACAGTCCACAGCTCTGAAGGTGAAGGGGATAAGGTTGACATGTCGCCTAGCTGCAGTCGTGTTAATCTCGAAAATGCAGGCGAGTCCCATGGTGGAACACAGTCGATCAGGCTCAAGTTGCGTAACTTCGGAGCTTTGATCAGGATATTGCTAGGAAGACGGACATTTGTGTTAGGGGGGAGATCACAGTTGTGTAACGCGAACCGAGTGAGCATAGGGGAGTCACAGAGAAGAGTTTTAGAAACGTCGCGCAGGAGATCACTGGGCATGGATAGATGAAGATCATGAGTGCGATAAAACTCCTGGGACATCTCCCTGATCACAATCGACGTCCACGCGTCTCGTGAAAAAGTCAGAGTAAGCGTGAGCAGTTAGGGTAGCCCCTTTAGATCGTTGCAGCACGAGTCGGAGATTGTGTTTATCGGCTCTATCCTTCTTTGACTGTGTTGGTGTAGAGGGTGTCTGAAAAACGGCATAGGCCCAGAGATGAGGAAATGCCAATGCAACTTCGCGCCAGTGTTGGCAAGTATGGGAGGCGCGAATGAGCTGACGCGCGCCGTTATAGGCAGGGGGTGCTAACTCAGAGAAAATCTTCGCGAGAAGCTCTGGAGGGAGACAGCATATGAGTGCAAGCGCATTTTGCCGAGTGTGAAGCTGACGTATAGCATCGATATAGAATTGGATTTCGCTTTCAATTTGCGAGTAGAGTAACTGACGTTGTTGAAGGGAAAAACAAGGGGTAGCCATGGGGGATGGATTACAGCGTTGTTCTGATTTATATATGATAGTAAGACGTGGTTTAGAACGGTGTTTATCCGCGCGCTCACATTGTTGCAGTGGTTCAGTTGCTTTGAGTGAGGTGGTGGACGCAAAAAGGCTGTTTGAGCCTTGCAAGATAGGGGAAATCCCCTCAATGTTTGTACCTGTTGTCCTGGTTAACAGGGTCAAACAAACCATGTTAACTATGTTTGTTCCCCTGCACTTCAGCGCTTCAGCTTCATCCACGACGTGGCGGTGTGTGAACGGTGTCAGTGACTGCCCTTTTCCCGCCTCCGTAATTCATTACCAAAGGTTAGGATGCTGATAATTTTTTACGTCCAGTGAGGCAGGTGCAAAAGCACAGCGCGCGGGAGCCGAGGTTTGTTGCATTGCCAAGAAAAGCGACTCACAATGAATTGTGAGCGCGATCACCCTTGTACACCATTCTTCGTCAACACTTACTTTCTACTGAGCTCGGACTGAGCTAGCGACAACCGTAAGCATCAATAATAACGGTTTTGGAAGATGTGATGATGGGCTCACCACGTTTACTGCTGAGCATACCTTCCGACCGATACGTGAGGTATGTAAGTTCCATATGCACTCCCCTTCCGATGTCTTGGATGGCTGCCACCGGTATAGCGCTAAGCGTGACACCCTTTATCTCATGAATGATTAATGGACCGCTATTAGTCGTTAGCAGCGTACGCGACCGACCAACTGGCTGGTTCATGCCGGTTCTTATTCGCTCCCGTGATGCACTCGTAGACTCGGTCCGAGTCCCCAACAGAATGCCTGGCTTGATTTTGAACGCTTAATTAAGTCGGCGCCCAGGCGAAACCCCAAGCAATGCAATTCACAAACGTATATTAACGACGCTGAATGCCTCAAACCGCGTCTATCATCTCTCCTCCAGCATGACTACCGTCACAAGCACTATCGCGTCCAAAGAGTACCGGGAGCGTAGTTATCACTCTCTTGCAACCTCTTCCTATGTTCTCCCCAACGACAAACCAGAGGGTCACAGGTACGCCTTATCTGTGATGGGAATGGGCTTCGTCATCGTTGACTCCTCCACTCAGGCTGGACAGTCAGTATAAAATCTTCAAGAAAAGCTTCGGGAATGCTCTCCTTCATGGTCCTGTCTCTTTGTCCTCGGGTGCCGAAGTGCTCGACTGTGGCTGTGCAACTGGTAAGCTGAAGTTTTGTTGGCTGTAACCCATCACTCATTCTGTTTTCCTACGAACGTTCAGGAGCGTGGATCACGGACATGAGTCAAGAGTATCCGCACGTCAAGCTTACAGGCGTCGACATCTCTTCCACCCTCTTCCCGCAATCCGACCTCACGCTCAATACTACCTTCCTTTGTCATTCCACCATTGCCCTCCCGGAGGAGTGGACCGATAGATTCGCGGTAGTCCATCAAAGCATCCTCATCGCCGGCCTCACGGTTACCGAGTGGCCTCTCGCCATCGCGGAGATGTATCGTGTCTGCGCTCCAGGTGGCTCCATCCAGCTTATGGAACCTATCTTCGGCGTACGAGCGGACAAACACTTCTACCGCCTCGATAACGCGTTCATGCGCGCTAGGAACATGCTCGTCGATGATCGCTTCGACACAATCGAGAGGATGCTCAAGGACGAGGGCTTTGTGGGCGTAACAAAGATACGAAACGACTTCGTACGGGAGGAGTGGTCGGAGGAGGAGCGTAAGCAGGCGCGGGAGACTCTGACATTTGCTAAAGCCTCTTTCAAGGACGCGGTTAGGAGAACACCTGGCGTTCCCGACGCGGAGAAGTTCGATGAGCTCTTAGAGGAGTGGAAGAGGGACGAAGACGCTGCAGACATCTTCGGACCTGACTATGAGGCCTGGACATTTTGTGCAAGAAAGCCTTGATGGGCGTCCGTTCGCTGCTTTTAATCGCACTGGTAGCACTTAGTGATTGGACTCTACGGTTTACGTGCTTTCCGGCATCCCTGCGACCTAGCTGGGCCATAATAATCAATGCCATATGAATCGACATGCCTGATAAATCTGACACATGCCATACTGTACTTGCAAGAAAGCCTTGAACGAACCTACAAGATAAAGCCGCCAGAGAACTCATGGGTGCGAATCAAACAGACGAGGTCATTGATTCACCGATGCCAAAGAGTACGCATGTGCTGCCATATGCCCTAGCCGGCTCGTAAGTATCGTACACTCAACCCGACTACACACCATTTGAGTCGATATCGATGCACACACCGAGAACCAGAACTCATTCCAAATCAAACACCCCTTTCAACTGGGCCCACACTTCCTTCCTTGCCTGTTCATGCGCCTCCCTCTGGCTCTTGACACACCCAGAACACAGCCCGAGGACCTCCCACTCGACGAACCGCTCTAAAACGCCACCTATGCCGTCACTTGGAGCTGCTTCCACAGAGTCAGAGCGCGCTTGGAGGCAACGCAGCATGCTCTCGTGATCGGGTTCTGTGGACCGTGCACATAACGCGCTTGTGCAGCAATGACTTTTGCTTGAAGAGAGAGGAGATGAACTAAGGGTGGTGGTGGTGGTAGACGATGAGGATATAGCTCGGAGGAAAGGCGTGAGGACTTCTTTATCCAGCGTCGCGAGACGTTCGCGACCTAGAACAATCCGCCGTACGTCCGCATAGTCCAGCCGGGCTGCAAGCGGATCCGTTTCCTCATCTGCGGCTGCGACACTACCCGCGTTGAATGTGTCGAAGAGCGCCGCGGCGGGGTGGGCCGACGCGTCCGCAGGCGGTGCAGCTTGCTCGGGAGTACCACAACCAGAAGACGCCGATGCATCGAACACCTGTTCTATCGGAACTTGAGCCGCAAGGTAGAACGCGCACGGCAGAACGCTCTCAAGATCCTCCACGAACTTCAAACATTCCTCCCCGTGCGCGTCACCCCACTCCGCATCCGGATCGGCACATGCGGCCCGAGCACGGCCCGCGATGCTCCGCACAGCCACTATTGTGTCGAGCGCATGGGCGCGGGATTTGTCGACGACGGTTTGGTCGTCCAGGCTCGAAGAGAACGAGGAGAGTGCTGTGGCGCGTTCGAGCCTGGATGGATACATGCCTCTCAGAGTACGCAGGGCTCGCGTGCGGACGTAGGGGACGTCGTAGTGGTCTGGCGCAGAAACCCAGAGAAGGGTCGTTAGGCGTTCGAAGGAAAAGGAAGGGTTGAGGGGATCTGTCAAGGGAAGCGAGGATCTAAGGGTAAACCGAACGAAATTAATGAGATAGGAAGCGCTGAATCTTGGGAGAGAAACGTACGCGGAGTTATAGATCGCGGCAAATAGTTCCCCGATCGCCGTCTCGTGGACTGCTGGCAAGTCAATCTCGACCGGCACCTTCCCATACCCACTCTCATCAGCGTCTCCATCACCATTAGGACCCTTCGTGAGCTCTTGAAAAACGTCCAAGCTTGCTAGACGGCGGAAGACGGAAGAATGCTGGGAGAGAATGGTATGGTGAACGCGGTGCGTAGTATTGCCGATACGGATGACCATCGACGCATCTGGGAAGGAGAGACCTTGGCTCGTATTCGGACGCACAATGGAGTTGGAACGTGAGGGGACGGAGCCGACAGATGAGAGGAAGAGGCGAGTGGATGCAGCAGGATTCGCCTTTGATTGGTGGTCAGTCGGAGGCACTTGCTGGGGGGTCACTCGAGCAGCGGGGCGGATTGTCTCAGATGACGGACCAGCGGTGGTGTTCTGAGCCACCGAAGGGAAACCACTGAAGAACTGTGTAGCATCTCTGGTGCCTGCCTTGGGTCTACTCGGTCTGCCACGGTCGAGTTTGTAGTCAGCCATGCGGAGCTCCTGAAAGTAGAATAATGTAGGTACGGAAGCCAGCATATTTGCGAGAGACACATACCTCTGGTGACATGCCCTTGTAATCATCCATGGCCGCAATGTTCATATAATGATACGACCACGTCTCCTTGCACCCGGCCCCGTCGTCGACAACCGTCCATGGGGCATAGGGAGGCGGGTATGCCACCTTTTTTCCCGAGTCCTCCTGATCAGGTTCCGGTGACTTCGGAGATGGAGTACGGCTGGGACCATCATCGACGTTGGACCCTGGCGAGCCTGATGAATTGGATGATGTGCTGGCGCGATTAGGGGTAGGTGATGGGCCGACCCAGTCAGCGGGCAAAGACTCGCGAGGCGCTGATACTCTTGAATTACGGATTGTATTGATAGGTGAAGGTGAGCTGATGCTAGAGCTCGAGTCCGAGTCTGTGCTGTTCGTGGTGCTATGTAGGATGACGGTGAGTAAATGCATCACTAGTTAGCGTTACTGGACAGGGCTCACCTTGTCGAAGTCAAGGTGTTCGCAGTGTTAGTTCCCACCAAATCTGAAGATTTGACCTGAGATGAGGAGACAGTTCTTGATAGCGTGATTGGCGTCTTGGATTCGCTGGATGCGGATGCCTGCGCGTTGCTCGAGCCCTGTGCACCTGATGCGACTTGGACAACTGGCTCCTTGCCTTTACATCCAGGAATCGCTGTAGATGTCCTAATGGTCGTGTCTTCGCAGCTAGTCATGATTGAGGTGAAGTAGGAGAGACGATGCGTTGGAAGTTGGAGGATGAGAAGACGTAGAGGAGTCAAAGGCGGGACCGACGCGCATGACATGTCGGCGGCAATTCCCGCGCGACGCGTCGGATGCGGCACTGCCACAAAACATACCTTGCTCCTGCTCAACGTCAGCGTCAACTCCTGCTTCATGAACTTCATCTTCGCGCCGTTGCATCCGTCGGTTTGCATCCAGTCTTGTCTTGTCTTGATCCATATTCAATAGAAGTATCCCATCTGCTGCCGATGTGTTATTGGTATAAACAGTCACTTCTACCATAACGATGACGCCTTCAAGTTGCTTTCTGGATTGCTTCAAGCCTTGAGTTTGCTCCACTACAATACTTTCAAGAGCCTACTCCCAATCGACACCAGCGAAACAGTGACCATTAGACTCGACAGTGATTTCAGTAAGGTATGATTTTCTCATCAAAATCAACATGACCGTGAAATAACACTAGATCTCCACCTTCAAAAGAGGAGTGCATACCCACATTGTTGCTCCTATACTCTAGCTCTGTCAACACCGACGAAGTTGGCCGAGGGTAAGTATGGTCTTGGATCATGTTTGCGTGTCACCGCCGCGCCGAAACATTACTCAAGATATTCAGGAAGAAATTGATCAGGAGTGAGTCGAATGATGAATCAACGCCAAATCAAAGCTGAGCAACTTATCATCCCTGCTCTTTTGTTGCGTAATAATGATATGTCATCCGTTTGTCATGTTCCCACGACTATCTTTGCGCGCAATTAATGACGCATAAACGCTAAGATCAACTTCAGCCTCTTGCCCTTTGCGCGCCTGTGTGCTAACAAATATATCGTGACGGTAAGCCTGCAGATCCATGGCTGTCCATAGTCGAATTTGTACCTGGATTAGCGTGTAGATCCCCGGGCGGTCGTCGATCATGCCGCCGGGGCGGTTAAATCTACTCAAGGGGGATTTGCTTCCGAGCTCAACTCAGCATGCTGACGTAGCTCCGATCCGCCCTCGCAGCGCGGAACTCACTTATGGCCCCTCTCTGACCAACCTCCAACACGTTCTCGACGTCGACGTTGCCCGCACGGCTGGCGGAGCCTCGCCCTCACAGGGTCGGATTTGATTATATACGCACGGCCTCGTGAGGCTTGAAGCTCCATTACTCTACTCTTAGCTACCATGGATCGCCTCCTCGAGCTCCAACGCCACCTTCCCAGCGTTCAGCTTCCCAACTCCTTCACAGCCACTCCCACACAAGGCGCCATCGCGGGCGGCGCCCTTGTCATCGCGCTCGTTGGTCTCGGCAAAGCCTTCGCTCCTCAAAGATACCCACTCCCACTCCCGCCAGGTCCACCAAAGAAGTGGTTCTTTGAGCCACCGTTTGCGTCTGGGAGGTGCGTATTTTTTCTCCTTCACAAGTCGTAACGTGTTAACAGGAGGTGTACTCAAGAGTCTCACACCACCTGGCTCAGTTGACAGAGGAGTATGGCGAAATCTTCACGATTCAACAGGGAAGCAATGTATTTGTAGTCGTCGGGAGGATGGAGGTGCGTCAACGGCAACCCTCCAGTTTTTGCAGTTGACTGATGCAAAGCGGGGCACAGGCAGCCTACGAGATTCTAGAGAGACAAGGCGGCTCCACGATCGACCGCCCGCGCAGCGTCGTCGCTGGTGAGCTCATGTCCAACGGCAACCGCATCATTCTCGAGAGCGGTGGCGACCGCTTCCGACGTCTGCGCCGCGCTGCGCACACGCACCTCCAGCCGAAAGCCGCCGCGACGTACGAGCCCATCCAGCTCGCTACCGCACGCGAGGTCATCCTCAACATTACACGCAAACCTGAGGAGTTCATGAACCACATCCGGCTGTACGCTGCGTCGGTCATTCTACGCGTCACGTACGGCAAGCAGACTCCTACGAGCGCGGAGTCGGACGAGTTCCTCCGCATCCAGCACGTCACGCGCAATTTCCAGGCAGCGGTGACGCCCGGCAAGTGGCTCGTCGAGCTCATGCCGTTCCTCAAGGTGTTCCATCGGGAGGGAGGATTGAAGAACGTTTGCGATACGCTTGACGCGTGGGGTCTTTCTGCGGTTGGTAGGGTGCTGGGTGCATTTGGGGCCGACCACCATAAATGGCGACTGTACGAGCGAGATTTGTTGCAGGGTCAAGTCGCTCGTGTACGGGAAGAGATGGTGAGTCCGCGTCGTACCTTTTTCCCCTTCCTTACATGGCCGTGACTGACGTATCTTGGCGAACACAGAAAGAGGGTACAGCTGGCCCGTCGTTCACGCGATATCTGGTTGAGAACAAGGAAGAGCTCGGGATGACGGAAGAGGAGATCTTTTATCTCGCTGGTGCTTTGTTTGGCGCAGGAAGTGATACAGTCAGTCAACCGTGTTCCTTCATATGCATATCTTGCTGAACTAACGTATACGAAAGACCGCGGTCGCTCTGCAGCATGCGATGATGGCGGCGGCGTGCTACCCTGAAGAGGTTGCCAGGGTTCAGGCCGAGTTGGATGCCGTCGTAGGGAGCGATAGGGGTAAGCGGTTCGAAATTACAACATCTGCAGTTTTTCTCTGACGCTTGAACCCGCGAACAGCGCCCAGTTTCGACGACGAAGATCGTCTACCGTTGCTACAAGCTTACATCTTGGAGATCCTCCGATGGAGACCTGTGACTCCCATCGGTAAGCTGGTCAACGAGCATTGGTTCTCCCCTCGCATTGCTCATGCTTCTTCTTCCATAGGCTTCGCTCACAGAGCGAACAAAGACGTCCTTTACAAGAACTATTGCATTCCCAAGGGCGCAATCGTCCTTGGTACTCACTGGTCCGTCCCTCCGTCTCCCTTGACATCCAACCTCTCGCTTCGTTCTAAACATGATGCTTAACGTAGGGCAATCTCGCGCGACCCCATCGCCTTCCCCAACGCCGACTCTTTCCTCCCCTCACGCTGGCTCGATCATTCGAGCGGAAAGCCCGCGCTCCGCCCCGACATGCGCTTCTTCACGTACGGCTTCGGACGGCGTGTCTGCCCAGGCCAGCACGTCGCGAACCGGTCGCTGTTCATCAACCTCGCGCTCATGTTCTGGGCGTTCAACATCTCTGCTCCGAAGGAGGGTGAAGGTAAGAAGCTGAACCCGGACGCGTGGACTGATGCGATCGCGAGCCACCCTGCACCTTTCCAGGTGCGGTTCAATTTGAGGATGGAGGAGGGGAAGATGAGGAGGTGTTTGGAGGAGCTGGGTGGACAGGGTGTTGGAGAGGAATGAGTACGATTTAAATGCAATTCGAGTATTATATCATAGGCTGGTGCGCAACGTATCGGCCTTTCAAATTAGCAGATTAACCTTGAAGCACTGTATCCGTTCACGAAGGATTGTGAAGTCCTTGAACCGAATAACCGAGACCACGTCTTTGAGGATGTGATCGAACAACTTCAATTTGTATCTTCTCTTCGACCTTCTCCGAATGCTACTGCCTTAACTCGTTTCCGCCCTTGTTAGTAGTAATAAATGCTCATCGATAGCTTGGGGCTCAAATCCTTGAGATACAGCGCACGAGTATTACGGCACTGCCTTAAAAGACCCACAAATATCCCCCTCTCGGCTATAAAAGTCATTCCCGAGTTTCTCACATACCTACTGCACTCGCACATTACTATGCACTCTTAGTTCTCATCTATCATTGTTATAAGATAGACCATAGCCTCGCTCTAGACATAGACCTCGTCCTATGCAGTACAACTGACTGGCCGTAGTAAATTCCCGAACGGTCAGTGTAGAGTTTGTGTACAGCCCAACCGGGACGCAAGGTGTTCTCCTGAGCAGGTGCCCTCATATTTGCACTAGCGTGTTCAAGTTGTCGGTGAAATTGCTATAGCGCGCCGAGTCACCAGGATCAGAGGCTTTGGATGCGGACGCTCTTTCAAAAGCGGTCAGCTTAAAGAGATGTGCCATGAGCTTCATACGATGGAAATACGAATACGACTTCTATTTTCGAGTATGTCTGGCATCTTTGGATCGAGCTTCCATTGCACAGTGCCTCCTATGGGAAACTCTACTAACTTCGAGTCGGCTCAATCCGCGTCATCATTTTCAGACGATCAAATTTCAAGCGCTCAACGTTCCCGCGAAGGTCACTTCTGGGGTAATGCTATCACTATCCCAGGAGCGTTATAGATATCTGCTCGGTTTGAAACTATGTTCACATGTTCATAAGATGGTAACTTGCGCATAGTCTGCACCCGGGGGAAGTACATGCCTGTACCGTAAGTTTGGAACGTTTCCGATGCGAGGCCTTCGAATTTGATTGTTTCATGGCTATATTACCATGTGTGACATATAAGGGTTGCCGCAGCGCCTCAGTATGAATATGAGAACCGGCTCTTGATTGAAGTTGGGCTGTACATTACCACACAGTTCTACCCGTCTCAATCTGCCGTCCTAAGCTTGGTAAAAGACCATAAGTATCTATGACTATTAGAACACCTCTATAATACGTTGTGATAAGGACTTGCAGAATGGGAAGCTCGAGGCGACGAGCATCTTTTCCCTGCTATGTTAGCTCTTCCAATGGAACCGAACTTTGGTTTCTTACTATGTCGGACTGAGATCGATGCTCCAATGATTTGATATAACACATCCCTAGACACACAACCGGTCTGTGGAGTGTTCATACGCGCGGGGTGCTATTTCAAAGTGTAGGTAGTATTTATATCTGAAACGAGCTGTGATGAAGGCAATGGCACAGCTGTCATTTCCATACCCAACATAGCCAACTAGACATACGGCTTCCATCTTGATACAGTATAGAAACTGTATTTCACATCGGAACTCTTTATAAGCTTGAAGATTGTGGTAAGGAAGCTACAGCATCACCGCCGTCAACCTAAAGAGTGAAATGTCATTGGACAACTGTTTTCAGCAACCGCGCTAACTGCTTGTGTTCAATTCCACTCCAATAAGCGCTTATTTAAGGGTTATGATACCTTCAACGTGCTTTGGAGCAACGATTGTTTCTCCTCAGATCAAAGTTCAAATTAAAATTCACAGGTGGATCAACATTCGCAGCGCGGAGAAGAAGGGCATTCCGTTCTATGATATCGGTGGTTGATGGATTGCGTTGATATTCCGGTAATTTCTGCCAGTGTGTAATTCTGTACTTCCTGCAGTACGTATTTAAAGAACGTCAAGTACTTATGGTCGGTCAACACCTTTCTAACCACTCGGTTTTTGTCTTTCTTTTAGTATCTAATCAGACACTAATCATGTTGAGCCTTGCACCGATGGGTACGTCTACTATGTGCTTCTTTCGAAATATTGACTCAATGCGGTTTAGCCTCTGGAATTGCAATTTTACTATACGACTGTTGTGGGTATTCTTCTATGGTTACATTACTTGACTTGCTCACAATCTCATCCAAACAAGCAGTTATTAGCATCGAAGACGAGGTATGTTATTTTCTCTTTATTCCGCAAACGACAGTGTCTGAGTGTATGTTACTAGATGCAGCTCATCTGGGTCAGGAATACTCGTTTGCTTTCTGGGCAGTGATACTCATGCCCCATATGCAGTCACGTAAACTGACAAAGATGGCTCTTGTGTACCCTGGTGTCAGTGATGTCCTTGGGATTTCTGTCATCATCGCTGACCCTGTCAACTTTAGCTTCGCTATGGCGGCATTATATGGTCAATGTAGGCTTAGTGATTCCTGATGGAACTCTGGATAGTGGTATTTAATGTATGATTTGACTTTCTAGGGTCGACATGTGTGCGTCTGTCTATTCTTCATCTAAGCTACGCTACTAAGTACTAATACTTCATAGGCTTGAACCTCAACTTGGGTCTTTCCACTAAAGTTTGTCAATCAGCCATTACGCATGAGACTGCTCACAAAGTAGATTTTTAGGCGTACGTATTACCAAAACCAAAGATCAAACTTAACACCCCAACAATAGAGGTGAGCGAGCGCATTCCGCCTTGCTTATACCCAAGCTTATTATCGTTGAAACTTGTCAGAGACCATATTTAATGTCTTCGACGAACTCATAGGTTGTGCCCTGACTTTCCTGCTGCAAGGTAAGTCATCGTCATGTATTAATGCTATCATTGGAATCTATTTATGTTTCTAGGGATGATGGCATTCAGAGTCTATACACTCTTCCAAGATTCCGAATGGCGGCACATCAAAATTATGTTGGTGGTCGGCTTCTCAAGTGTGCAGTGTATCAAGATCTCCACTAGTATATTCCGGGTGTGGGCATTCCTAAGCAACCTATCCGAGCAGACAACCAACCAAACAGCGTTTACATATCCACTGGGAGACGGGGCGCTGCTGCTATTCGAAATGATTCTGTTCATCATGGTTGTGTATTACACAGCTGTCCACCTCAAGAATAGCTATGTGACACTGCAGACGCGAACGATCGGTAATCTGGCTATGGTGCTCGTTCGGGGAAATCTGATCTACTTTTCGGTGTATGCTCTTTTATTCCCTTTTCTTACCTACCTAACGCAGTGTGACATTTGGTAGTGCGGTCTTCAACTTATGGGTCAAGGTAATACAGGGCATCCCGTCGGTATACTCGGATGAGGCAAGTCGCCATTTTGTGTCACTGTTTCCAACCCTGACTCAAGTACCTCATAACATCAAGCCCGTGGGGTTATACGAAATAGCATATACCACTTTGAAGTATGTATTCTACGGGGTGATAGGACCATGGATGATGCTGGATATCCGACAAAAGCACGAAGAAGACGCTCTTGGCCCGAGCCTAACTGATATGCCGTCTCTTTGGACTGCGAGTGCAGCACGCCCAGAAATCATTATGGGCGACGAATGATAGTATAGTTTAGAAACTGCACTCCAATAACATCCGATAGTATCGATGAGGCGTACTGCAGTCCGCTAAGCAGCAGAATAGACCTTCGAGCGCCCTTGTTGCTTTCCCCCTTGAGCGAGAGAGAAGGCCACCGCGGATGTGGATGCAATCCATCTATAAGCGCGCGGGGCAAACGGGTGTGTGATAATCAATGTGATCCGGGCGGGGGATTAGAAACAATGTGTGGACGGCAAATGTCATGCAGAAGGGCACCGTCTTGACGAGTGGACGACGGGACGGCGAGGGTGATATGAGCGACATGCTCATGAGCTGTAATGTAATACCGGAGGATTCGACCAGTAAAAGGGCGCTGATTCTGGACGAACAATACGTGAACAATCGATGAAAGAAAAAAAATAGTGCTACGCACTTTACGGCTCAATTTTGCGAGTATCACCACTGCCGGCCTCTCTACCCAACCCGCTCCCTCCTCGTGGCCCGCTCATCGTCCCATCCCCGGTCCCGCGTACCTCGCCCACGGTACCGGTGCGCCTCCTCGACCTCCTGGCGATTGAACACGTCACGGTATCCCCCGTCTAGATCTCCGCCTACTGAAGAGGGTGTCATGCTCCCTGCCAACTCTGCCTTCTTGCGTGCGATCAGAGCCCGCGCGCGTTCGCGCTCCGAGGATTCACGAGCGATACGGGCTTCGGATGCGGAGGGCGGGGTGGATGACGACGTCGACTGTGCAGCGGCGCTAGCGTTCGAAGACGGAGGCGGCATATGTCCATTCCGTGAACGTGATGGTTGGGAACGCGAAAGAGGATGTGGTTGTGGAGGCGCCCGAGTCCGTGAGGACGCACTGAGTTGGTGAGTGATAGTCGTGAGTGGGTCGTGCATCGTCTTGCTCGCCATGTCGCGCATCTTCCTGTCCTCCGCTGTGCCCCACCTACTCCGCTCCTCGTCTTTTCCGCTTCCTCCCTTGCCTGATCCTCCCCCTCCTGACTCCGATCCCTTGGCCAGCTCAGCCTCCGCCTCTCCAGACCGCTGGGCATACCATGGCCGCAGGTCCTTCGCACTCGGAGCGAGAGGGACACCCTTCTCCTCCTCCCTCTCCCTCTCCTTCCCTTTGTCCTTGAGCTTTGAGGTAGCGGCGAGGAGGAGAGATTGGGACTCTAGGTCCTCGAAGAAGTTGATGTGCCCCGACGAGCCGGTGAGCGATGAGGTCGTCACAGCTGCGGAAGTTGAAGGGCGGCTGAGGAAGTCGAGATCCTCCTTCTCGCGCTCTTTGGCTTTGCCAGAGGACTTGAGGCCGGCGCGCTCGCGCAGCCTGTCAAGGCGTGCTTCGGAGTCCTATTCATGGCGTAGATGACGGAAGAGCCAATGCCATAGTTTAGAATAAGAAAGAGAGTAGAGTAGAATGACATACAGCAAGCATCATCCGGCCCTCCTCCCCCTCTTCTTTTTGCCGAGCCTCTTCCTCATCCCGGCGCACACGCTCGACATTGTCAAGCCGATAGGGATGGTACGACTTGTGATGCGCGATGTTGAGTTTACCCATCCTGCCTTCGTATATCAGTCAACTACAGCAACAGGTGAATGACGTCGTGTAGTTCGGGCTGTGATTCGGCTGAGACTCGGTGATCGGGTGAGAAAGAAATAGACCGAGAGGGGGGTAGCGCTGGCCTCTGTATTGTTTGGCTCTGCTGTGCAACACCTTCTGGATCTAACAAAGGCAAACACCCATTCGCTCGGCTTTCGCATGCATTTACCGTCCAAACCGGTCTTTCGTCCCAGCCTCCTACTCAGTTCCCTAGGAACCAGCACACAGTAGCCAATCACCGGAGTGAACGGGTTAATGCGCTATCTTCCTTGGCTGCCGCTTCACGACGTGGCCCTTCCTGCGCTGGATGACGAGAAGGGTATTAGAAACATCGGATTGTAGCATCCGGGACCCTAGATCTATGAACGCTCTTTGTGTTCTCACTTGCTACAGCACTTTCTCCTTGGACGGTCATAGGGGGCCGACGAAAGCGTATGGGTACTAAGCGCTTTTACTCTGCAGCGCGGTGAATCCTCCTATATATGCGCGTCCTCGTCAGCTGCAGAGGAGCCCAACACCGACACCAAAGCACTAATGGATTACCTCCACAAGCTAGCTGAACATCTCCCATCTTCCGTTACAGATCAGGCTACGCTAACCCCGGTCACTGGGGCAGTTGCAGCCTTCACCGCTTTCCTCGCCCTGTACGCGATCAAGAACGCCTCTTCTTCCAGCCAAAAGAGGAGCCTTCTACCTCCCGGGCCACCGACGAAGTGGTTCTGGCAGAACCCTTTCCCTGAGAAGGAGTACGTGTCTCTTAACTCCCTCCTCTCGGACTGCAATCCTCATCTCACCCTGCTTATTATAGTGTCGCCCGCAGCCTCGCTGCGCTGGCGAACCAATACGGCGGTGTGTACACTTTAAGCGCCGGGAGCAACAACTTTGTCGTGGTGGCCAGCTACGATGCCGCCCTTGAGATTATGGAGAAGGCTGGAGGCTCGACTGTCGATCGCCCGCGTGCGGTCGTCGCCAGTGAGCTTATGGCACGGTCGGGCCGTCTCTTATTTGAGGGCGCTGGAGATCATTTCCGTACCGTGCGCAAGTATGTGACACCTCTCCCCCCTTTGACGATGAGTGCGCTGACTAAGGAGGATGAAAGGGCAGTGCACACGGCACTGCAGCCTAAAGCAGCCAAGGGCTATCAAACGATCCAGATCGACCACGCTCGCCACGTTATCCTGAACATCATGGCTGACCCAGACAAGTTCGCGGACCATCTCCAGGCGTGCGTCTCCCCATCCCACCTACATCCATGCTAAAGTTTTTCCAACACTGACAATCACATCCACAATCTATCAAACAGCTACGCTTCCTCCGTAACCATACAAATTATGTACGGAAAATGCACGCCAACCTCCGCCTCCTCCCCAGAAGTCCAGCGCATCCTGCTAGCCGGGAAAAACGGCGGCACTGCGCTCGTCCCGGGGCGTTTCATCATCGAGTCGTTGCCCGCCCTGAAGCCGTTCCACCGCCTCGGAGGGATGAAGGGCATCTGCGACGCGCTCGAGAACACACCAGGGCTTTGGTGGCTCGGCAGGGCACTCGGCGCGTTTGGGTGGGAGATGGCCGAATGGGCGCGGCATGAACAGGAGCTGGGGGACGATATGATGGGGAGAGTACAACGGGAGATGGTGAGTGCAGAACATCCAACCGGGGTTGCAAGCTTGAGGTGTTGACTTGGCCTGGACTACTTGTAGGCTGAAGGTACCGCTGGGCCGTCCTTCATGCGCAACATGATCGAGACGCAGGACGAACACAAACTTCCCAACTACGAGCTCGCTGAGCTCACGTCCATCCTCTTTGGGGCGGGTAGTGACACGGTGCGCCTTTCCTTGTCTCCTCCCAATTTCCCGGCTAATGTGCTATTCTTTCAATCATAACTTGTAAAATATCGCTGGTAGACCACGGTTGGCCTGAACTTTGCGATGCTCGCGGCGGCAGCGTTCCCTGAAGAACTCAAGAAAGTTCACCAGGAGCTCGATAGGGTTGTTGGGGGTGAGCGAGGTGCGTTTTTAGTACTCTGCTGTACGGACAAGAGATTGACTCTGTCGCATCGATGTAGCGCCGAACTTTGACGATATGGGCAACCTTCCGCTCCTGCAGGCGTTCATTGAGGAGGTACTCCGCTGGCGCCCTATTATACCTATTGGCATTGCGCATGGGGCGAACAAGGATGTGCATTATGTGGGTGTTCTTGTCGCGCCCTCCCCTTCTGTTCGATGTTGGCTAACGCGTTACGAATGGCAGAACGGTTTCGTCATTCCAGAGGGTACGATGGTCCTTGGCTCTCACTGGTCCGCTTCTCTCTCCCCTCCTCTCGAACTTCATCGCTTACACCTTCCGACTCCACAACAGGGCCATCTCGCGCGACCCTACCGCCTACCCCAACCCCGAATGCTTCCTCCCCTCCCGCTGGCTTGAGAACCCCAGCTCCCCACCATCCTCTGCAAAGCTCCGCACCGACCTCCGTTTCTTCACATACGGCTTCGGACGACGCGTCTGCCCCGGGCAGCACGTCGCGAGCCGCTCGCTGTTCCTCAACATTGCGCTCATCTTCTGGGCATTCGATGTTGTGCGCCCAAGCAAGGACACGGTGTACGATCTAGATGGGTGGAAGGATACGGCGGTGACGAAGCCGCCGCCATTTAAGGTGGGGTTTGCCAAGAGGTTGGACGAGGGCGTTGTGAGGCGGGCGTTGGATGAGATGGGCGGTGATAACTAGCTAGGATCACATACTCGGAGGTTGCTGGGGTGGATGTATCTGTTGAGATTTGAGATAACAGTGCCATATAATCAAGCTGTTGCTCCAGCACTAGGTGCTCTAACTCTTGCACTAGTGTTTTTGGTTCCGCGATAGCTTGAATAGGGGCTCGCAAAATGCCGGCATGATGGAACTCCGATCGTGGTGGAGAAACGCTTGAACGCGCTGCTTGCTCCAGTCAACCACTTTTCTGAGCGTCTTTGATGTGCAACGTGCTAAAACCAGACTCGCGTTCTTGCCTGTCTAACGTTATCTTCCTCGTGTACAATTCACTAACCTTATAACTTCCCGAGCTCGCGACAGCGTGATGCGATGCTTTCCGCTTACTCATATCAACTGTCCTCTAAATCGTATGAGTGTCGTTGACATTCTAAACGGTCCTTTTTTCAGAGCTTGTTCGTGGCTAGGGTCACTACAGGTGAGTGTAATAACCACAACACTATCGACAAGTCACTCATCTAACCTTCCCTGTGCAGCGATAGCTCATTTCATTGGTATACATGACCCCGATTAAGCGCAAGCACTTCTCCCTAAGCGAATGCTTTGGGCCGAGGATCATTTGAGTAGATCGTCTGTTCTGTTTTCGTTTGAAGTCGCCACTGAACGTTATATCCCACAATGTCAGTCTTACCATGCTCTACCAACGCGACTTTCATCGTACATTCACTCGGCTTAGCGACTACCCACCGGAGATATGTTCCGCCCAACAAGCGCCTACGATGTGATCCTTTGGTGCCTTCTATGGTCAACCTGTCCCGGCCAACTTTGTTGCTGACTAGTTGATGGTGAATGCGCGTGCGATTTGGTCGCATCCCGCGGGTTTGGCTTGCGAGCTGATGGGGCCTGTGACAATATCTGGGAACACAATCATGGAGTAGGGGAGTAGTAGGTGCGGAATGTCGACAGGCGGTGTACGTCATTTTGCCGTCGATCCGCTCCAGGTATGACAGTGGGTCGGTGCACTTGGGGCGACTTAGAACTCGCACTTGCTTTCAACAAACACACGGACTCCGCCTTCTACCGCAATAATTCCTCGTTTAGGGAACACGAGGGCCGACATGGCCAACGCGCAGCCTGGTTAAACCCCAGGGCCGATGCCACTTACGTCCATTGGACACAAGATTACAGTGTCTACCGTAAAGCCATCTTCGCCCTCCCTTCTTTGGTAACCTGCATGTCTCACTTTGTCATGTAAGCGCTCACGAGTGGGAAACCCACTTTCTTGTTGTGGACTAGGACCATCTGCGGCCCGGCGTACTTCCATTTTGGGACTGGAAGACTACATTCAGTTGCGATAATGGCCGCCGTGTTAGTTCGGCTCCAGCGCAGTTAGCCGGCAGCCATGTCAGTTGACTGGGTAGGGTTCCTAGGATGACATTGACAAGAGGCGGGGAACGGGGACTTGGAAGGTGTACTTAAGCATGAGCTTTTAGGTCGTCTCACTTCTCGTGCGTGGCACGCCTCCTTCGATAGCACCTACTGGCAAAGTACACACTCCCAACTAGCAGGATGCCTCCGCAGCATCATCAACTCCTCTCGATACAAGACTTTCCGGCGCTAGCGCTCGCTGGAGCCCTCATCATTTTGGTTATCGCCCGCGAGGTCATCAATAAGCGCAGACGGGACTATCTTCTTCCACCGGGGCCGCCCGCAAAGTGGTTCTGGCAGAACCCCTTCCCTACATCTCAGTGCGTAAACGACACGTCTTCTCGCCTCTACTCTACACACAATGCTCATTTTGTACTAGAATACCCAAGGTCCTAGCGGAGCTGACGAACCAGTACGGTCCCGTATTCTCATTGCGTCAGGGGAACAAGGTCACGGTTGTGATTGGGCGAGTTCAGGTGCGCAGATCCGGCCACTACTCATTTAGCCAGGCTCATGTGACCGTCGCGATGTCTATAGCCTACGATAGACATATTGGAGAAGGAAGGAGGCTCTACCCTCAGTCGTCCCGAGCGCGTTGCAGCTCGCGACCTCGTCTCACGGCGCATGCGCCTGATCCTGGAGCCGGCTGGGGAGAGGTTCAGAATCATGCGAAGGTCAGCATCAATTTTCCCAGAACGCTGTCCGACAAATAAGCGTGGATCGACGTTAATTTCATCTAAACATAGAGCTATGCATGCACCGCTAATTCCCAAGGCTGCGGCTTCGTACGCGCCGATTCAAACGGAGGCGGCCAAGATCTACATTAAGAACCTCTTAGAGCAGCCGGACGATCATCAGCATTGGGCATCACTGTATGTTTCAGTTTCCTACTTTGGCTGAGATCCCTACGCAGTTGGTAATTGAGTGGCGGTGTCCGGTAGATTCTCAGCGTCGGTCGTTCTGAAGGTGACATACGGGAAGACGGCACCAGCATCCTTCGACGATCCGGATGTCAAGCGTATTCTGCGGAGCGTCATCAACTTTGCAAATTCGATGAAGCCCGGTGCATGGGCGGTTGACCGGATGCCGGTGCTGCGACACATCCCATGGTTTACGACCAAGCTCGACTCGTGGCATCAAGAGGAGTTTGGGCTGTTTAAGGAGCAAATGAACGGGACGAAGGATGCCATGGTACGTAATTGTCACATACAAATCCCCTGTACTCTAATGGTCGACGTCTATAGAAACGAGGAGACGATGGACCTTCGTTTGTTCGAAACTTGCTAGAGAAACGACAAGAGGGAATCACAGAGGACGTAATTGCGTATCTTGCAGGTTCTATGTACGGAGCTGGAACTGATACAGTACGTTTTCCGCTCATATACTATAGCTATAGTGGGTGTTCACTACTTTGCAGACATCCATAGCGATGTCGAACACAATAATGGCAGCTGCTCTCTACCCAGAGGCACAGGAACGGATGATAGAGGAGATAGACTTAGTGCTAGGCGATAGGGGTATGTAGATACGGCATGAAGATAATCATGTCATGTCTGACTTAGAGTCACCAGCTCCTTCGTTCGTCGACATGGGAACGCTGCCGCAGCTAGATGCCTTTACGCAGGAGGCTACAAGATGGCGACCTGTGATTCCGCTGGGTCAGTACATTTGAGCTTTCATCCACTCGACCTCGGAGTAATCGGGCTTTCATAGGATTCCCTCATCGCGCAACGACAGACATCATCTGGGTAAAGCAATTTTCAATCTCGAAATTCCACGTGAGATAAATATGACAAAAGAAAGGGTACCGTATCCCGGCAGACGCGACGATCGTAGGAAACCATTGGTGAGTCGTTTACTAGTGGCCGTGGAATGAACGAAAAATCGACATTGGGGTTTTCTCCAGGGCAATCTCTCGTGACCCCGAAGTCTACCCAGACCCCGAGAGGTTCAATCCTCAGCGTTGGTTAGACGAGAAAGGTAGTCTCAAGCCCAGTAATGAATTCCGATACTGGAGCTTCGGGTTTGGCAGACGGTTAGTAGAGAACCCGCAATTCCAGTGGAATAGTAATATCTTACCGCTCCACCCCATAGTGTATGTCCGGGCCAACACCTCGCCGGCCGCTCGCTCTTCATCACTTTGGCGATGGTGTTCTGGTGCTTCCGTGTCTCTGAAGACAAGTCACAGCCAATTGACTCGGATGGGTTTGACGACAAGATGATCGCGCATGCGTTCAAGTTCAAGGTGAAGTTTGAGCCTCGGAGGAGTCTGGAGGAGATTAGGGCTGCGATTAAGGTATAATTACATGAACCAAGGGCGACTACCTTTTGTACGAGCGCCGTATATTCTAAAAGAATGTGGCCAAGAGCTTTTTAAAACGCTCTTCGGGGATAAGAATCGTAGGTCGAATACAGCTGTAAATAAGCCGCTATGTAGAAGCTACCAGTAGAAAAGCTGCATGCATCAATCAAAAACCTGCGCTCTGAACTGAATAGAAAATTGGAAAGGCAGATGTGGCGTTCCATTTGTCCCGAACCGCGAAGCTTTGACATATCGGCATCTGAGAGTCTGTGTTGCGGAGTTGTCAATATTTGACCGTTGTGCGGCAGGCTGGCATGTCAGTAACTTGAGGGCCGGCCCCAGAATGACACATCCGCTCGCGTTTCACGCGCTAACGTTCAGTATCAGTCGCGCGACTTGGCCACGATTCGCTCACTCAATCTCGACCATAGCATTCCTCGATGTCGTGTCCGCGACGTGTTCTGCTTACCGATATGTCTCAGTCACCCGACACGAGGGGTGTTGCTGACATCGACAAGGCATGGGTCGACACTTGACGGTATCAACCTCCGACGTCGGATCACATACGAGGCCCGGCGGCACCGAATGGTCATGCAAGTAGCTGTGAAAACATTGCTTCAGGGGGCAGAAGGTAGGTTTATTGGCCACTGCGTTGATAAGCAATGCATACCTTCTCCAAAGACTAAATCTCAATGATAGTGACGAGCCTGTCCGCGAGAATCACATGAACCAACTTCTCAGTTCGTGCGAGCCCGTGCGCGCGTTTGTCAAAGATCTCACGCAAAGCACGATGCTGGTGCGACGTCCGCTTCATCGGACACGGGGGTTGCATGGGGCCTGATACGTGTAGATCCTCGACGTCGAGATTTATGTCTAGGTCGCCGGCATAGTCTCGGTGTCATGCTACGCTTACGCGGAACGCGATCATTTCGACGACGTATAAACCTGGCGCCACTACCTCCTCTGGCAGTCCTCTAATCTGTACTTTCACTCACCTCAACCATCATGGAGCTGTTGAACGAGATCCCTGCTCAGCTACAGGCATTCTTGAAGACACTGACTCCCACCACTGGAGCGCTCTATACAGGATCTTTCATCGCCGCATTATACGGCGTTGGAAAAGCGATCGGCTGCAGGCAGTCCCTTCCACTCCCGGTCCTCCTGCAAAATGGTTCTTCGAGCCACCGTTCCCTGAGAAAAAGTACGTTTCTTTGTTGGAACATATCAAGATACTGACACGCTTCCTTGCCCCCCCCCCCCCCCAGCGTAGCGCGCACTCTTGCGGATATGACGGAGCGGTATGGTCCTGTGTTCACCATCAAGCAATGAAGCAATGTGTTTGTCATCGTTGGCATAATGGAGGTATGGGGCTCCTCTACCTCACTGTATCTGATCCGGAATGACAGTCTGAGACCTCCAGGCGGCAACCGAGATCATGGAGAAAGACGGAGCTTCCAACATCGATCGATCACGGAACATCATTGCGACTGAGTTACTCGCCAATGCTGGTCGCATCATCATGGAAAGCGGAGGTGATCGCTTTCGCAAGATGAGACGGTGCGTATATATGCTACAGGAGATATTCTGGGCTACTGACCGTTCGGCAGAGCGGTGTTTACAGCGCTGCAGCCCAAAGCCTCCGAGAGCTACCAGCCCCTCCAGATAGCTAATGCTCGCATTCTTATGCTCAAATTACTACAAGCCATGACAGATTTGCCGACCATATAAAGACGTGCACACCGACCCTGTGTTATGCATATGGCTTGGCCCTGTGTGTTGATATAATTCTTCGCCATGTATGCTGCCTCAGTTATATTAAAGATCGCCTGTGGAAAACAAACCCCGGCAACAATCGACTCGCCAGAGGTGAAGCGTGTTCATCTGCTCTTCGGACGCTCCGCATCTCTCTTTATTCCTAGGCGGTACATGGTCTCATGCTTCCCCTTCCTTAAAGCATTTCATCGCCTAGGAGGAATGAAACGTATCTGCGACACGCTTGAATCTGTGGGGCTTACGTGGGTGAGAGACGGGTCATTGGTGCATTTGGATACGAGATGCTCGAATGGCAAAAGCTCGAGCAGGACCTTGCCTATGGCCAGCTCAACAAGGTTCGACAGCAAATGGTCCGTTGCCTATTCCCTTCTTCGCAAGCATCCTATCTGATGCAACGGTGTCCTAGGACGATGGGACGGCTGGGCCATCATTCACCAGATACGTTCTCGAAAATCGGGACGTTCATGAACTCGGGCCAGATAATATGGCATATCTAGCGCTCGGTCTTTTCGGTGCAGGAAGCGATACCGTGGGTCTTTAGTTGACGCATAGAAATATTTATACTGACGATTGGAATAGACCGCAATAGCACTGACGCACGCGATAATGCTCGCAGCTGCTTTTCCCGACGCACAAGCTCGCCTCCACGCGGAGATAGACGCTGTAGTTGGAGGAGAAAGAGGTACGCCATGTGAGTCTGGAGGAGACGCTCTTCCTGATGTCATTCGTAGCACCGATGTTTGATGATCATGACAGCCTGAATGAGCTGTGGGCTTGGACACAGGAGGTGTTGCGGTTCAGGCCTGTTGTCCCTGGTGGTGAGCGCCACATTTGCTATTGCGTGCTACACGTCCTCATGCGGGTGTCGAATTGCCCATGTTGTTAACAAAGATATCGTCTACGTGAGTTGATCCAAATCCTTCCCTACAAGCTCCCGGATCAATGGATATGCACAGAAAAACTACGTCATCCCTACGGGTACAGTACTTCTAGGCACCCATTGGTGAGTATCTCATTAGTATCATGTCTTCGTATCTTAAATTTCGAGATAGGGCCATTTCACGGGACCCAGATGCATTCCCAACCCCAGACACTTTTGATCCTCAGCGTTGGCTCGACGCTGACGGGCAGCCAAGGAAAGACATGAGGTACTTTACGTATGGTTTCGGAAGACGGTAAGCGGCTTGTTGACATATACTGAACGAGTACTCATCAAAGTTTGGCCTTCATTCGTGCAGCGTCTGCCCAGGACAACACGTCGCGAATAGGTCTATCTACATCAACCTCACGTTGATCTTGTGGGCCTTCAAGGTTGTGCCTGTCCTAGGCAAGGATTTCGACTTGAACTCTTGGGAGGATGGGTTCACGTCGCGTTTACCTCCGTTTTCGGTAACGTTTGAGTACCGCCGCGATGAAGACACGATTAGAAGAGCGTTGGATGCGTTCAAGGATGAGAGTGCATAAGAGTCCATAGCATACCGCAATGATTTGGCAGATCTTAGGGACTGTATGAACACATACTTGGGTAACCTCACCCAAGACGGAATGCCGTATATAAAGATGCTCGAGAGATTCTTTGATATGTTGAAACTCAACCATTCTGATCTCTTCGGGCTCAGCGAACGTAGAAAGGTCGATGCAAAATGATGCATGATGTCCGTACAATTGCCGTGCATATTTCATCTAGATCTGCGCCCCTAAATGTCCCACAGCCAACTTCAAATGGTACAGAGTAGCACTGAGGACGTATCCTGTCATACGTCAGTCAGACAGTCTATCAATCCATCATCAAGGGAATATGCACATGAAGGAAAGCGGGGAAGTCAGGAACCCGATTTTGTGTAGCCATTGGCGGAAGCGCTCGGCACGACAATATTGCGGGGCGGAGTTTCACTATCAAAGCCGGAGCAACACCTGCCATCTTTCAACAGATCGCATATGTTTGGTCTATAGCCTCTCTTATAACCTGTGTCAGGTACCAGCATGCTCCCTGATATATGTGGGCCCGGAATAATGCCACAAACAAGTTCTAGGAGCCTATGGGAAGACTTGTTCGGAACAAGATGTCAGTAGTGCTAGTGAGGAGCCACCGAGTCCACAGGCTTTGGCATGCTGCGGTGACATATAAACCTGAGATTTTAGGCGAGTATGCCGACTGGCTTTGTTGTCATCTCATTCTCTGAGACCTCAGGATTCCAGTATATTCTTCCAAACTACTGCAGGGAAAACCGCCACGATGGTGCAACTATGTTGTAATATCTGATTAAAGGCATTTATCACTCGGCTGGGTAGCAAGATTGCGATGTGAGTTCGGCTGCGGGTAAAGCGTAAGGACGTATTCATAAACACGAACAATCGCGAGTTTTTCGGGAGCAAGATGCACCAGGAGCTGCACTTCGTCATCTGAGGTACCAAGATGTTTGGAATTGATCCAACAAAGCACCCCCCTGAGTCCAAGATCATCGGTCAACACCCGAGAGGAAACCCCACGAAAACGCTGTACGCCGAAGAGAAGGTGCAAAGGGACCATCATGTAGACGTCGGGTATCTTGGGCAGTTCCAACGATAGCGTCAATCAGGCAACCGATATGGCCGGACAGGCGATTGTCCGAGGACACCGACACGGATGTCAAAATCGTTGTTTGAATAGAGTGTCTTGCAAGTCAATTCAATGAGGGTATTAATGGATGATTGAGAGGTTTTCGTCTTGCCTTGAGACTTCCTGACACGAGGCGTGCAGCAGCAGCATGGACCCACCCGTGTCTTGATCTCGACAGGTCTCGACGTTGAACGTTTGAACAGCGTTGGAACACAATTCAGTTGTCCTGCAAGTGGCTGCGGGGCGGAGTTTAAATATTGCAGGAAAGATCCGAAACCTGTGGCAACAAGTCAACAAGCCACGCGCCTTCGTTTTGTCCGCCATACTCCACTTCGAGGCACGAGAGCATCGTTTGTTCCGATCATATCATTCATCCTCGAAATCAGTGACGGATTTGTCTAGGCCTCAAACATCTGGATGGCTGTACGAATATGGTGTTGAAAGCACGCCGCGAACGCCGGGCGAATGAGATTACGAAATCCGTAAGTGGAGCGAGGTGAAATGTCGCGGTTCATCTGGTGTCCCTCGAAAAATAGAACCCATATTTATTGTTCGGATATCTATCCAGGAAACTTGAACACATTACTCAGTCAGTCGAGATCTGTTAACTGAAACTTGGAAAGCATACTCGTACCAGCATGTATATGCTCGACGTCCACTGTTCCCCACAACATCAGTCTCTCATGTGTCTGTATTCTTCTAACGCCTGATGCCACCAACTGTTGCATGTGCGATAAATTTCCGTTCGCGAGGCAGATACCGCTGATTCATTCATTTCTCCAGGCATATTGCGGTCTATATCTTCCATTAGCGCATTATCAACGTCACAATGGGACTGGGATGGGAGTATCTTATGGTGCAGCAGCCCAACTTCCGAGAACTCCAATGAACCATCTCAATGGATATACTTCTTAGTGACAACCCATTCATTCTAGCTCATTTCGACGAACATCGTATCGCTGTTGCAGCCGCTCGCTCAATACGGGTTGCTCGGTATCTGCCCATCGCCGCATACTTCGTCCGCTATGCGTACCCATAGCTCGAACTTCTCCCACCGGCTGTCAATGTCAAACTGTTTTGTGAGGGCCTTGATCGCTGGGTCATTCCAGCAGCTCAAGTGGCCCATATTGAGCGCACGGGCCAGCACCAGGAATATATAAAAGCTTCTCATTCTGCATAATCTACTCCTCAGCAAATACCTTCAACCGTCTTCTCTCCTCACAACTTTCCTCACAATGTTCGCTCGTCTTTCCTCTGTTGTCCTCGCAGCCTCTGCCCTTGTTGTTGCCATGCCCGGAGGGGGATGGGGAGGAGGAAGCACCACCACTGTCACTGTGGTATGCATCGTGCTCAATGCCATCGACTGTCGTCATCTTAACACGCTCTTTATAACAGACGGCGCCCGCGTCCACCTCCACCGAGCCCGCCAGCCAGTGCGACACTGGCAGCCTCCAGTGCTGCAACAGCGTCCAGAAGGTCATTTCCCCTTATTTCCTCCCTCTTCGCAATATGTGTTAACATTCGCTGTGGTAGGCCTCCGATCCATCTACCAATGCGCTTCTCGGCCTTCTCGGCATCGTCTTGGACAACCTTGACGTCCTGGTCGGTATAACCTGCTCGCCCATCCAAGTTCTCAGCTCCGATGGCGGATCTTGCACTGCCGAGCCCGTTTGTTGCGAGAACAACAACTTCGTCAGTGTTCTTGCGACTGCCAAGTTCTTTACATTCCTGATTTTGAACTTCATCATCACAGAATGGACTCATATCTCTGGGCTGTTCCCCCGTCAACCTCAACCTCAAGTAAAGTGTACATCATTGCTTTCTTTATTGTTAACTGTGTGCTGTACCGAGAAAGTTGTTATAGAACGTCTTTGTTTCTGAAATTGTAGCGAATATTTCCTCGCCGCTCGTGTTCTGTGTTTAGGGAACATGACCGTATTTTCGAGCTTCGTGTAGAAGAATCAGGTGTCATTCAAAGTCTCAAAGCAGACGGTAAACTATGCTACCATTAAAACCTGATTTCCTCGTACGTTCTCGATAGACAATGTTGAGCGTTATGTTGAACTCTCCCTGTCGACGCGTCGGCTGTGACGTAAAGTCAGCCACGTGACTTGATGAGGGCAGGCAGCCGCGCGTTTCGTCGCCGTCGGGTCTCTGTTATATTCTGTTGACTTCAAGATAGGGCTATGCAGAACTCGCATGCCTACCATTTTTCTTCAATGAACACGCTTTCGTCTCTGCCCACAAGTATGAGCATGTCTTCGTCATCAGGGACGATCTCGGATTCTGTCAACAATCCCAACTCAACCGAGATATTCCGGCAAAACCTTCAGGTAGCTCACTCTCAGGTCAATCGCACTCACATGCTTGCCAAGGCGTGTCTTGCATCCGTGTACGTTCACTTCTCATGTGGTATTGCTACAAGTGCTGATAAGTAGCAGCGAACGTGCTTATCAGCCAGAAACAAGCCCGATACAGACTCAAGGTGCGTCTCTTTCCATCACGTACACAGCTTGTAACTCAACTCGTTTGACCCCAGCCGATTTTAGAGAGCTGACGAGCCTGCTGCACGCGCTTCATGACTTCTTCCACCAATCTGGCCTCGGCGCACTCCCGCTTCTCCCTATGCCCGGCGATACCCACCATGAACCTCCGACGTTCCCATCCGAGCCCGAGCTGACGCAGGCTGTAGGCGCGGCGTTTGATCGTCTCAAGCGTTCTCAGGAAAGCGCCGCGGTGGTATCTAGCCTTCTCAACCCGTCGTGACAAACTCAAGCTGGTATCTCTGCACGGAGTTAGACGTTGGGATAGTCCCGGAGACGACAACGACGACGACGACAAGAGAATGTCGTATCGTAGGATGAGTAGCTACGAACACGCGCAACCACGCTCTATAAACTCCGCTGTCCATGTCAGTCCTAAACTACGCATAGTGCCCCCCTCCTGGCATCGGTCCGACCCTTCCCTATTCCAAAGTCGTCAGCGCTGGTAACGATCGGCTATGGGAAGTGAAATATATTGCACCTGGCCCCTACCGAAGCGAAGGCATATACGATTTAAGCTGTAAGATGTTTACAAATCATGGCGATACAGTAATATAAATACTTGTCGGATTGATACATGTGTAGAGAAAGACATATCATTATAAGTTTGCCGCGTCTAGATGCTGAAGTCGCCAAGGAGCTGCTTAATCTCTTCGATACTTCGACGTGGCTCAACGGCAACCTTGAACCCGCGGTGATGTGAAACATTATTAGCATCGTACGCGTCCACGTCGATGGGATGCGCCGGGTCCTCTGCAATACGGAAGGCCCAGAACAGGAGAGCCATGGTGATAAACATAGATCGGTTTGCTACGTGTTGACCAGGGCAGACGCTGCAAAGCGAGTCAGTGTCATGGACTGGGGTGGAGGCAAGGGAGGGAGGCCAAGGCGTACCGTCTTCCAAAACCGTAGGTGAAGTACCGTATCTCCTTCTGAGACTTCAACTGGCCGTCTGCACTTAACCAACGCTGCGGGTCAAACTTCTCCGGGTCGTGAAAAGCGACCGGATCGCGCGAGATGGCCCTGTTCCGCCGTCACAGTCAGTGTCTGAGATGAACTATAGCGCGAAGGGAAACACACCAGTGACAGCCAAGGATGGCCGTACCCTCAGGGATGTGATACCCATTCCACGCAAAGTCGGCCGTCGCTTTATGCATGACACCGAGTGGCACAATCGGGCGCCAGCGCAGTGCCTCCTGCGTGAAGGCATCGAGGTAAGGTAAAGTGTGCATATCATCAGGTGTCGGAACTACGTATCAGCAGCATGTTAATGATACACTGCTATTACTCAAGAGAGAAATTAGTGCGTACCCCGGTCGCTGATGATGGTATCAATTTCCGCATGTATTTTGGCCTGAAGGTCAGGATACTTCGCGGCTGCAAGGACAATAGTGGACATTCCGACAGACGTCTGATGAATATCGGTTACACGTAAGTGAGTAAAAGGCTGGACTTATTATGGTTCGCAATGCGTACCGTATCCGAACCCGCTGCGTAAAGGGTGCCAGCGAGATATGCCGTCTCGTCAGGGGTGAGACCATGCACCTCTGGGTTCTCGAGCAGATACCGCGTGAACGATGGTCCGATATCTTCCCCTCCCTCCTATCCGGATATACTGTGTCAAATCACTGCGGCCCACCGTACGATACGGCAGGCTAAGTAAATAACTCACGATGGCACTTTTTGTCTTGCCGACTTGCTCATAGAACAAACCGAGCTCGTACTGGCGGTATTCTTTCAGCTCCGGTGCGTATCCGGGGACGTTCTTCAACCAAGGAAGCCGTTGGGCGAGATATTCGCCCGGGCGGACGACGCGAGAAAAATGTTTTATAACCTTGTGGATTCGCTTGATGTCGGGGTCGTCAAATGAGGATGGAGCGGATTTTCCGTAGGTCAGCTTGAGTGTAACAGTCGCTGCGTACCTATAAAACAATTGTAAGTAGTGAAAGAAGGGGGGACAACGGGGTCTGTAGGAATAATAGGGAATGTCTCACAGTTCTGCATGATGCTGAGCAAGATCAGGGCGCTCAAGCATATTCAGGACATATCTCTTGGCGGCTTCGAATTGAAGCGGCGCGTACGACATGGCAGTCTTCGGCTGAAGTGGCTCGTGTACTGCCCTATGGTCAAAGTACACACTTGAGTTTCAAATCGCTGCCATGAAGTAGATTACTCACTTGCACATCCTCTTGAATAGATCTCCAGCAGGCTGGGAAATGAGCCTCTGGCCCCGCGAGAGCATCGTCCCTGCTGCGACAAGCTCTGGCCTGCTGAGCGTGATGCCTCCATGTGTCTCGAGAATTTCAAGCGCGGGCTCAACGCGACCGATGACGATGGTGATATTGTTACCACTGCGTAGGGTGAAGACGTCACCATACTGTTCGGTCAACTTCGATATTTCAAGATGAGTGCTGGAAGTAGTAACAAATCAATCACTATTGCAGTTGCAGTCAAAACTCAAAAGGAGCACACGCACTTATGCAGGGGTATCGGGCTGTCCCAGAACCATTTCGCGGGCGGGCCGGGTGGAAGGGTTGAGAGGCGTTTTGAATCGTCGATCGCTTTGCGAACGAGGTACGTCGCTATAGTGGTTGCGGCTGCAGCACCAACAAGAAGAGAGGGGTGAGAGTTTGAAAGAAAGTCTGGGGAGGATATCGCTGCTAAATGGCTGTTACTGTTAGCTGGTTTGCAGAGTGGTGCGTTTGAGCGTCAGTTCTTATATGCATAGCTCCTTGCACACACCTGACGTCGTCAATCTGTCCGATGGAGCTCGGAAAGCACAAGGTGCGATGAGTCATGACCTTTGGGGAAGTGAGGAAAAAGGAGGCGACCAGGAGGTGACCAACATCCAACTATCAATCTGAATTTATCCGCGTCGTACTTTGGGTTCAGGGCCCAGATCGACAGCTTTGACGATCGACCGACTCGTCGAATGCTCATTCATAGAAATCACGTAAGCATGGAGCCTTTGAACTTGTCTTTGGCTCCGAGGCCATCGACGGCGAAAGACGGCGAAATATGGCTCCGGTGACGTTGCTAGAACGAAAAAATGAGACGAGGATGAAGCTTGGGACAGCAGTCCGACGTCGGAGAAGCTATGAGAAGCCGTCGTTATTGCGGAAGCTTTGCGACATGTCCGTTCACATCCGACACTTAGACAACACGCGCGACGTCAGCACCAGTGCGGGGTGAATCGATCGACAGATGGAGAAACGGATACGACTATGGTTTCCCCACAATAGTATACGATGAATTTCGTGTACACTTCAGCGCCGAGACGAGACCACTAATCGACACCCTCCTCAAATATCACACTCACTCATAACCACCCCTCCTCTACATTCCATGGCCCAATTGCGACCTTGATCCTCGTATGTTGGCTCGTAATGCCTTCTCCGAATACGATAGCGTTGGTCCCGTGCGTCGGGTCACCTGCGGAACAGGACGAACATCGAGCGGCTTGCAACGCGTCGCGATTGGCAGACTCGACGGTAGAGCACGAGCCAATGTTGACTGGGAGTTTACAATTTTGGAGCGAGCCCGAAAGATACGCTCACTAAAGAAGCAGAAACAGAGCATTTCATACGAAGAGTATCATCGAGCTGGGCGAGTGAACAACTTTTAGTGTGGTCCGCCATAGGCAGAGTGAAACCGAAGCAGAGACACGTTGCTGACTCACCCCGATTTGGAAGCCGAGACCCCGAAACAGTAGAGAGCTTTTGACTTGACGAGCCTTGTCGTATGTTCACATGAGCGATATATGCTACCAGGCCAGTGATGATACAACAGTGAATCTGCTGCCATTAAAAAGCAATCCACCCAATTTATTTTATCATTTCTACTCTCATCAGCCTCAAGAAGGGGCGTAGATAGCTTGCTCATCACTTCTCGCTCTTAAGTACTCGTGCGCTCTAGCATCATTAACTTATAAACCGACCTTTGACGCCTGGATCCCATCCGAAGTCGTTTGAATGGTGCATTAGCAATGGCGCTTGTACTGATGCTACATGTGATCGTACACTCAACAATTCGCTTCCTAGTACTCAGCTTCATTGGAGATTCAAATTAAGCCTTGCAACATATCGTTGCCGTAGTTCTGCTTTGGTGTGTTCAGTATTAGTTCGATTGATGTGATTCGGCTCTGCTGGGTCAAGGCATTCTTTATCCATGAATCTCATCAGGGATTCTAAGCTGTTTCCTCGAGACCGACCGTGAACCTTACAATGGTCTAAACTTGGAACGATTTCTGGATCTGGAACCGGAGAATGTCCATCTACTTCTAATGGTGCCGGTCTCTGACATCGTGGGTGCATGATTCGGATATCTCACCCTATCATCGATCAAGTCACCGAATGTTTATAGTGGAATTATTAATATCCGTTGCTGTTGGCTTTTTTCTTTGGCAGTGACACCGCCATCCACAGCGATGCTCGATACATTAGATTAGACGGGTCATCAACTACAACACAGATACTAACTGACCAGTAACTTACTGACACCTGTCAGCGTGGTCGGTTAGCTGAAAATGGTAAAATCATATGTATCTTTACACTTAAAAGACCTAGAAGTCCAAGTCATTCATTTAACCAAACAATAAATCGTCTATTCACTGTACAACATATGCAGTTTATTGGACAACACTAAACTGTCCAAGAAAGTGGTGGTATACAGAATATTTACTTGAGCGAGAGGTTGACGGGAACACAGCCAAGGGAGATGAGGCCGCTCTGCAGGGATTTATGAAGTTCTATACCCCATAAGTAATGTAGAAATGGACTTACGAAGTTGTTGTTCTCGCAGCAGACAGGGTCGGCGGTGCAACCGCTACTGCCCGAGCTGAGGACACTGATAGGGCTGCAGGTGAGGCCAACCAGAACGTCCAGGTTGGAGAGGACGACGCCAAGGAGACCGAGGATCGCGGAGGCGCTCTCGCTCTTAGCAGACGTGACAGTGTCGCAACACTGGAGGGAGCCAGTGTCGCACGAGCTGGCGGGCTCAGTGGAGGTGCTGGCGGGCGCGGTCTATGAGGCGAAGTTAGACTAGATGCAGAAGGGACTATGGTGGAGACGAGCGCGTACCACAGTGACCGTAGTCGTGCTCGTAGCGGGCGACGTGGTCTCCCAAGGCATGGCGGCCGCAAGGACACCAGCACTGAGAACGACGACAGAGGAGAGCTGAGCGCGCATGATGGTACGAGAGTGCAGTAGAAGTGAGAGCTGTTGCTGAAGAGTTCTCCTGGAAGACGTGTCTGCTTTTATACCTCGAGATATGGTCCGTGCGGGTATGTGGTATCATCACCGAGGTAGCCCGCGTGTTGCGTCCAGCAGTGAATCAGAAAATCTCGATGAGTGACCCAACGTTGGACATGTTGTAATGTCGCATATGCATGATCATTGATATTTTTAGCACAAAGGTGCTGAAATCCCGATATACAAAGAACCCGCCCAGTAGAACTGATCCATGGGGTTTCATGGGTTTCCGTAATTTCGTGGTAGGGACCATCGGCTCAATCATGTGAATGCTTCGTCGGGTTCCGTCATTGAATGCTGAGCTTCCGGCGATACTGCATGATGGTGAAACTCGAGTACCTATAGTCACTAGTAAATTGGTGCTAGAGTTCAAGACTAGGATCTGCAAATGTATCTTCGAAGTCGGCGGGAGGCCCCGCAGCGTATGGATATAGCGGGCTTACCCTGTGATACTACTGCACGCTGCCATCACGATGTAATGTCAGGCTGTCATGCAGGTCGAACGCAGTACACGCCCTTTCAGTCTTCATACGATGAAAGATCATAGACCCAGACGGGGTAAATTGCTGCCTTGTCGCACGGTTGAGTTCTGAAAGTCCGAGGACGTATGCAGTTGGGACCGGCTCTCTTCCTCCAAAACAGATACTGAATAGTATGGTTCGCGTGGAGGGGTGAGGGTACGCACTGTATGTGTAATAGCGGAGATTCTGAGATATCCCACCACGTTCCAAAGTATCCACCCCATCAACGAGCTCTCGTGGGGTGTTTGAAATAAAGAATTCAAGGCGGGGGCAGTTCAGTGCGTCGTAGCCAGGTACCCGTGACGGAGTATAGAAAGAAAGGCGCTTGTCACGGCCTTTGTTTCCAAGGTGCATGGATGCATGACGTTGTTATCGAGAGCGGAAGTAATGTGCCCTAATGCAGCAATTCAGCCAGACGATATGAACGTGGTCGATGATTATCACCGCTCGGCGTACACCGAGTGCTTGAGGAGGAAGGTTTTTTGGCTGAAACAATGAGATGGGCGTTCCACCTGATGATGCGGCAGTCGCATCCTTGGCTTTGGACATGGAACTTTCGTAGTGATTTGAGCGCTCGTTAATCTCAAAAGTCGGTAACGCCGCTTAAGATCGCCCAAAAGGGTACAAAATGCTTGACATGCTGAACCATGAGGTCATGAGACATTACTAGGCGGAGAGGTTATCGCGGCCAATCACATCGAAAAATCAGAACAAACAAAACTGACGAAGAAGTCTTTCCACGCGCTTCAATTTCAAGAGACCTGAACAAACAGAAACCACGGGTTGGCATGTTCATGCGTGTGGCATGGGGATACGTTGGCAGTGATGCACCACCATAGATGGTATTTCTGCGATTTTCATCAGCAGCCGATGTGAAAGTTTTTGCCCGTACATACCTGCGGCATCCATGAGAGATTAAACGTTCTCCGGGCTCACGAACTTCAAGTTGGGCGTCTATGTTCTACCACAGAGAAGGAGATAACAGCTACAACCGATTTCTGTCAACGAATGTGCAATACATTTCACACAGAGATTAACGCTTAGCGATGAGGATGTATGCGGGTAGAATATCCCGTTCATGCTCACGGATGATGGGCGCACCGTGTCAGCCAAGCTGAAGGATGCTGGTCCACTGTCCTTAGCTCGAGAATGAGGTCAGAACCATATAATCATTGAGACACAGACCGAAAGAGGCTATTATTCCTCATATAACATCCGACCAGTCGAAGGATAGGACTGTACTGAGCAAAAGATTTCTGCGACGTCACGGATGCAGGTTCGTAACTGAGAACGAATAGGCCATTTGTGAGTACTCAGGGAAGTCTAGACTTTTCACCGTCGCAAACTGCTCGCAAGGTAGGATCTGACCGAACGTTATGGGTTTCTAAAGGGTGGTCAATTGCTTAGCTAGCTGGAGTGCCAACGACGCCCCTGTTGAATCTGAGCGGAGTTTGATCGGAGTTGGTGACGCGACGCGTTGACTTGTTGACGCGCGTCGCGTGTCGGCAACGCTCAAGCGCTCATTAGCTTTGTTGAGATAGCCGGCGACGTTACACCAACTCTAACATCAATGAAGTACCCGAAGGTAGCTGGTAAATATCTTACTTTAAATATCTACTCAAAAGACTGATGAAGATAACTTAGGCTACGAACTCGTACAGCAAATCGGAGGTGGCTCGTTCTCCACGTGAGCATCTCGTTGAGTCACCGCTGTATCGCCGGCGCTAATCGTTCCCCTGCCACCAGTGTCTTTCGAGCGGTCAACATCGAGAAACACACTGTTGCTGCTTGCAAAGTCATCCATATCTCTGAGAACACAACGGAGAAGGAACGCACGTCCGTTGATAAGGAGATTCGCATCCATACTGTCCTCAAACATCGCAATGTCCTCGAGTTCCTCCATGCCATCGTGGTCGACCTCAAGTACAAGGACAAGTATGTCCCGGGGATATATATGGTGCTGGAGCTAGCCGCTGGTGGTGATTTGTTCGACAAAATTGGTGTGTGAGGATCCTATCATTCTTCGTTGGTGACTAGGACTGACCTAGTACAAAGCACCCGATGTTGGCGTAAGTGAGGATATCGCTCACTTCTACTTCATGCAGCTTTCCAGTGGAATGGTGAGTCACCGTTCTCTTATCGAGGTGTCTCCTGTTTCGAATGATCTCAGGCATATATCCACAGCGAGGGTGTATGCCACCGGGACCTAAAGCCAGAGAACCTCCTCCTCGACGCCGCCGGTACACTCAAGATCTCCGACTTTGGTCTCTCGGCCGTCTTCAAGCTAAAGGAGTCGGGGAAAACGCGTAACCTTAGTGAAAGATGCGGGAGTTTACCGTATGTTGCCCCTGAGGTGAGCTTCAGTCGTCTACTGCGCTGGGGTAGACGCTCATCTAGGTGCATATATGCGCACAGCTGAACTATGATAAACCCTACGAGGCTGAACCAATCGATGCATGGGGAATGGGCGTCATCCTCTTCACGATGCTTGCTGGAAGTAAGGTACCTAAATCTTAGCTTGCGTGGCGTGGCTGACATTCACTAGATACTCCATGGGATGAACCCAGCAAGCGAAGCCCCGAATTCCAACGCTACCTTTCCGGAGAGATCTTCAATGAGGATCCATGGAATCGCTTGAGCGAGGGTCCTCTTTGTGTGTCAATCCCATCTGATCCATCGTTTAGCCTGTCACGCTCATGATCCTTGCCCATCCCTATATAGCGCTTATATGCGGACTGCTGACGGTTGATCCCACCAAACGCACAACTATTTCCGAGATATTCGTGCATCCCTGGTGCATGCGCCCGAGTCAAATTGCGAAGCGAGGCGCCGTTGCTCTCGCGGAAGAACTAACAGAATCGTTACGAAAGGCGGGAGACCTTGAATATGCCGAACCCACGTTCATCAAGAAGGACTCAGATGGTGATGATGTCATGGCGTCAATGCCTGCACATCAGTCACAGTTCACACAGTCGCTACTGCTCTTCGTACGTCGCTCTTACTCTCGGAAGCCGCAGTGGCCCTGATAAACACATCGCCCGCGCGTTCAAAAGTCGCAAACGCAGTCCGGCCGGAGATACACGCCTCACTTGACGCGTTTCTATACCTCAGTGCCCCCAAGCGATATGATCGGACACATCAAAGCCGCATTCGACGCACTCGACGTTAAGTGGAAAGATGCTCCCGTTGTAGCAGACCCACGGCCAGACGCCGACCCCGATGAGACCATTACCGAGGATAACCAAGATTTGCAGACGACACGATTTAGGCTGAGAGTAGGTGGGTACGATCGGCGGAATATCATGTTCAAGGGCTGGGTGGAGCTCGAACCATTCTCTTGGAGGGAGCAAGAGGGGTGCTTTTGTGTGATGACACGAGACGTCGTACGTGATACTCCTTACTCTCTCATATCCACGTTCATATCACTCAACTACACGTTTTAGGGCAATCCTATCTCGTGGAGACAGCTCTGGAAAGCGGTGTTGAAGAGCCCGGGGGTTGAGCCATATGTTCTAAGGAAGTAGGGTGTTTGCATACCCCCGCTGCTGTCCTCCATTCATTGCCTTCATCCCATATCTGACCACACTCTCGTATGTATCAATACGAGGACTATGCTTTATATAAATTTATATTCCCAGCCGTCGGCGAACTGTCGTCTCATAGGTCATGGGAGATCACGAAGCCACTCTGCGGTATGTGATCAAACTCTTCGCTACAGCCATTGAAGGAAACGGTGGGTGTCTTACACCCCTGTATATCCTTCACCACGCATACTACCAACCCGATGTCCTTGGGGCGGTATCGACTCTTCTGTATATATTCGGTGTGAGTGGTTCGGCTTCTCAAAAGGTTGAGAAAGAAGCTGACTTGTCCACGGTGTGTATCATTCATTAAACGCGCGTTGCATTTACGCTCCACCATTCGGTGCCTGAACGCGACTACCGTCCCTAGGCCGAAACGTTTACCCACACAGGATTCATCCTTGTCCTACACCCGGTGTGCATAAGGTACCGCACAAAACACAGGATATGGGGTGGTCATATGTTAGAGTTCCAGGCCTACTGTTCCCCTTGGCCAGTTGTCCGTGAACGCTCCGTCCATGTTTCACCTAAATCGTAAGCCGGCTGGATTTCTTGATCATTACGATATTCTTTAAATACTTATGGCCGCCTTCGAGCCTTTTGAGTCCGGCCTCTGCTGCTATTGGACGCCACCGATAGAAGATGTACCCAGCACGGAACCTCTTATCTATGGCAAAAAAACGTTGGTGGGTTTCAGGCGCTTAGCCTTGATCAATAGCAACAGCCCTTTCTTTCAAGGTTCCCTCGGCACACTCTAATCGTGCACTGTTCTGGGAAGTCTTGTTCACAAGCTAATTTCAAATGGGTGAAGTTGCTCGCTTCCGATGGTTAGTGCCTTGGGATTTCCTATGCAGAAATCCAGAATCAGATGCCTCACCCCATGTTGACGCGGAGTACATGGTCTCCACCAGAGCATGATGAAGAAGTAGATGTTTGAGTTTCATTTCCGTCTCGTGTCTTCCGCTTTTTTCCTCTACAGACCTCATGCGTCGAACCGTTGAGCCCGCAAAACCCACGACCTATGCACGGGCCAGCGGAATGAGATATAAAGGAGTGTCTCAATCACCGTGTTTCTTCAGCAAAGCTCTATGTCTAAAAGCCAGTGCCAATCCAACTCCAAGATGTTCTCTCGTCTTTCTTCTATTGTCATCCTTAGCTCTGCTTTCCTTGCGACCGCCACGACCACTGTCACCGTAGTATGTCCTCAACGTGCTCATTGTTTGATGTGTGGTATCTGACTTGTCCTTGTAGACTGCCCCCGCGTCCACCGCGACCGAGCCCGCCAGCTCATGTGACACTGGCTCCCTCCAGTGCTGCGACACCGTCGAACCTGCCTCCAGCTCGGGCGCGACTCAGGTTCTCGGTCTCCTCGGCATTGTCCTTTCCAACCTGGACGTTCTGGTTGGCCTCACCTGCAGCCCTATCAGTGTCCTCAGCTCGGGCGGTAGCGGTTGCACCGCCGACCCTGTCTGCTGCGAGAATAATAACTTTGTAAGTCCGTTTTCGCAGTAAAGCGGGTCATTGCTTACAACCACTCTTTCATAGAACGGACTTATTTCTCTTGGATGTGTGCCCGTCAACCTCTCTCTTTAAGACATAGAGGTTGCTGTATAATGTAACTTGTTAAGAGTAAATGAACTGGTGTTTGTGTCTTAATGGTTGTCTTCGGAGCGGAATAAAACATGTGTCTGTGTTACTTATCTTGTGCAAACCAGTGACTTGGTGTGGCCCTCAAAATAACATAAAGACCAAAGAAGCTACTAGTGTTGTACTTGAGGGGTGGGCATTGCGTCAGAAAGTTCCCACTTAAGAGTGTTTCTCCTGTGTCGCGTTCTGACAAGCACTCTGACCAAACCAAGAGCTGTACGGCATTGGTAGTAACTTGTTAATCAATGATGATACAAAACTGGCATCGAAAGGCTGAAAACCACAGTCAAGTCATGCCATCCATTGTATAATTAATATTATGGCTAGTCAAATGTCCCGGTCATTATATTCGGCCTTGAAAGGACGAGAAGTTTATCTCCCAGGATCCCATTGCTCCCGCGTTGTGACGACACGAGGCCGGGAATACACACTAATGTATTAAATAAAGAAGGCCAGAAGGACGTTTGTTCGAATTTTAGCTGATCTTGAAGGCTTGAGAAGTTTTGGTGCGATGGGTCGCAGTTCACTCCGGATAGAACAAGAGTATTTTTTCGGTTTATTTATGGTGTTCATCATCTTTGAACTTTTCGAATACTTCAGGCTACGAATCGTTTCGATATAATGAGGAAAGTCCGAACGCTTCAGTGTGGTAGGTCTGAAAAAAATGTGTAGTTATCATTGAAGTGTCCGCATTACACGCAGCAATAGTCGGCGTTCGTATCTTGTGGGCCCTGCTTAGGGACGTAGGTTTTTTCGGTCCGGGAAGTTCCAGAGGAACCCGGGGCTCGTGCCAGCTTCTTGCCAAATGCGAAGCTCATAGCCTCTGTGAGATTGCTGCAGTAGAACGTTCAGATCGCTCTTTGCTCTCCCACGGCTGTCTTCAATATTCAGTCGTGGTGATCGTGGAGCTATCCATTTGGTACATGCTCTTCGATATGCAGCAGAGTACGTTCAGTTTACCGCACACGTAATCATAGCAGTCTTGCGTTTTCGAAAAGTACTGCTCACTCATTTAGTTCGAGACACTGGTCTAGGACCATGCCTTGGGTCAAGAAGTTCCTTGAAGTTCCCAACTTCTCATCGATAGGAGAACAAGCCCCTGACTGCATGCGGAGCGAGGAAAGATTGCTTGATGGCTGTCTGTGCGCCACCTTCCTGATGCTCGGATAGACAAAGCCCCCGAAATTGTAAGGTGGCCGAGAACATGATTCGCGGGAGGATTAAGAGCGGATCTGCCCTGGATCTGCTTCCGCTCGGGCATTCACCCTGCGTTGACAGCTGTTGACAGGTGTTGACATAAAAATGACAGATTGATTCGCTAACAGTTGTTAAGCGGGATTGACAGCCATGGGTGTCCCTGACGCACATAATGACGTCTCTAAGCGGTCAAGAGGCACTTTTGCGGATTTTGAGGTGGAGAAGTTGTCAAGGAGCTTGTACTGGAACAGGCCAAATACGGGACCTCGCCCTGGAGATGATGGGATGAAAGGTTGAAGACTAGTGTGAAGAGTGGATGTTGAGAATACAAGAAAAATCTTTCGATGAACTCCCCGCGCTTCCGTTGTACAGTATATCGGCCCTATCATGTTCCGGTGAGCCTTTCAGGACAACCTCTGATGACAGGTGCAACACGTCTTACATATTATGTACGAAGTACAAGTTGACTTGATGAGCGATTCAGTCCAGTTGACCCTACCGCCTCCGTAGCAGTCTGTTTCTCTCAGGTGATCTCAACACCGTGAGACGTTGACTCTGTAGCATCTTGGAGCGCACGTTTGCGTTGATCATTCGTGACGAAATAGCAGCAGAACGCGAGGCGATAAGTACTCAGGATGTCAAGTCGAGCTGCTGCGGAATGAATCATCGTGCGGAGGTGATCGATACGATTTGGCGTCTGGAATGTCTGCAAGAGGTTATCCGTCCAATTCAAAAAAATTCTACGTCATTATTACTCGAGTCGAAGGGTCGAATGACTGTTGTGCAGCATCCGAACGCGCCTACCTTCACGTTGAATGAATGATGGATGGCAGGCTCCATCCAATCTCTAACCCCCGCTGCCATTTGATATGGATGGTGCTGGGGGTGGGCCATACGCACGGACCTACTGAGTTCGACGAGCGGACCTGGTGAAAAAGGTATAAAAACCACAATGGTTTTGCCTGTCGACCTCAGCACCCAGCTCTTCAGCAATCACTTCAGTCCTACTCCCACCTCTACCTCAACTCAACATGTTCTCTCGCGTCTCTGCCGTCCTTGCCCTCGCTGCCCTTGCGACCGCCACGACCACCGTCTCTTGCGTAGGGCGTTTCGTTGTGTTCACCTGTGGCGGCGATACTGAGTGTTTGACAGAGCCCCCAGCCCACGAGCCCTCCCAAGCCTGCTAGCCAGTGCAACACCGGCGGTCTCCAGTGCTGCAACTCTGTACAAAAGGTCAGATAATGCCTCTCCTTGAACTGATAAACATTTACTAAGAGTTTTCTACCATACCAGGGTAGCAGCTCGGCCGTGGTAAAAGAGCTCGGACTCTTGGGCGTTGTCCTCTCCGACGTCAACGTCCTCGTCGGTCTCGCATGCAGCCCCATTGATGTCGTTGGAACCAGCGGCACCTGCTCCGCTAACCCCGTCTGCTGTGAGAACAACGACTTTGTGCGTACACTCCATCTCGATACATGCAGGCGACGCACTGACCCGTGACCGTCATTACAGAACGGCCTCATTAACATTGGCTGCGTTCCCGTCAACATCAACGCCTAAGAGATCGTAAGGGGAGCGTAGTAGTAATACAAATAACGTTTGCAATTATGTGGGGTGAATAAATCGGCTGTTCTGTTACATGTGGCGGTCGCATGAGCTTGTGATATATAATGCCTGATTTCAGTCTGGTATGAGCACGATTGGCAACTCTTGAAAGGAGCTATGCAAGGATGATACTTCGGTTTGCCTGTAATACTGCGCATAAATACCACAGCTTCAAACTCAGGTTAGTGAGATTGCGTCAGACAGACCGTTTTGGCGCATCGAATCTGACGGTCAAAACGTCAAAATCTAACCTGCAGTACCTTCAGAGTTGGTGAATACGCCGCGAGTAGCTGATTTTGTCACCCTCAAAGTCGCGCCGTTCATGGCTTACACCACATATGAGACACAGTCACCAATACTTGTAAGCACCTCAGCCTTAAGAGAGTAACAGGAGCGTGTCCCTATGGGGCGATTGATCCGCTGGTACTAAGGGTGGCGGGTTTATCGAGCCCACACACCGTCGACGCCGACAATTGTGGGAGCATGATGAGGAGCGGACAAGAAGTGCCATCGACAGAGAACAATGGTCCAGCTCTAGATCGTGACCCGTTCCTTCTCATCCTGATCTTGGCATATTATCGACGCCTCAAGGACGTCTGCAGTCGGGTAAAATGGTGAAACTGAATGTCAAATCAGAGACAGGGGTATCGTATCGGTGTGCGAGGGCACCCAAGTATGGCGGTGGAATCCGCCGTAGCCTACTGAAAGAGATTGCCTATGTACCACACGAAAGGGTGCTCCATAGTCACTCGAACTCTTCGGTGGGGCGAATTGATTCGAGGAACACAAGAAAGTGTCTGCAGGCGTCCCGAAAATCTTAAGCGTTCCATGAGAATGCATTGTCGTCGCAAAATAGCAAGAGACGCGCCGCATGCCGCGATACGAGCGTATCCGCGTCAAACACGATTCCCGAGATGATTAAAAATGTTCCCAAGAGAATTGAGAGTAGGATCGAGATGAGCCGAGCACCCTGCGCATTGCGCAGATTTTCACGCGTTGTCACGTTCATGTCTGGAGAAGAACCAAACTCGGAGTTTATTATGGCTTCTGTCAGTGCACGCACAAAGAAGGATACATCCGCAGTCATTGACGTGGGATGAGGCGGAGGACGATATACCGGGACCTGGAGCACAATGAAGGAGGTGAAAATGCAAGTCGGAGCCGTCGTGTTGGCCAGCGAAGTGGACGCCCTCCGATCCGCGGCCGAATAGCGGAGGTTTAATATGAACCGGGAGATCCCCGGCTTTCCCCTCTATCGTCTCCAACACCACCCCAGACCACCACACCTCATCAAAAGAACAACGACACCCGCGCTTAGAACGTTCTGATCGTATAGACATAATTCCGAATTACCTGCTGTGTTGGAGCATGGTACCTCATCAGTCATCGGATGATTTCGTTCTACTGGAGACGACTGTCGAATTGAACTTCTGAAGGTACTGTTGGGAAACTGTTCTAGGACATCATCAATACGATCTCAACCTCGGTGCGTGTCAAAACCAGCTGAATCCCAGAGTATATCCAAGATGTCATGCGCCGTTTGCTGTAGGGACACGGTGTCCGTGTCATCGCCGAGCAGTGAGTAGCGTGTCCTTCCCGTGTTCGGATTCTGCTGGGGCTACGTTGATATCATAAGTGATCGCTCGCCATTTGGATAGATACCTCTGCTTCCAGCAGCGATGTTACTGACAGATGGACAGTTTCACGGTCTCGTTTTGTAGTATTGGCACGCTGTCCTTGTTCCCTCCTCTCTGAACATGGTGCTGTGTAGCTAGGCCAAGGATGACCCTTACGCGCTGCTGGGGCCGTACTTGGGTAGGATTTGGTTAGCAATCGACGATTAATACCATCCTAACCATAGCTCTCCTAGCACAAAACGGGAGTTTCTCCTTCGAATTTGTCGTATAACGTATCTGGATGTAGGTAGCGGCATATGTACGTATACGTGAATAAACTTCCTTCAATGCTATTTCTTAGTGCTTCTGAACACGCTTCTTAACAGTCATAACGAATTCCTTGCGTACGTCCGGTCCGGTGTCCGATAGTCTGGGAAATTGGAGACATATAACTGTGGCTCGCCCTCAACACGCGTCTGCTAGCAAGGCAGCCTCGTGTTATATCTCCTTGAACTGAGTCCACCACAATCGCGCCGCCTCTTTGTGCTCTACTCGAGCAGATAACATATGTCGACCACGCTAGCCCTTACTGTAACTCCTGAGCCCGGAATCTCAGACCCAGCCGTCGCCGAGTCTAAAGTCAGAGTTGCGGGTCAGGTCATTGTTTCTCAGAGCAACGTTACCGGCGATCCAGACGTGGATCCGTCGATAACAGCCAGGAGGCACTTGATAGACCGGATTAAGGCCATCGGGGCGAATCAGTCCTCCGCGCAGACGAAGAACACAGGCCCAACACGTCTGGTATGTGCTCCCTTAACGTCGAGGGCGTTGCTAGTTTGTGATGAAGCACTAAAACGTTAGGGAGCACTGGAGTTCAAGTCCTCCAAAAGCCTGCGGCACTGCAGTCAACCGTGCGGCATCAGCGACGACATCGAGTCTTTCCTACACGTTGTGACATGGCTTGCAATCCACGTCCTCCCATTCGAAGCGCCCGTATACCTGTACAAGGTTTCCAACTGCATTTTCGAATTTTTCCAATTGAGGCAATACAAATACACCGATAAGGAGATTTTTGCGCTTCGTTTCTGCTATACTCACGACATCCTCAGCTACTTTTGCGTCAAAACCTTGGATCCATGTTCCGCTAACCTAGGAGACTACTTCATCTACGGAGAGCTGCGCAACCTGGCGAGAATGCTTTGGCTTTGGTATATCCAGAAACTTCCGGAACAGGAGCGAAAAGAGCATGGGGACATGCTGAAGATGCTGATCCCTCCCGTGGGTCATTCAGAGCATGTGGCTGAGTTACTCCCGGACCCGGAGTTGGGGCTCAGTGCGACGGAGCAGTGTAGGTTCATGGTATTTTTCTGCAAGTCGTCCAACGATTCGAAGAAGTTTGTGGAGCACTCGGCGGAGTTGAGGAAGAGCATGCTTACCGAGTTGACGAGCCTTTTTACGATATATCCCTCTTTGGCTACAGTAGGTTTTAAACTGTTCGATTGAGTAGTATTATTGCTTAGACTGTTAGTTGACTGTTCAGATAACCCAATTAACGACAATTCAGTACTACTTGTCAGCCGACCTTTGTCAGATATGAGACTTACAGAGTGAACAAGGAGTGCTGAAATGTAGTATCCCGACGTCGGATATGCTGGACAGCGCCGTTTGACTCTGTCACCGCACTGACCTGCAAATCGTTCTTTCGCCAGCTTGACTTACGATCAACTTCAAAGTCAGAAACCCCTATTTCTGCTTGCTTATGTCAGAAATTTCCAAAAGAGGATCAGGTCGGCCGACGCGTTACCGTTGTGTCGGGTTGACAATTTCCATGTAGGGCGGAATGCACAACGCAACTCTCGTCACCTCCTCATCGACAACCAAAACATGTTCACTCACTCAGCTCGCCGACCTACGTCGTACACTCGGCATCACGAAAAGTAAGCAAGGATGGAAGCTATAAAGGGCACAGTGCAAACACCGTAGCTTTGCAAGTTGCATCTAACGCTCGTCCTCACCTTTCTGGCCTCCTCTGGCCTCTCAAACGTCTCTCCATTGTCATGGCTAACGCCGACTTCCTCTGCAATGCTCATCCCTCCTTCCTCGCTGGAACAGCAGCTGTAACTGTACTTGCGGCTTATCTCGCCTTTAAATCCCTCCGCGATCCGAAACGCCTCTCAACACTTCCACCCGGTCCACCCGCTGTCTGGGTCTGGGAGAAGCCTTTTCCTGTCAAGAAGTACGTCCCCATATACGTCTTTTTATTCGTTCTTCTAAAGATGCCGCAGCACGCACTTTGCGCTCACTAGAATGGCTGAACAGTACGGGCCTGTGTATACTCTTCGCCGGGGCAGCAACGTCATGATTATCGTTGCCGGTGTTCAAGCTGCGATAGATATTCTGGAGCGGCAGGGCGGTGTCACGCTCAGTCGGCCGGAGGCTGTTGCCGCGGGGACGATATTGTCAAAGGGACAAAGGCTTCTGCTTCAGCCTGCTGGAGAGCTGTTTAGGAGGATGCGCAAGTATGTATTCTCGCTGTGCATGCCAATTCCCGAGTCACTAACAAGTTTTTGTTGGATACAGAGCGATTCACGACCCCCTTCAGCCCAAGGCTGCGAAGTCGTACGCCCCGATTCAGTACGAGGCTGCGAAGCGATACATACTCAATATCCTCGAACACCCTGGTGGACATCAACGCCATGCAGACCTGTGAGTCAATGTTTGTTGAAGTGATCCATCGCCTCTCTCGGCTACATCTCGAGACTAACCACACTATAGCTATGCTGCAACTGTCGTACTCAAAGTATCTTACGGGAAGTCCGCGCCCTCCTCCTTTGACCACCCGGACATACAGCTCCTCCACAAGGTCGTCGCTCGCTTTCAGACTGTCGTCCGCCCTGGCTCGTACCTCGTCGATTTTGTCCCGTGGTTGCGTTATGTCCCTCGTTACGCAAGGGAACTCAAAGAGTTTCGCAACTTTGAGCTGGGATTCTTCCACGATCAGATTGGGAAGACCAAGGCGACGATTGTATGTATTTCAATTATCTGGTTAACTTGCCTCGCAAATAATATCTAACGGTGTTGACAGGAACAAGGCGTGGACGGGCCCTCGTTTACGCGGTACTTGCTCGAGAACGTCGACGTGCATGGATTAAATGCGGACGAGATGGCTTATCTCGCAGGAGGGTTGTATGCTGCTGGGTCTGACTCGGTTCGTCAAACCTCTCTTCTCTTTTTTAGGCATCTAAGTCATATACGAATTATTACTCAGACTTCCATCGGCATGTCCAGCATCATTCTTGCAGCCGTGTCTCATCCCGAACTCCAAGCTAAGATTCACGCGGAGATGGACGCCCTCATTGGCGATCGGGGTACGTGCTCCTCTTCAGACTCAATTTGCACTCGTAGTTGCTCACAGCCGATGGTACTTTCTCGCAGCCCCGATACCAGACGACATGGGTAACATGCCCTACCTAGACGCGTTTATACAGGAAACCCTCCGCTGGCGCCCCATCCTCCCATTGGGTTTCATGCATAAGACGACGGCTGATGTCGTCTGGGAGGGGTATCATATCCCCGAAGGCGCGACTATTCTTGGGTGTCATTGGTACGTCTCTATCTTTACTATCACTCATCCAGATGCTGATTTAGATGTGACGAATAAGGGCGATCGCACGCGACCCAGTTGCGTTTCCTGACCCAGAGAGATTTGATCCACAGAGGTGGCTCGATGCGGAGGGTCAACTTAAGCCTCAGAAGGATATTCGATACTTCACTTATGGCTTTGGAAGACGGTGCGTGCGGTCGTAGCTTGTTGCCCATTCTCTTGCTAATGTTGGTCTGCTGGCTCCAGCGTCTGCCCGGGCCAATACGTCGCGAATCGCTCCATGTTTGTCACAATGTCTCTACTGTTCTGGTCGTTCCGCCTCGTAGAGGACCCAGCACACCCCGTTGACGTGGACGCGTTTGACGGAGGTGTCGCGAGCCACCATACGGGGTTCAAAGTTGGGTTTGAGCCGCGGAGGAGTGTGGAAGAGATTAGGGCGGTTATGAGTGGCTTTGACCTATAAAATGGGTGCAGGATGAGTGGTACATTGCTGGTACATGTCCAAGGGAGACAATGTACGCTTGATGGTTATATTGTACTGATCAAAATGAAAAGACAGTCTTAACAATTTTCGCGTTCGTCTACCAAGAGTCTGCGAACTATGGAGGCTGACTAGTGCATGCTGCCTAACTTGTGCGAAGATGAGCGGACTGTCGATATATGGAAATAAATCCTCCGCAACAGCAGCTCCTCTGACGTCGGCTACTGTCCCGAATCTCGTCCTTGACAGGGCTCGTCGCCGCGAACTGACGGTTACTGAGTACGGAGTCAAAGAGAAGGTCAGCCGCTGACAAGTATGAGATATCGTTTCCATATGAGACCCAAGTCGGCCGACCGCTTACCAATGGTATAGGTTCAGAGCCCAATCAGAGCCTTCTGAGCAGAGTGGAATGAATAACAGGGCTCTGGTTGCCGCTTGTCATCTCTTGACGATTAAATTGCGACTCCTTCATGATTCGGAGCATCATGATTCTGGTAGAGTTAGCTTGAGGCACGTCGCTAGATCTGATTGATTGGGCCCGCTCAAAAATGGCATCGCGGCGCTTGTACTGTGAAACGAAAATGGGGCTTCGTGTAGCTCGCCAGGATCTGCCGGAAGGATAGCTCCCGGGCATTATACATAACGCGGCGCCTATGGCTAAGGGATCCGGCGCCTTTTTGTTAACGGGACGGTGTGGACGACCCACAAAACGAAGCTGAAACGAGCTCCGAGATAAAACACGAAGTGAAACAATTGCATGGTTTACACACAAAACGAGTATACATGTATCGCAGAGCCCAACATGTTTACATCAATTTACCAGCTACATATACAAAAACGGCAGAAAACGGCAGAAAAGCCGTTTATTTGAGGTTCAGGTTGATGGGGGAGCAGCCCAGAGAGATGAGCCCGTTCTATGATAAAATACGGAGTCGGCAACGCGCGAACAAAGCAGTCACAACAACACTTACGAAGTTATTGTTCTCGCAGCAGACGGGCTCGGCAGTGCAGGAGCTTCCACCGCTGAGGACGCTGATGGGCGAGCAGTCGATACCGACGAGGACGTCAACGCCTTGCACTACGATGCCAAGAAGACCGAGGAGCAAGCTAGTGGCTGGGTCAGAGGCCTGAGATACACTGTGAGCAAAGCTTGCGAAGAAAAGAGTAAGCGAAATGAAGTACGCTGGAGGTGCTGTTGCAGCACTGGATGTCACCAGTGTTGCACTGACTGGCCGCAGTGACGGTGGTCGCGGGCGCCGTCTGTTATGAAGAATATGTTAAACCGACGGTAATCACGGGTATTATACACGATACATACCACGGTGACAGTGGTGGTGCTTCCTCCGCCCCAGCCGCCTCCGGGCATGGCGACCGCAAGGGCAGAGGCAGTGAGGACAACGGTAGAGAGACGAGCGAACATTGTGAGGTAATTTGTGAGGACAAAGGGCTTGAGTGCTTTTGCTGAGGAACAGACCGCGCAGAATGCGAGGCTTTTATACGTTTCTGGTGTTGGCCCGTGCGCTCAACCTGGGCCACTTGAGATGCAAAAGCAACCTCGTATGAAAAGCCTGTCATAACGAAGTTTGACAGGTAGTGGGAGAAACCGAGAGGTGGGTACGCATACCAGTGTGCGTGCCGTGATGAAACTGTGCAATAGGACGTCTGAGTTGAGCAAGCACTCAAGACGGAGGTCTGATGTTTGCTGAAAAGGACGTTAATGAACGCGATGTTACTGAAGCCATCAATACATGCACTGCATGCCAATCTTCTCCCGCACATCACGAGGCAATTTAGCTCAAGTTCCGTTGCGCTGTACCTGAAGGAATAAATGAGTGAAATTCAAACTCCTGGTAAATAAGAGAACTTGCGGACATACATTGTTGTGGCGCACATATTCGCGAGAGTGGTATCAGGAGCCATGTAGGTACTCTGGCTCGTGCTGTAACCGTCTCAGCAGATGGATGATAGAACGGAGTTCCCTCTATTACCTGTCTTCACCGAATAAGAATTAGCTTGAGCATTTGAAGTGATCAACCAAGATGCTGCACGTACAGTATCACCCGGCGCTTTTGCCGAGGCGCCCGGTCACAGAGTTGGAGAGATTACGGTCTAGACGCATTCACGGTGTCGAGAATGAATGTTATGATCGGAACAGAGAACGTTCGTGTGCCTTGAGCCCATGGAAGTGGAGGAGGATGGGATTGGAGGAAAGCCGTCTATCACCGGCACCCTGCCACAAGCTCACGGACTTCCCCGGTGGACACCAAACTCCGACTCCGCCTTGTGTCCGCAGACCGTGATCCACGGCAAGGACTGAATGGACATCCAACGTTGCTCAGCGTTGAAACGTTGACCGCCAACCTGGTGGGTCCATGTTACGCCTCCGTCCGCCTCACCTTTGACAGTCCCGCGACAAGATATAAGAATAGCGTCCCATCGACAACAGAAGGCCTCGCTGGAGCTTGCAAGCAAGGCACGCTATTCAACAGCTTTGACGTTCGTGAGCACCATCCGGAACATTGCTGGTCCCTTCGAGAACGAGGAGTTCTTCTGAGCACTGGTCTGGACAGCTTCCTTGTCTGCATGGAGACATCTCAAGACACTTCACCACTTGACGTCTACTTACTTCATGTCTTCTCCTCGGCCTACTCCGCGTCTATTCAGTCTCGCCTCAGAGGCCGGCTTTGGAATTAGGAGGTGCTTTACTACGTGACGCCGAGTCTCTAACATACAGAGCCTAAGGGTTAACTCGCCTTGTTACTGATAGCCCTGTCAGCGCGGAAACCGATGCATGAGTGCTCCTTCACGCAATCACTCCATATACACAAATGGTCGGGTACTCGATACCTCTTGTTCGTTGGGGCTGTGGCCCACCGGCAGAGTCTTCACCATTAATGAACGTCGAGACCAAAAACAGGTGGGCCTATCGATTTCTTACGCCTCATTACAAGCAGTACTTGCTACTAGTCTCACGCCTTCATCGCCGGACAATCGGACTTCACAGCTCAATGTGTTGACAGCCGTGCCAATGCCCTCGGAAATCTGCTAACCCCTGCAACACCCACAGGGTGATATATTCCAGGCCTCCTTTGTTTGCTTGACGGTATCCATGAAAACTCTCCAAGGTACTTGACGTCTTCGTGATTGTTCTTCTCAATTTGTCGCCAAGCGACGTCATCAATGTGTTAGGTCTTGGACTCGAGGGGTGCTTGACTGTAATATCTTGACTCCAAATCATTGGGTACCTGAACTGACGTCGTGAACCTGCTGATGCGTGTTGTTCCTGATAATCTGGTTTAGGCACGAAGCGATCCTTACGCACTCCGTCGATCCTCGGCTACTCGATATCGAATGGACATACCGCGCTGTCAGCAGCTGTTACTGTGGAACTATCGCACCGACGCAACACGGGAGTAAATCTTCTTCTCGAAAACTTCTCGATGATTAGTGCGTCCTCCTTCCCCGCCTTTGGTACTTCGTACGTGCCGTCTCATTGTTTAGCCGGCCATTTTCCCTTACTGTGATATGCCCATAGAACGGCCTCGTCAACATCGGCTGCGTTCCCGTCAACGTCAACCTCAAGTGATTGATATGGGGCTGCCTTACTTGGTTATCTTAAATTCGTGACTGGTTTGGGCGAACGGGTTCTTCGTTTTGCTAGTTAATTGTTGCATGTATTCATGGGAATGAAGCAAAGTCGTATGATGTTGTTGAAGCCAAGTACTGTACTTCGTGACCGTCTTTAGTTGATATTTCTGATAGTTCATTGTTATCGCTGAAGGTCCCCGCTCCATAACATTGTTTTTTTGTCATTACTGACCCGACAATCGACTTATGGCTAAAATAACGCTCTCGCGCTTTGTCGTTAGATCCACCTCAGCGTTGTCCCAAAGAAGCACAGACCGATCCCCCGAGATCGCCGTGATGGAGATGACGACAGCGCCATTCTCCGTATTGCGCCATTGGAAGCGGTAAGATGCGGTCCGTCGCACTCAACAATCCCAAGCATCCGAGATCGCCGACACTGTCATGCATCCGCACAGATCCACATGCTGGATCCGGACCTGCTTAGCCAGGCCTCGCCTCAAGGCCTCACCTCGTCATTTCGAGATCCCGAAGGATACCCGGATGAGAGCCCGAGCCGTTTCTCCCACGATAGTGTCTCAAATGTAGCTGAGCAGCGATCATGAGTCTACTTCTCGAGCTTGAGTAAGCTAGCCTCGAAATCCCGCAGGGTCTAGCTATATGGAATATGGGTCTTGTCGATGGAAAGGGTGTCTGTATCCTGGAACTCTCACTTTGGAGCGTTGCTTCCGCCATTGTAAAACCACAAAACAATATTCTCATTTACTCCGACACATATTCAATATTCGTACACTTGTAGCAAGCCCAGAGAAAATAGCAGATGAAACGGAAGGAAATCAACCTCAGTATCTTAATTACGAGGGAAGCTTCCAGACTTTGATCAGGTCGGGTAGGAACGCGTCCGAAGAGATATACATAGCTCTGTAATTGTATCGCGAGTGAGTCACAATGAGAGCCACAAAATGGACAACCCACCCTTATGTTTACTTCCTGAGGTTTACGTTGACGGGAACGCATCCAATGGCGACGAGCCCATCCTGTGATAAATAAACGTTGTTAGCGATTGACAATGATAAACAGCACCAGAATACTCGCGAAGTTGTTGTTCTCGCAGCAAACGGGGTCTGCATCGCAGGTGTCGCCGCCACTCAAGATACTGATAGGAGAGCAGCCAATTCCGATGAGGACATCGACGTCGTTAATCACGATGTCAAGGAGGCCGAGTAAGAACCCGGTAAAAGGGTCAGAAATCTTTGTCGTACAGATAGTCAGTGTAATGTTGAGTCGGTGACTAATTGATACAAATATATGGACCCACATCGTTAACCTGGTCGCAGCACTGGATCGGACCCGTGTTGCACTGGCTAGCGGGCTCCGTCGCGGTGGAAGTAGGAGCAGTCTGAAAACGAAGGGTACTGTGAGTGATTTTACAAGATGGGCTGAGCATTGGGCGTACCACAGTGACCGTAGTGGTCGTACCGTCGCCGCCCCAGGGCTTGGCGGCCACAAGAACGGAGGCAGCAAGAACGATGGTAGAAAGACGAGCGAACATTGTAGTGAATGAATCGAGAGGGCAGTTGAGGATTTCGTTTGCTGAAGAACGACGGGTGGATTTCAGCCTCTTTTATGCTATTTTTTTCAGGCCCGTGCGTGGTAAAGACTAGCCGTAAGTTATGCACGTTGGTCGCCGTCCATCCTTCAAGAAAACTCAAATGTACATGTTAGCCACTTGAAAACTCGGAACGGTGTTGTCCACAGGGGTATTACATAACCCATGCTGTTTCGAGAACACCTGAGCACTGAAAATGTATTCAAACGGCCCCTGAAATATACGATAGGTATAGATGGAGGCGTTGAATGTGGAGTTGCACGCTTGGTCAAACAAGATATCATATTCGTAAGTTTCTGTTTAAAGTTAGAAGATACATCGGTCCCTACTTGTGGAGTCTCGGTTTTCGTTACGTTAAGAACTGAGTAGGCGCCAGAACTGGATGTAATAGCAGCTTTTGCGAGAACGACACTACAAGAAGATGGCCTTTGAAGCACGCACCAGCTTCCTACACGAATATTCAACCTTTGACGGGAGAAAGTCATACATATTTCGTGGTATCGAGAATAACAGAGAGGTCTCCCAGCAATATTGCTCACCAAAGACTCAGAGTATCGCCGCGGCACGTTACATCCTGTGGCCTCGGTGGTCCTGCCACCTGTCATCTTGTTTTGGTCTCGTTCCGACCACACATGTACTAAGGTATGGCCTGGAGCCAAGTCTGTGGCATTATCACGGGCCCGTGAGCATCGCATAACGTGCTGGTTCCTAGCGTAGAGTGGATGAGGAGGGTGTGTAGACGCTGAACATACGAGAGATGCAGAACGGTGTCACCACTTCTACCACAACTCCGAAACTCCGACCCGCAATATTGCCACCAATCGAGCGCCCGCGAGCGCCTCCGCTATACAATGCCGGGTACCTGACTCTCCTCGCTTTCCATTGAAGATTTGCCTCGATAGTAACGTACGACAGTATCAGTCGTAAGTGCCACATTGCGCCTCTATCGGATAACACTTAGGGGCTCAGCTGTGTAGGGTCTCGCCGCTGCGATCATTATGCTTCGACTAGGGTTTCCGCTTGCTCAGTTTCCCTTCGGTCAATGAAGATTATACTTGTCATATAGAGCCTACGGTAGGAGAAGAGACAAGGTACCAGAATCAACGCGAACGTGGCCAGATCAGCCGCGAAAAGGTCAGTTTCATGCAGATCATTCTTCTCTCTCTCTCATCGCCGTCATTCCTAAACGTCGTCCCAACAAACCCTCTTCGTAAGGCAGTGTCAGCACGGATGCTCCAGAACAGGAAATGACCATCAGGAAAAACCTCTCGCCAATAAAAGAGGAAAGTCAGGGAAACATGTCTACAATTTGCGTAAATTCTCACTGCGTGGGAAATGAGCAAAAAAACGCGACAATTAACTAAAATTTCAAGAAGTTCTGCGAAGTTTCAGTTTGGTTTTGATTGAGTGAATTACGGGTGTGTGGAGTAACATGGATTTCAGACAAGCAGTGCCGGTTAAATGACTGAGCTTAGTCAGAGAAAGCAGCTTGTATAGTAGACTATCGGACATTGCCAAAGTACAAGTACATATCTTTGAATGAATGAACATAGAATGTCGTACATTCATACAAGACGTTTTCCGATGCCCAGTGAGAAGGGACAGCACGACCCCATTTCGTGGGCGTCTACATGCCGCTCGAGGGCACGAGGCTGCTCGAGGTTGCGGGCACGAATTCGCTCATGGCGCACGATTCCTGTGCGACGGGCCCCACTTCTTCGAGTTGGACGTGGCGAGAGAGGCCCGCGTCTTTGGCGCCGTAGAGACGGGCGCTGGTGCGGGTGCGGGCTAGTAGGAGCAGGAGCAGGAGGTGGGGGTGCAGCGCCCGGGAGAGGCGCGTTTGGCGTGCAGTAGATGATGGCACACAACAGCGGGAGCGTGTTGATCATCAAGCTCACTTCGTTATCCCCATTTATGTTACCAGATGTTACCCTCCACCTCTACAATGTTCAAATACACGTCTTGCCCGGGTTACTGGCTTTGTCTGGCAGTCGCGGCACCGTCTACTTCGCCTGCAGTGCTGCTCTCGGCAGCGCACAAGGTTTCGTGATTGGTAGGTTTGCTTGTCAGTTGCTTGCGTAAACAAACCCCTAATCCCGAACTTCAGCTTCAGTGCTAATCACCGCACTGCAAGCAATTCTTAATAATAGTGGCATTGTTACTTGAAAAGTATTTTAAATATTAAGGTGAACAGGTTTCAATAATTAGTTCCTCATTATTTAAAAGCTTTATCAAAGACAAGGGTCAAGTGACAGGCGCCTTCCTCTCCTGTCTTTGATAGGAAATAAAATAATGAGGACCTAATTATAGAAATCCGTTCACCTTAACATTTAAAATAATTTTCAAGTAATAATGCCACTATTATTGGGAAATGCTTGCAGTGCCGGGACTATACGCGTAGCCATCACATACATTGGAACCGTCGGGACTCGGAAGCGAACTGCGCAGCGGCGACTTGGACTCTTGGTTCAAACGTTCAACCTTGCCACGACATCCTTCTCTACACCCATCCCAACCCGCTCACTCACCTCTTGCCCCTTCCCCCTAAGTTGTTTATCTATGCCTAAACAACAAGCAAGGATGTCAAGTCAAAGCCAACAAAGGTGATGCGTGAGTCAACACTTTGCTTACCATGCTCTAATTTTGCTCACGAGTAACAAACTTCGCAGCTGCTCGTAGGTCCAAAACATCATCGCTGCAAGACAAACGTGAGTACGTTGGTGGTGAAAACATGCCCCTGCTCTCCGGCTTTCTCAAGCTAGAACAACCCGCCCCACCTCGCAATGACGACAACACCTCCTACCTCCATGCCTGCCACAGCCCCCACAGCCGCATCCCTCGCCGTCACATCCGACTCGGAGCTCGAGTCCGTCAAGGACTATGTCTTCCCTGACCGCACCTCCTCGCGCTCTGACCTCCCTTCCCTCGTCGCTACCGCCCAGCAACACCAGCAGCAGCAGAGCGCGCCATCGAGCAGCAAGTTGAAACTCCCTTTCCGTTGGAAACAGCAGCAGGGCATTTCTAGCCTATCAGGACAGGCAGCACCTCGACCACAGCGGATGCTGACCGGCCCAGACGTCCCACCACCAGTGCTTTTTACAGCAGCAACGGAGACAACGGAGCGCAACAAGAGGCACAGCAGCACCACGTCGTTCCCTGCCGCATCCCCGCCTCTCCGCACTGCGAAGAGCGAGGTGCACGGTATCGCGCCGTCCGCGCATCCGCCTGGGCTCATTGTCCCCGGACTCGGCTCCGCCTCCGGTTCAGGCTCTGCTGATAGAGGCAGTCCCAACCCGAAGATGACAAAGGACAATCGCGAGTATAGCATGGAAGTCTATAACAGCGCAGACTCACCGGGCAGTTAGTGTTGAAGGTTGAGTTGATAGCGGTTAAGCTGGTTGCTGACGATGGTAGTCGTTCGAGGTAGAGAGAAGACTTAGATGATATTCATGGTAGCGACTGTATATATATGACAGGAGCGTGTGAAGTCACTACCGTATTCGTAACTACTATGCAGTCCAAGTCCCACGGTAATGCGGGACGGCTACGTAAGCAGAACGTGGCCCTATGCGATGAACGCGGAGCCACACGAGTGCGTAAGCGCTTAAAGTACCTATGGGATACTAAGCGCCTGAATAGACGTATGAAGGCGATGTTTACTTGTAGACCTCTAGGAGGAACATCGCCGTATAGGAGGCTTCTGGATGAACCAATAAAGCCGTAAAGGGTCGAATACTAGACGTAAATCTGACC